TTTAGCTTTCCATTCAGATTAGCATTTATAAAATAATTGGTTATCACTATGAGCTTTCACTTTGTTTTGTTTTAAGTTTATCGTTTATGTTTGCTTTTATTATTATTTTTATTATTATTATTTCTGGTAGCCTGTGGCATAAAACTGACGAGTACAACTGTGGGGCTGGAGATGGGGGCAGAGTGTGCTTGCTGGCGGGAGGTCCGCTAGACTGTTCACAGTCCTCTATTTTTCCGTTAAATCGTCGGGATCAAGCACATTTTGGTTTCAAAGGTACCGGGTTTAGTAAATACAGCAAAGAAAACTGATACCGTAGAGTTTTAAAAAAGTATTTAAAACTTTTTTCTGGCCAACTAGTTGGACCCAGCTTGGTACTGTTTCGAGTAAAGTGTTACTCTTTAAAGCAAGGCAAATAAATTATAGCTCACTCTTTGATCCGTGCCGCAAAGGCCTAAAAGACTAATAGGGAATACTTATCAAAGTTGAAAGGTTTCAAGGAGGTATCCCCTAAGGGGGGGGGAGGGGGGGGAACTCAACAAAGTTGTATACAGGGAGGCTCAATCCCGAGAGGTCCAACCCGTTACCCTTTTATATGCCGTTTGTGAAAGAAGAAGATATCCCTTTGGGGCGGAACCTCTCCGTATAGGCCACTATAGGGAGTACCCCCACAAGAAATGCGAAAAATTGTCAACGGGTTCCTCCCCTCCTTTTCGTCCCCTAAACTTTTTTATTCATAGTGAAGTTAAAAAGAACCCTTGGAACGTTTCCGTTTGTACACTTTAGTAGAAAATACTTTTATGCCCATGCAAAAGAACTGCAGTTCAGATCAATATCCACGTTAATGTTGACGCAAGTGGTAGAACTTAAAACTTTCCATAGAAAGCGGAAATCACAACGAGTCCTAATTGCATTCTATTATTTATTTATCCGCAGTTTATTACTTTGAAAACACGAATAGCAGTGCAAAAAAAAAAAGTTAAACTATTGGAATGTGATCACACACTTGCTGAGAGTAAATGCCATGAAAAATTTGAGATTTAACTCAGCGTTCTTTGAAACTGCTACAAGATGCTGATTCCCAAATAAAATTTTACGAGGCTTTTAATCGTAATTAGCAAAAGAGAGTATTGTGTTCAACTTGGCGTCAGTATCTTTTATTTAATAAATACTGATATTTACAGTGCATTTATAATAGGATCCATTTCAATAGCTGTGTTGACTCTTTATAATTCATAGACGGTTAACGCTGCAGAGGCCAATCCCGTACAGCCACTTGCATTAGTGCCTAGAAAGGAAAACAAATGGGTGACTTATGGTATCAAAATAATGTCACTTACATTGAAAAAGCTCTCAAAAGATTTCCGTTTGTAGCCCCGTTCACCCTTAACCATCATAGGGTCGACGAGATCGTAAATGTTTAATGTGATCCTCTCTAGTGGACAGATGTAAATATTAATGTATGCCCTAACAACGGGAACCTCAGTACAAGTTTAGACATTGAGCCTTGGTACGCCACACCCATTTAATCTTTCATGATATACATTATACTACGTCTCAAATGAAACTGGCTGGCCCTTGTTCCACTTTTCTGCTGCAGTACAAAGGCACCATTTGCTCAGAAATGCATTGATTACTGGTCACAAACAACACGAGTGATTTTTTTTTTCTTACCTGACCTCAAGCATGAGTATATCAACTACGGAGGGTAATTGTGGCTGAGTTAGTGAACCATGCCAATGCATCACACTGTCAAGATCTGTCAATTCTGCAGACTTCAAGTTTTAATTGTTTCCTACGAATACAAAAAAAACATAAAAACAAAAATAATTCCTTAGTCAGGCAAAGAAATGTAAATGAAATATTTTTAAGCTCAACAAGTAAATAGCATACATAGCCCTAGCCTGAGCAAATACCTGACATTTCGGGACGTCACCACTAGTTTCTGCGTGACTGAAATGACGTCTAAGAAACGATTACAGAAATTCCATACTGATGACAGATCTGGGTAGTGCTTATGATTGGCTGAAGAAAATTTCCCTCACGGCTCGACCAATCAGAATCACTACCCAAATCTGGGTAGTGACACTTTCTGGAGTCATTTCGCAGACGTCAATTCGTGGGAGGAAACCATTGGTGGTGGCGTCTCGAAATGTCGGCTGTTTTCTCAGGCTGACATGGCCCCGTGTTCACCCTTCTGCATTTCCAGTGACTAATGCAGAATCAAGATACTTCTAGCGAAATGCCATCTGTACTCTTTGCAAACCACTCCTTGTTATGTATCCACTCTTTATGGTAGATAGCTGAGAAATCTGTTGCTGGACTGGCACACTACAATCAAAACCCTATTCGCCTGCCTTTCACTTACATGTATATGGGTCATCCCCACAATCTGAGAGCCTAGAACAGGCTACCTTAGAAGGAGGGTTACGTGTGTCTTATAAAACAATACTCGCTAAAACAAGCTAGTTGTGTAGGGCTGCTCGTAAGGTCTCTCCTGATTGATCGCAGAAAACAATGACATGTCATTATTTCAATTGTTTCAGTATTGTTTGGCGGTCAGTTGGTGACTTCTCACCCGAGCAGCTGCTACATGACCCTAATAAGCGAACAGGGAAGGGTAAAAATTTGTAAGTGTTCGCAGTCTCTCTTTAATCAGTTTTCGTTCTCAATCTTATCTCTTTTCTTGCGCCTCAAAACTGGACTGAACTGTACACGAAAGGTTGTAGATCAGAGAAGAATTTTAAATCCTGAGTTTGAACAGCGTTTTTGACGCATGCTGCCACTCCTGTCAATTATCTACTTATCAATATCTACAACAACAATGCTCCGATTCTCAAGTTCACTGTACATCACCCCTACAAACAATGAAAAGGAAATAGATTAGTGTTAGGAAATAGCTATATCTTAGAGATGGCGACAAACTAAATATATTTCAATTGTCTACTATAAAGCGATGAAACAACCTATCCAAACATTTCAAACACAAAAATATCTCTTTAAGCTCAAAGTTCCAATGTTGATCAGATCTGTGAATTGAAGCCTCTTCCTCTTAGACATTTCTTCCCTTAATCAGTTAATGTAGAGCAGACGAGCTATTAGTTTGCCTATAACAACCCTTCTTTTAGTCTATTTGTGCACTATTTTTCGCTCATCGAGGAAATATCTCAATCAATTAATTTAAGCTTTCATATGGAGTAACCAGAAGAGACAATTTTCATTTACACTATGCCAATATAAGTGTAGATTAGATAAAATATCAAAAATTTTAAAAGCATTTAACAAGGATCACGATTAAGAAATATTGAATGGTACTCAACTATGTCAGATTTGAGTTTCCTTAATTTGAAAACTCCAATCTAAGCCGTTTTTCTGGTACGGAGACTTGAATCAAAGTTTTTTTTGTGCATAACAAAAGCTTAAATGCAAGATGATCCACCATATGATCTTGAATTTTAAGTCTTTACCACTTGATAAATAGCCTTAATAAACAAGATTTTTACCTTTATCAAGCTTAAATCTACACTGAGCTTTTAAACTGGATAAAAAAATGGAGGTGAAATCAAACTTACACTGCAGTTAAAAATCACTACTCCGGAATCTGACAAGCGGAAACTTCTATTCAAAGCCTTTTACGTCAGAAGTATAGATTCAATACAAATTTCCTCAACGTTACCAGTAATTGTAATTGCATGGTTTTCAGTACTTTGTCTACCTTGTGATTGCAAAGTCTCAAAAACCAGCTATCTATTCCAAGCTTATTCCAAGCTTTTGAAGTTTGAAATTTTAGCCCTGGCCCGTGTTTTAGAGACTGAAATCGATACTTTTACCAAGATCGTAAGAGTATGAGTTCAATCTGCTTAAACTGAGAAGTCATGTTTGTCCAAGATGGATTATCGGGAGCGACATGAAATCGCAGTTAACAGTATGGACATAAATAACCTGTGATCTCTATCTTTATGATTTATTCAAAATAGAAATCACATTACTTCAGGTGCCCGGCACATGTTAAGTTATACTAAAAGTGGACAAATACCGGCAACTAAAAGCCCCGAAAATATAACATCCGAAAAGCCTATTTCGACGTCAACTGTTACCTGGCTGATATCATAAACTGCCAAAAATTAGTGTACCGTCCAAACCTCCATCTGGGACCACCTCTCGTAAGTGTATCAAAACCACTAAAACTTTTCCCAGTCAAAGCCCAGGAATTAGAACCTCGTGTAAACGACCACCTCTCTTTAGCGACCGCGACAGCTTTTTGGTACCCTAGATTCCAGAGGCTAATTATTTGTTATCTAATTCCTGATAGTTGGCGTCCAGGAACTTTATCAAACCGTGATCAGTTCTCAAGCGAGCTCTAAATTGTAGTAGGATCAGAAACTCGTCACTGTACTACTTTAATCTTCATAGGATACTTACTTGCAGGTGGTACTTTTGTTGTGGTTTTGTGTGGAAACTCTAATGAAAAAAAAACAACAACAACAACAAACAAACAAAGAAAACAAAACAAAAAAAGAAATATGTTTCTCTCCAGAAACGTGGGATAAGATGTATTTCTGGCCCCAGTTGTTCAAAACTTGGAGCGCTATCCACTGGATAAATCACTATCCAACGGATCAGTGTTGGGGAAACCAATTGCACTATCCACTGGATAGTGATTTATCAGGTGGATAGCGTTATCCACCTTTTGAACAACTGGGGCCAGTAGGTAAGAAATACTTCTGTTTCTCCACAAACGCCTTGTATTCAGATCTTTAGGCGACCATGTGCGGTCTAAGTTTACTAGTGACCAACCAAAACATACCACAGAGAAAATGGCGTGTTTGCCCCACCTAGATGATAAGCAAATTGCCCAAATGTTAAAACCAAATAAACGAACAAAAGAAAAAACAAAAAAAAACATCTTCTCGGTATCTGAATCCTAATTGAAAGATGTATGCCTAGCTTGGCGTTAAGGTTTTGTCATTTTCACTTCCACAAAAGGAAATAAGCAGTACTTCCTTACCAGATACACCGCAGGTAACTTGAGTATATGATATTTTAAATCTAGAGCCCCATCCTAAAGTACTGTCGGGGACAAATAGTACTTTAATTCTCTCTTTAAACCAAACATCCGTTGCGTTGGCTGTTAAAGGAACGGAACATAAACGCCATTTGGGACCATCATAGCCTGAAATGGATCCACCTTGAATTTCCAAATACCCACAAGAGCAAGACCATTCTTCGCCGCACGCCCAATCACCTGACGAATCAATATCCATGTCCTCAAAATCCATGTCTTCAATAGTTAATGAAATTCGTTTTCCTTTTCTTGCCCTGATTTCCCAGCTGCAGCTTTGCTTATTAGAATAATATCTGGGGTAGAAAGGACTGGTGATGACTCCTGAAGTCTCATTCAAGATTGTCATATTTGGGCAGACTGTAAAAGAATATTACACATATCTCTTGGAGTATATTTCTTGTAACGCTTAATATCTTGGTAAAGCAGATCTTCCACTTCCCCCCTCATCCCTGATTAATATTTTCAAGGGCACTTCTTTACTGCCGTCTCAATATCCCAGAATACATCTGAAACGGCTTACTGTAATAGTATTTGCTTGAAATAGTAAGATAGATATTGTTGTCATGCTTGCCTCATAAGGCGGCTTTTAAGCCCCCTACAAAATACAAAATACTGCTTGCTAACATAACATCTTATAGTATATGTGAATATTTAGGTGTACCGTCCCCACCTCCCATGTTTGTATTATCGAGCATGCGCTCTGACTGTTATGGTGATTGAATACACACATTCTTGTCCCCAGAGCCCGTCGTTTCTTGGTCACGTGATCTTGAAACGAGGGGCTCTGGAAGCAGCCGTTAGCAGATGTCAGAAAATTTCTGACATGCGGTCACGCAAGTACAGAAGTTAAAAATATCACTGCTCATGCTCATAACGGATTTTGTCCCTCATCGCTCCTCTGGGGCAAGAATTTTACTTCTTGAGCTCTCTCCCGAGAGTGGCTTCCTTGGGCTGTTTTCACTCAACTAGGATTCATTGATAATTTAGAGTCAAAAGGAGAAGACATTAACAAAAACCAGCTGAACACACTGTTGGGTCGCAGAACTGAAACAATTAATCGGCAGATTATCGTCTGAGTTTAATATGTTAGTTCACCGTTTGGCGAAAACAAACACTGGGAAAGCAAGAGGTATCTTGTTCCATGTGATGTCCTGCAAACGCTATCGCATTTCAAAACGTCTTTTGAAACGAAACAATTCATGTGTTGTGTTATTCAAGTGGACAGGAAAATAAAATATATATATTCTTTCACTCCAACTGGTTGTGTTTTTTCCTAAGTTTATTTTCCTTTTGAGGTGTCGACTGGTAGGTTTTAATTTTTTTTTAATAGCGTTTATGCTAACCCGGCAATGGATCGTTTGGTGCTTATGGTGGCAATTCAGTGTTTTGCAAAAGGACCAGAAGGGGACCTTTATCTATTAGAGGTTTATCCTCCTAATTACAGTAAAGATTTCAGTTATCATCTCCTAACTAAATACTATCATCAATACCTCAATGAGAGAGTTTTCAATAATTTTGCTGTCAAACTGAGAAAATCGTGAACACGTGAAAATTTTCAGGAATGTTGATTGTCTAGTGACCAATCGCCATGAAGTTCAGGACACATGAGCAAACCTCACAGGGGTAAGGGGTTTTAAGGTTTTTTTTTTTTAAGGGGCTATATAACTGGAATAGAAAAAGCGATTTGAAACAAACTACATTCTGCATTTATTGGTTTTTAACTGAGCTTCTAAATGAAATATTGGAAGCTTAGGGGAGGGCTTATAACCAGGACGGACATTTTTTCTTGTTTTCTTGTTTACTTCTCACTATCTGAATGCCTAGAACAGGTTATCATAAGCTATTTAGCTGTACTTTCTTATCTGGAACAACGAAATGTAGAGTGATATACGCTTTATATAGACTGTATGCTTTAGAAGACCCCCTTAAGAAGTACACTTTTGAGTATCACACAACCCAAAAGCATTTTCTTGAGTAGCTGCGCTCGTCTTGTTTTAAAAGTGGAGTGCAAGGCCTGGTTTGAAATTGGGGATAGAATTTTGGATCAGACCTGAAATCAGACATAGTTTGGTCAAACTTTGGCAAGGCAAGAAGCACACTGCATGTAGTACAGTTGTATTGAAACTGAATGTGGTACTTTATAGAGTTAAAGTACAATATCTGCTCACAGCTATAATTGTGTAATTATTCTTAAGCTCACTTAAAATTGATTATTTTGTGTTATAATATGAGGTTCTCCGACTATGAAAGAGTTTTACTAGAACTGAATCAATGACCAGTGGAAGCAAGTTTTAATTTGGCTCATTATTTAAGCAATAGACCACACTTTCTATGGGTTTACCGGCGTGATAACCCACGCGGGATGTTGGGAGAACACGAGAAAAGCTTGTAAATCACGAGCCGAAGGCGAGTGATTTACAAGCTTTTCGAGTACCGTGATCAAGTCATGTCTTCTCTCTAAAAGTCATCATAAGCCAATCATGACTCACGATTTAATAGCGCTGAACTTTCTCAAAACTCAGTTCAGTCAAACAACAAGCGACAGCACTTCAAAACACGAGTTTTTGCGCTCATTACGATAACTTATGAAAGGTGTTTTACAGGAAAAGTCAACACATATTCATGCGAACATACAATGAAAGAATACGTTCATGGTTTGCTTACTACAGAAGTAGAAATTAATTGAACATCAGACTGTACGCAGCTGTATTTTGTTGAGTCGATCGGTAAAAATTTCGTGCTTACAGACGGAACTGGCAGCTATTGTAATGGAGGACTTCATTCACTTTTTACAAGCCGCAGTGGTTTAAGATCTGTTTTCTGGACTTTATTATGATCAAGAAATGCTGCGGTAACGACGTGGCCGCATTTGCGAAGTTGTCGCATGTGATTTTATATGCACGTACAGCGACCGATGGAAATATGTCAGTGGTGAAGAAAGGTTTCTTTGCCGTAGCCACATATTGGCGCTACTATTTGTCGATTTGTGAAGTCAGGTGGTTTGAGGTAGGTTATGGCATCGATATCACCGAATAATTTGCGCAAATGTTGGAAAAAAAACAGCCCAAAACTCTGACATCTTTCATCATCGTTGGCAGCTTGTTTACAACCTACAGCGGCCGATTTTGTACCATATCTTGATCAGAGATCTCTTTTTGTGACAATTTCTTTCATTAAGGAATTTAATTTTGACATAAAATAAATCAAGAATGCTAAAACTATCCGTTTTGTTGCTGGTTGGCACATGGTTAAGTTTTAAGAGACTTTCTACACCAGAAATTCACACAGTTGTTGTCTTTCTCTGCGATTTGGCATCGTCGGCAATGTAAACTGCTTTCCAGCTTTGTACTTTATAACTTCTAAAGCTATGGCATTCGCCAATTGTGACCCTCAGTAATAAAATGTGGAAACCAACGCTTTTAATATTAAGAAGGGCTAAGGTAAGTAACTTGTTCTGGTTTTTAGCCTTTCTAAAATCGTTGTTTGCAGATCAATAGCGGGTTCTGTTTATGGCTCGTGGTCCGGATGCCTTTTTCTATGGGTTTACCGGTATAATAAACCATAGGTTTTTGACCAATCAGATCACGCGTACTATCTCAGTTATTTTATAAATGTCAATAACCAAGTAAACTAAGATACCATATGCATATGTTAGGAATAGCTAGTAAACTAGAATATTACTGTTGCTCAAGCTATTATGTTACCCACCCTGTTGAAGGTGACATACTGCAAAATCCAGTTGTCATCATCAACAACCACTTGCCCCTGTAGTATGATGCAAAAGAATACTATTGGCTGTTTTTCATTTATTATTTTATTTATCAGCAACTCAGTTGTCCATAACATTGCAATAAATCTAAATTAGGCCAGTTTTCTTATAATATATGCCTAATTTTAAACAGTTTCTTAAAAGTTTTCTTGTGTTTTAGAACTTTAAAACCAAATTGTTTAGCACATTGTACTATTTTATTTAGTGATCAGATAAATAATTATGTTGTTTATCAAGAAAAATTGTGCAATAGCTGCTTCTTAGTTAACTGTTCATTATAAATCACCCTGGGGGCCCTTGTTTGTCTTTATCTAAATGGTGCATGACTGAAAGCCAAGAAAGGACTGTTAGGATGAGAATATGTTCTTGCAACACACTTGTAACAAGTCGGCCACAGAGCCTTTCCTTTCACAGGCTAGTTCTCACTGTTAAAATAAACACTATCAGAGGGTTTCCACAACTATCTAAGCATGATTAAAGATTTAATTCAGCGGAAGAAAATGTAGATTGGAAAAAGTGCTTGCCCTATCATCTTTACAAAAAAATTGCCTTATGCAGGAAAGAGCACTTAGGGCTATATATTGTGATAAACATTCGTCCTTTGGTCAATTACCATCTACTCTACACGACCGGCCGGGCTATCTACTCTACACAACCGGCGACTACAGGACATAGCTATTCTCATGTATAAAGTTAAAAACAACGTGTGCCCAACATACATTAGCACTATCTTTGAACAGCCTGCAATTAAGTATGAACTGCGCAATCATGACTTCACTATACCCAGATTCAACACAGTCTCCTTTGGAAAGCACTCGCTCAGGTATATGGGCCCAAAGGTATGGAGTTCTGTTCCTAGTAACGTGAAAAAAGCTTCCACGTTGTCCTCCTTCAAATATAACATCAGAAAAGTGGATCTTAGCATGCTATTAGATGACAATAACTGCTCTAACTGCTCTCTTTGCACTTCTTAATCTTTTATTTCTCATTTTTTATAAGATAATGGATACATTTGTACATATTAGGTATAGTTCACTCGAATTTCTCACTTGCTCATACTGTACATAGTTTTTCTTAATTTTAATTAATTTATTAATTGATTTATTCTCTTTTAATTTATTTTAGTGTCCCCACTTAGTGGTTATACACCGCTATTACAGTTTTTGGCACTTTAATAAAGGTATCATCATCATCATCATCATCATGCATGCAGCCCAAAAGATTCATAAGCTATTCAGTTCTGGCTTTGTACACTGACATCAGAGCTCAAAGGCTTGTAACAGAAAATTATCTTCACCTATTAGTATAACAAAGGAGATGTACTTTCAGCAGAAAAAAAACAATAAATCAAAAGCACATTGTAACAAACTTATTATTACGTACACATCATTTCTGTAATGTAGTCCTTGAGCTTGATTTCCTCTCTTACTGTAGCACAGACGAATATCCAGAAGAATTAGACAGACTGATTATATTTAATACGTATTTAATAACGCCAAACAAGTGTGGTCGATTGCTCGATTTTTAACTTTTAATCTATGTGAGCAAGGGCTAACCATTCACTTCTCCTTTCAGTATCCCGAACGCGAGAGATTATTAGCCCACAACGAAGGCAAACGTTCTTTGTTAAGGCTCGTGGTTCTCGTTGAAACCTCTCAAACTTGACCTTCAGTTCTCTTTTTCACTGCTACTGCATTGCAGAATTTACTTGCTAACAAAACAGGATTGTCGCGATCGACGTAAACCAGACACGCATTTCATGTTTGCTGTTCGAAAGGGCAGGATATAAACTGTTATGCGCAGTAGAATTTTTTTAAATTTGTTCTGGGCATTCAATTCCCTTCAGCCAATGAAAAAATTCGTATTTTCCGTTGCTTCAAGAGCCAAACTAACCCGAGTGGCTCTGGGGACGAGAATGGAATACACACGTTTGCACGAGCAGCAATGGTTTGTGTGTTGGTGGTTAAATCCGATTCAATCCTTGATTAAATCCGCAAGACACTACATTTTGGCGACGAGGACGGTCATTTGAAGAAGTTCATCGAGATGGCAAGTGTATATTTAAGCGATGCACAAGGATTAAAGCCGTTTGACTGTTCAGAAACTGCTGGTGTATTTCCGCACGCTGGGAAAGATGGCTTCGCGCGTTTGAATTGTTTGCGACGGGAAAAGAAGTCAAAAATGTCAATCAGAAGAAGGCTTTATTGCTGCATACTGCCGAATTAAATTTGCAAGATATTTATTTCACGTTGACCGAAGAAGGAGGGTCAGATAGTTATGACAAAGTAAAGGCGACCTTGAATAAATATGTCAAACCCCAAGCAAATGTTCCGTATGAAAGGCTTTGTTTTCGTGAAACAAGTTAACTGACAAACGAAACTGTCGAACAGTTTAATACTAGACTGAGACAAAAAGCCCAAGCCTGCGAATTCGGAGACGCTGCAACTGTGGATGAGCAAATTCGTGATCAAGTGATAAGCAAATGCTTGTGCACGAACTCCGTCGGAAGTTACTTCAGAAGGGTCGAAACTTGACACTGCCACAATTGAGCGAAATTGTTAGTTCTATGGAGGAATCTGAAAAACAGGCCCGTTCAATCGAAAGAGGAAGTGGTGAGGTCCGTAGTGAAGTGAATAGTGTGAGGGGAAGACGAATTACAAAGAGGATGCGAGCGCCAGAAAAGTCAAATGTTTTTGTTGTGGATATATTGGACGTAAAGCCAACGATCGTCGTTGTCCAGCGAGAGGGAAACAGTGCAGGAATTGTTATGGATCAGGACATTTTGAGGCTGTGTGTAAAACTAAAGAGAAGCAAACCAGTGGTCGAGGAGCTGGAGGGCCGCGTAAAACAGACGTCGGAAAGAAGGGAGGTGCATCTCACCATGTAAGGCAGGTAGAAACTGACGGTACTCAGGGTGATGATTGTGAATATGCTTTTGGCATTTTAGATGATTCTAATATTTCAAGTGATGGGAAAATTCCTGTGAAGGTAGGAGGTTTACCAGTGACAATGATTATTGATTCTGGTGCTAGTTGCAATGTCATAGGTCGTAATGTATGGGGATATCTGAAAGCAAATAAGGTTGCATGTGTGTCGACTAAGGCTTCAAAGAAGTTGTATGCATGTGGTAGTAATCAGCCACTACAAGTTGCAGGCATTTTTACCGCAGAAGTGTCTGATAGAGAGAGTGTGTTAATTGGCGTGGAATTTGTTGTCAATGAAAATGAGGGACACGCCCTCCTTGGGCAGGAAACTGCCATTTCTCTAGGAGGTTTGAAGCTGGGAGCTCACGTGAATTCACCAGAGGTTTCTACGGATGGGATGTGAAGGAATTGGCAAAATGAAAGATTTCTAGCTAATAGTCCCGATTGACCCAAAGGTACAGCCTGTGGCACAACCGATTAGGAAGGTCCCTTACTACTTACGTGATAAACTGAGTACCAAACTGGATGAACTTGTGGAACTAGACATCATTGAAAAAGTGAGTGGACCAAGCTCGTGGGTCTCACCAGTGGTAGTGGTGCCCAAGCCCTCAGGTGATATTTGTTTGTGTGTGGATATGCGACAAGCCAACACGGCAGTAAAACGAGGGCGTCTCCCAATACCCACCACTGACGAAGTTTTACAAGATCTGAACCAGAGCAAGTTCTTTAGCAAGTTGGATCTTACCTCCGCCTATCATCAGATAGAACTGTCGCCCGAATCAAGGGATATCACTACATTTGGCACACACAAGGGACTTTACCGGTACAAACGACTCATGTTCGGTATAAGTTGTGCACCTGAGATGTACCAGATGGTACTTCACCAAGTCCTGCAAGAGTGTGACGGAGCTCATAATATTCTTGAGGATGTAATAGTACATGCACCCACTGAGGAGGAACATGACAAAAGATTTGAGAATGTGGTTCGAGTACTGAGCGGCAGGGGGTTGATACTGAACCGAGACAAGTGTCAGTTTAAGATGTCACATTTGGAGTTCATGGGTCATGTTTTGTCGGCACGTGGAATTGGTCCAGCAGATGTTAAAGTAAAGGCTGTTGTTGATGCTTGTGAACCGACGAATGCTGCGGAAGTACGAAGGTTCTTTGGTCTGGTCAATTTCACTGCACGGTTTATTCAAAACATAGCAACAGTACCTGCACCCCTCCGCCAGCTTACAAAAAGTGGAGAACCATTTGTGTGAGGGCCGGAGCAACAGTAATCATTTGATGAGTTAAAGAAGCGACTGTTCAGTGCAGAGACACTTGGATACTTTGATAAGAATGCACCGGCTAAGGTGATCGCTGACGCAAGCCCTGTAGGCTTAGGGGCCGTGCTAGTTCAAGAGCAAGGAGAAGAACTGCGGGTTATTAGTTATGCAAGCCGCAGCCTTTCCTTAAGAACCGACAATGGTCTGCATTTTACAAGTGACGTTTTACGAAGTACTTGGAGGAAAACGGAATTGAACATATAGACGAACCGCACGCTTATGGCCGCAAGCCAACGGTGAAAAAGAAAGACAAAACCGCAGTAGCCTGCGTATCGCTCAAGCAGAGGGTCGCAACTGGAAATCAGAAATGGATAGCTTCTCAATGATGTATCGCAGTACTCCACATTCTATTACTGGGGTGAGCCCAGCCGAACTATTATTTAGAAGACGTATCAGGACCAAACTACCCCATCTCCAAGAGTTCGGCATCGAAGATGAGGATCGAGATCGCGACGGTGGGAGAAAAGCAAAGGGAAAGGTGTATGCAGAATGCCAAAAGAATGCACGTGAAAGTGAGATTCGAGAAGGTGATAAGGTGTTACTGAGACAGGAGAAAGAGAACAAACTGTCAACGCAATACATACAGTCTCCCTTTACAGAATGTAACCCATGTGAAGAAGTATTTGGAGCGAGATTATGATGTATTATCAGACACAAGTAAGTCAACAGATGCTTCAGAGGCTCAGAGAGCAGCACAAAGTTTATCAAACCAAGAGTCCAGAGAAACTGTAAATGTTTCCTCTAAGAGAGCAAGTGAGGACGGCCCATTGGAGTACACACGTTCAGATGATGCTACTATGGAGCAAAGAGATTCTGTCACCTTACGTCCAACAAGAGTCAAAAGATTACCGTCTAAATTTCAAGGCTATGTTTTAGGCTTTATTCAGCTTGATTCAGAGCAGATCTTTGAGACTTTGAGAACAGGAACTCTGAACTGAACTTGAACCGTTTCTTATGTTTTGTTGTATTTCCACTGAAACCACTTTGGAGTGTTCAGTCGTATTAGGATTTCTGTAGGGCACTTAGAGACATTTGTATACATTGTTAGCTAGGCTTTATTTTCTATTGGTTTTTTTTTTTTAACCCAACAATTAATTCGAAGAAGGGAGGAAAGCAGTATATGAATATTTAGGTCTACCGTCCCCAACCCCCATGTTTATATTATCGAGCATGTGCTCTGAATGTAATATAATGACTGAATACACATGTTTGCATGATGGTGTGTGTGTTGATGGTTAAATCCGATTCAATCCTTGGTTAAATCCGTAAGACACTACACATCTTGCTTCCTGCCATCGATTACGAATACTACTACAACACTTTTTTTCCACCACGAGTTTATTTTCTCCCGTATTTCTTGGTAATTTTAAGGCGTCAAGCCACGGTATTTTCGGTAATTTAATCCTTCTTTGTTGACTCTGAACTTTAAACTTCAAATTGGTGAAAGAGTCCTCTTTGGCTGACAAAATTTTCATCTCCACGTAGCAACTGATACTTCTCGAGCATCAGACTTTCGTACAAATAAAGACAAACTTGAAACAAACTTGTTCTTTAAATTTAGTTGAATGCAATATCCTAGCAATATCTAGTTTTGGCATTTCGTTATTCTTCTTTTGTTCTTCCACATTTTCAAGCAGTAATGCGTCAATATTTTCTGAGTCAATTTTTTGATCGCCTGGTAAGTACCGAAGTTGCCTGAATAAGTGTGAGATCGATCTAGCTCCATTTTTTTGTTTCTTTATGGCTGTTGTTTCCCTCCAGGGAAAGGTAATCGGAATACCGGAATCGGAGAAAAAATGTGGGATCATTTTACGTTTTTGGGAAACTGGTCACCTACTCCTCCCCCGAGCCAACATTTTGCCTTAAGTTAAAGTAAGTATTAATGTCGGCTTAGGTGAGGGGTAGGTGGGCAGTTTCCCAGAAACGTAAAATGATCCAAAACGTGCTTCTAGAATGCGGAATCCTGGAATTTGGAATCTGTGATTCTACTCGAGAAACCAGACTCCTACTTATAATTGGAATCCGCAATCTAAATGCCACTGACAACCGGAATCCAGAATCCACGCCATGGAATTCAGAATTCAAGACTTTCTTGGTTCACGTTTTATGGAGCGAGTTGTTGTTGGTGATGTTTTTTTGTAATCTTAACTCAATCATTGATGTCTTATGAATAACGTATACCACGTACCTGAACTATAAGAGATCGCCGTGTAAGTTGCTTTAAACCCTGGGTATTGACTGTTCAGAGACGTGAATATGACTTGAACGGAATTCCCTACCGAGTACACTGGATGAGGAAGAGACTGACCACACAGCATGAACGGCTGATACCCATCATCTGAAGCAACATTTGTGACTGTAACACGGGCTCCTGGAGCATCATAATAGCAGGGAATGTACTGATTGGGCTCCAATCGAAAATAAAGGAAGCTAAGTTTAATGATGTACCCGCTAGGAACTGTGATATTCCAGGTACATCTGCTGTATTGGGGGTAGTTACTCGGAAATTTTGGAGTTGAAAAGAATCCAATGAAGCCATTTAGATATTCGCCAGAGATACAAGCTGCAACAAGGAGAAATAAACTATGATTTAGCCTTATAGTAAAAAATCAAAGAGTAACCTGTCTGTGAACCAAAAAAAAAAAACAACAACAAAACAAAACAAGAAAACTCAATCGAAAGCGTTGCAATAGACGAACTTAAATAATAGCAGATTTGCTACCAAGCACCTTTAACATCATGCAAATGAAAATTGTTGGCATTTCACCGACATTTTAGTTACGCGCTGTTTTACTCGGTAAAGTATTTGAATGTCACAGTTGCTATAAGCCTGTTATAAGACAATAATATTTTATCTAACTTGCTTGAAAATTGATCACCCGCACATAAACCTTTAACTTTACGTTTAAAGCCGATTTCTAACAACTTACCGTCGGTTGTTGCATTATATTTCACTTTAATGTAAGTTGCCTTAAATCCACTGTAATCCCAGTAAGTATAACTATAAGAAACAAACGTCAGCCTCAGAACATCTTTTGCTGAATGGTATACTATCCCACTGTCTTTATCTGATCTACATCTTCGCCTGCCTGAGATGCCATCAGAGGATAAGCCATTTTGTATTTCCAGGTAGTCACACGTGCAAGATGAACCACAGTTGCGAATATCTATGTCTTTAATGACAAACACAATGCGTTCTCCTTTACTTGCTTTAATTTTCCAGCTGCATTTCTCGTTAGAAGGGTAAGGCCTTGGGTAGTAAGGACTGGTAAGAATTCCTGATGTCTCGTTCAAGGTTGCCATCTTGGGACAGACTGCAAGCAATATAAATGGACTGAGCGTAAGTATCGAGGACGATTAGAATTATACCACTTTCAAGGAAGAATCTAGTTAACGTGAGAAGGAATTAAATCAAAACCAAATGCGGGGCGAAAAGACTAAATAATTTAGGGATGCGCCAGAAGCGTTTTTTGTTTGTTTCTGGAAAAACCGTTTTTTCAGTCATCGAGATGATGTTGTCTTACGAGTCCATTCGGTGACTCAAACGGACATTTCAGTAGGTATTAGTTGCCTGCGCTTACTTTAACATGAAGATTTGTTCTGTCGTTCAGGTTGTTTTTCTTTGTTATGAAAGCGCATGTGAACAACAGCTACCTTAGGAAAATTCACAAACGACGCACCTTTTACTATGAGAAATATGTTTGTGGTACCCTGCGAGCAGAGGCTACATTTTCGCTGTGTTAGCTGGCGTGCGAGAAGTAGCCTCTGCCGACAAGCGTTCAAATCCGTCCAGAAATCTGGACGAATACATAAAAAAACAGGTTTTTTCCTGTTCTTGACCGGTTAAGAGCATTGCGCGAGTCTTGCATGAATCTTTTTTTTTTTTTTATTCCCGCGAATCTCGTGCCATTTGACGACAGACCTGACGGTTTATTTTGCTTGCGAATCGCGTGACGAATTTCGCGCATGCACGATAGAAAAGTGAACGGTTGTCGGCAGAGGCTACTTTTCGCACGCAAGCGCCTGCAGCGAAAATGTAGCCTCTGCTCGCAGGGTATGTTTGCGGGTACTCGCAAAAATTATCATTAGAGGAGCTCGCGCGCGCGCGCTAGCGGAGCACCATGGGTAAGAAAATTTGGTAAACTAGCCATCCAAGAAAATTTGGTGATGAGGTCAGCGTACCCCATCCGTCTGTACACTGATCGGTGGTGATGGAAGGGAATCAGGTGTCAGCCTGTCGGGGGCGTGGGGATTGGGGGGGGAAGAGTATGTTATAAATTGTGCGATGTATTTGTGCAACCGGCGTTTTTCTTTGCGGGAAATAGGGCAAGAAATGGCGTGGCAAAGTCGTCGCGTTCAAAAACCTGTTTACTTTAGAAATTTTTTTTGCAAGTATTTTAAGCATAAGGATTTGTGACCGTAGTGCTCAGTTTCTAGAAAACTGTTTCGAAAACATTTTTATGGTAACAAACAATAGCGGATTTAACTCAATCTACATGTTGGCTTGTAAGTGAAGAGGGACGCGAAAGAGAAAGAAGCGGAAAGGCAGAGAGCAAGAACTAACAGGCGAAGAAGATTCATGAGGAAAATTTATGCAGCATCTGAGACTTGCTTTCTGATAGCTGAAGCTGACAGAGTTTTGTGTCATCTTGTGATGTTTTTACCTGTCTTTTTGCACTGGATCTTCAAAATGAAATACAGCTGCTATCAACATTCTTTTTTTATTTTTGGCTGGCCTGGTTATCGAGTTGTGGCTGAGAAATGCGCCACTCGACAAAAAGAAATCGGAAATCATAGTTTTCAAAAATAAGCTACTCTTAGTATTGTAAACTTACTTCACCTTGCTGGACTATGCGAAAAGTCTTAATTACTTGATGTGTTTCTGAGCTGCATCATCTCGACCGTTAAGCTTGAGTAATTATATTGCATTTGATGTTGTTGTTGTTGTTGTTGTTGTTTTGTTTTTTCTGGTTTCATGTTTATGCCGTCATTTTACGCACATTTGTAAGATTTGAGACATTTTATCTCAGTCACCTAGTAATTTATTAAAGAACTTAAAAAGTCTTTAGACATTTTCTGACCGCGACTAGAAAGGACACGTTCTGAGAAAAAAAAATTAGTTATCCTATTGTTTGTAAAAAGAAAGCTTTGAGCGATGTTCCTGCCTGGAGTTCACCTTGAATAATAGCAAACACGGCGAAGGTGGCTTAAAACTTAAGGCTTAAATCTGCAAGGGTTTACTCGTAACTCAGGATATTCAGAGACACTTCGCTCTCAATACACGTCTTCGTAAATAAAAAATTGGAGTCCTTTTAAATGTTTGGTTGAATAATATTTTTTGTCTTGATTGTTTGTCAAGATATCGATCTGATCTTTCATATCGCTTTGCTAATTATTATTTTCAGTCGTCCGTGAACATCGCATGTAGGACTACTTAAAATGCCGCGTGTATCAAATGAATATGGCGTTTTAGAAGTAAAATGCAAACGAAAATGATTCTGAGACCTCTTCCTCATTATCAGCTCGCATTGTACGTTTTGGCGCTTGGACGGTGATTTTGTAAATTGAATTAAAATAAATAAGTTTTTGCTCAAAGCCCATTATTACCCTGCTTACTACAAAATGGCAGATTGACCTGACTGAACAGTCCCATCTAATGGTGAATTCTCTATATAAATTACTTTTTATGATGTTATCTTTATAATTTGTTGTGCAAGGGAAGCGCGTGCTTCTATCGACCTGAAAATTGAATGAGTGCAATTTTTCTTGTAAGATTGTTCTGTAAAAAATTGCAGAATTATAACTAAAATAGGGAAAAATGTGACATAAATTCTGTCCGAGGTTTGAAAACAAATAACGCCTGATAGTTGTGTTTACCTCAAAAATAGTGTAAAAAGGTTGGTTTGTGCGTTACCAGATTTGTGGTGAGCCACACACATGAAAAATCCGGCCTGATTTTTTATTTTGGCCTTTCATTTAGACAGAGTGCTAAATTTGATCTTTCTTTGTTCACTCTGAGCCTTTAAACTTCAAATTGGAGAAAGAAACCTCTTTGGTTGACAAAATTGTCACCTCCACATAGCATAGCAACTGATGATTCTCGAGAATCATTCTCTTGGAATCCAGAATCCAAGGCTTTCCTGGATCACCTTTTATGGGGCGAGTTGTTGTTGGTAATGTTTTTGTAATCTTACCTCGATCATTGATGTCCTGTAAATAATGTATACCACGTACCTGAACTATCCGTGATAGCCGTGTAAGTGGCATTAAACCCTGGGTATAGACTGTTCAGAGACGTGAATATGACTTGAACGGAATTCCCTACCGAGTACACTGGATGAGGAAGAGACTGACCGCACAGCATGAACGGTTGATACCCATCATCTGAAGCAACATTTGTGACTGTAACGCGGGCCTCTGGAGCATTATAGCAGCGAATGTACTTATTTGGCTCCAATCGAAAATAGAAGAAGCTAAGTTTAATGATGTACCGGCTGGGAACTGTAATATTCCAGGTACATCTGCTGTATTGTGGTTAGTTACTTGGAAAATTTGGAGTTGAAAAGAATCCACTGAAGCCATTAAGATATTCGCCGGAGGTACCAGCTGCAACCAGAGAAAGCCAACTGTTATTTAGAGTAATCTAGCTGTGAACCAAAACAAAAAAAAACTCAATTGAAAGCATTACTACAGATAAACATAAAAAGTAAGAGATTTACTACCGAACTCTTTTAATATTTCATACTAATAAAAATGGTTGGCATTTCATCGACATTTTAGTTTTTTTCGTTTGTTACTCTGTAAAGTATTTGAATGCAACAGTTGCCATGACCCTGTTATAAGGCTATAATATTTTTTATTCCTTGCTTGAAAATTTACAACCTGGTCCCCTGCACGTGCACCTTCAACTTAATTTGTGAAGGTGTTCAGCACATGTGTTAATGCGTTAAAAGGCGATTTCTAATGACTTACCGGTGGTTGTTGCATTATATTTCACTTTAATGTAAGTTGCCTTAAATCCACGGTACCACCAGTAAGTCCTAGCACCAGAAACAAACGTCACCCTCAGAACATCTTTTGCTGAATAGTATACTATCCCACTGTCTTTATCTGATCTACATCTTCGCCTGCCTGAGATGCCATCAGAGGATGAGCCATTTTGTATTTCCAGGTAGTCACAGGTGCAAGATGAACCACATTTCAGAATATCTATGTCTTTAATGACAAACACAATGCGTTCTCCTTTACTTGCTAGAATTTTCCAGCCGCATTTCTCATTAGATGGATAACGCCGTGGATAATAAGGACTGGTAAGAACTCCTGATGTCTCATTCAGGGTTGCCATATTGGGGCAGACTGCAAGCAAAATAAATGGACTGAGTGTAAGTATTGAGGACAATTAAAATTATACCACTTTCAAGAAAGAATCTAGTTAACGTGGGAAGAAATAAGAACAAAACCAAATGCGGAACGGAAGGACTAAATAATTTTGGCACGCGCCCGAAGCCGTGTTCTTTCTTTATCTGTGAAATCTAAGGGCTGGCCATTAATCGAGATTAAAATGTCGCAAGTCAGCTAAGAATTGCTTCATTCTTACGATGTTTTCAAAAATTGTCCGTACCCGTGACTTTGAAGAAAATTTTGGCCATAGGCGTATGCGCTTACTCTGGCTGGAAGAAAGGCCTTGTCAGGGCGGTGACGTGAAAAAGTTCAAGTTGTCTTTTTTCGTTGAGAAAGTCGATGTGAAAAACAGCTACTTTAGACAAATAATCTGCAACAGTTAAGGTGGTTTTTTTAACGAGCCAGTGAAACGGTTTGCTTTAACTGAAAAAAAAAAAACTAAGATCCATGTAGAACTTCGATTAAGGAAGAATTCAAGCAAAGCACAGGAGATACTTATGAACATCAATGATTTCTGCGAGGAAAGTTTCCCTCAAATTTAGAAAACTGCAAGGAACTTTTAAAAAGTGAAAAATAAAGAGAGTTTTCCCTCTTTGTCTGTACTTCGTACCATATCAAAGATGATAAGAACGACTAGTCCCAAAGCAGGTCGTTTCGTACATCGAATTCTCCACTAGTTATCTTTACATGATTTGGCTTTCGAAAGGGACACTCAAAAACAAAAAAAAACTAAAAAAGCTCTTATTCATCCCCAAAACTTATGGGAGCTTTACTAAAGATTCGTTTATTAAGCATTTATTCGTGCCTTTCTTTCGTGGCTTGGTTAATATTGAACAATAGCCACTGACACTGAGCTGAATAATTGTTATTTAGAAGTATGTAACGTTGAACTGTTTTCCTCAGGCCCGGTTCAAACGTCGAATTTCATGATCACATCACGCGCCGAACTTAACGGGAGAGTTGAATGCATGTGAAGTGCAAAGTTTGAATCAGTTAAATTCAACTGCTTAAATTAAATGCAACGCTTGAATCAAATGTCGTATTTAACTATTTTAGTCGACTAAAATAGGAATTAAGTTCGGCACATGTGAAATTCAACGTTTGAACTGGGCCTTAGCCAAGACAGTTCAACGAGAAAAAGCTTTTTGTTGCAAAAGCTGAATAATACTGCACTCAGATTGGGTACGCCTTTTCTACTCCGCCTGGTTACGATACTGTTACACATAATAATGTTCGTTGTATCACAATGAGATTTTTAAAATAACGTACCTAATCTTGTTAAAGGTGCAAACAGCATGGAAGATGGTGAAGGTGTTTCAGTTGCGCGTTTATCTAATGCCAAAGTAGTGCTCACTACGACAGATGACAAATAGCCTCGTTGTAAGCTGCTTGGAGAAATAGCTAACGATGACAACAGCAAGGAAGACACTGAGGGGAATACGGATGTACCTTTCTCCAAAGCCCAGCTCGAACTCATTGCGACAGGTGAAGATTCACTTCTGGGTGGACGGCTTGAACGAACAACTGATTTTGACACAACAGGCAACAAAGACACCAGCTTGGACGACACCAACGGCAATTCGGGTGTGCTTAGTTCTTTTGCCATACCAGAGCTCAGTGCCACAAATGACGAACTACTTATGGCCAAGGTACTTGAAAGAGAAAATTTTGAGGATGATATAGAGACCGAAGACAGTGAAGGTACTGCGGCTGTATTTTGGCCTGCCACATTCGAATTCCCTGCAACATCGAGGACACTACTCGCCTTAGTGCTTGAATGGTCTGAGGATAACACTGCAGCAAATGTCATCAACACCCAGGTGCATGTAGCTGTTATCAAAGACAATAACCATAATTTCTGATACTGTTTGCATTAAAAAAAAAAAAAAAACAGTAAAAATTGTATATTTAAAAGGGGTCTGCCACGCTATCTGCTATCTTTTAAATGCTAATACCTGAACTCGCATCAATAGAATGGTCTAGCTTTGTTATTTCATAGACTATGTTTAAGTATTGAAACCGTTTCCTTTCGTCTGTTACAAAAGATGGCAAGGATGACCCCAAGGATGAACACGGATTGAGACAATGTTGGCCTCACTTTTAACGCTATGCGTGCAAAAATCATCCAAAAAATTGTGAAAGGTAATGCTGCCTGCTGAGATTTGCTTGATATCTTTGTTATATCTGTAACTCAGGAGAATATTTGTGACTTAACCCTTTCACTGCCAGAGAGCTTGATGGAGTTTTGTAAGGTGAATGTAACTTTCGAGTCTGCGGTGTAAATCCTATGTTGTGGCCACTCAAATAAAAGCTCTCTTCCTGTACCGACTTTCACAGAATGCTATTTCTTTTTCAAAATTTCACGAAAGGAAATTTGGAAATTTGGTCAAAATTTGCTTTTGCTAAACTTGGCAGTAACCACATAATTGACCAAAATCAGCAACATCCTTGTGACATAGCCCCTTTTAGTACAAGTGATAAACCCGTTCATTCAGTTATGAGTAAAACGAAGAAACAAACAAAACAAAACAAAAAAAACGGCTTTGTGTAATTCACCTGCATCAATTGCAGTTGTTCATAACTTACTTAAGAGTAGAAACAAACCACGAATCCATCGCATTTCCATACCTGAGTAGAGAACAATTCAGTAATACAATAGACTAATTAAGACTTTAAAACGTTTTTATGATATAGTTCCGATATTAGTACTGTCATTGAATTATAAATTGTTGTCACAATAATTTTATTGTGGACATCCCAATGGACATCCATGTTATGGTCAATTGACAGCTGTCAAAAACAGCATCCGCTCAAAAGTGGCACCTGACTGTATTGAGGACTCAAGTGTACAACTCGTTGAGGTGACGTGTTTTTTCAAGTTATCCGCTGGCCAGTTGTTGGTTTTAATTGATCGCATGCTCATGTCCATAATGAAAGGCTATGTAATAAATAACTTATTAACCTGGTCCGTCGCTATCGCACGGTCAATACATCTGACTCGGTCTGAGATTTCCCTGTAATGAGCTCACTCTCGGTTAATAAGTAGTATTTATTGTACCCCTCAGCCTTTGGAACCAAGTATGAATTTTAACGATTCGGAACTGGACTATACGGAGTGTCAACGAGGTAATCGTTGATGTTTTAAAGATGTAAATACAGTAAAAACCCGCATATAAGAATTTAGTGATTAAGAACCTACAGGTTGAAATTTGGCATTTAAATACCCAAAAAAATTATATGAACTTGTGAAGCCTGGCAAAGAAAAATAGGTTCTTATACAAAACAATCACTCCAATTTTGACTGTCAAAATTGTCGACTTTAATTGTGTGAGAAACGTTTGACAAAACGTTATTGTGTATATGTTTTGTTTGATTTACATTTGTTTGGATTTTCACTAGAAGTATGTTTTCCATAAAGCTACCGTGCAATATAGACGATTTAAAATCTTAACATCTCATTTAAAAAGTATAAAAATGTATTGATATTCTTCTTGGACCTTGAATGTTTGCCATTACGTATTCGTGGTACAATATTTCTGCCAATGGTTACAATATGACAACCTCTGAAAAAATAAGAACCTTTTATGAAAGGTATACCTTTTTTCAGGCTTCAGCTGTAGGAAGTGGTTGGGGTTTCATTGGTTGAAGTATATGAAAAGGTAGGGAAATAAGAAATTTCGGTTTGTGAAAGAATCAAAAAGGGCTCACAAACGCATTTTATGGATGTGAAATTAAGAGACGAGAAAACTTCTTGGTTTAGGAATTTATTTATTTAAAAAAGGCAGTGAATTTACAGCAGTTTAAAGAGAAGCAGTGTTTTAAACTAGGTATGTGAAAGAGGTGCCATTTGTCAGTAGAAGGTTTACAGAATGGATACATTTTCTGTCATAAAATAATGGTTAGTTTAAAAAAAGGGTAAGTGGTTGGACCTCGTAGCGGAACTTCCCCGTATGAAATTTCCTTGAGTACCCCCGGGCTACTCCAATGCGAAAATTAGATGGTTGGAAGTTGTCGCGCGGCAACTTACTATGCATGTTCATAACGACAAAGAAGAAAAAAATGTGCGAAATAAGTAAGTGCCACATAAATGTCGCCATGATTACATACGCGCATTCGCAAGCAGCTCTTCAAGCGTTGTTTTGTACATAGATGCCTTTTTAACTTTATTTAGTTTAATGCTTGAAAGAAAACATGTATTTTTGTGTTGCATGGTAAACTTGCACGTGGCATGCGATTATTTACTTTAATCTATCAATAAAGATCTTCAAGAATGTCTGCTCAGCCTAATAAGTGCTAACTCATTCCAAGGACCCAGATTTTGAATACGTTTTTCATACATATTTTGAATGATAAAGTGACTGTTTGCACTCACTGAAACACCAAGAAACTAATAAATTCGATCGTGGAGTGCCCAACTGTTGGCCATTTAAATTTATGACATAAACTCGATATAGGGCCCTTCGCAGTGCTATAGTTGGAAGTCTTGGAACTAGTGTTGTTTACCTTACTCTCATCGTAGCAAGCTAAATCATTCTATTATCAATTAACAAGTAACTGCAGCACTCAAAGTTATGAAGATTTTAAACTATTTCTTATCTCAGCTTTTGATTGCTCACACTGAAGGCGTAAATACGAAAGACAGAGCTAACTTCTTGTTTTCGCATTTGTTGAACCTTAACGTGACGCTGAAGTGCTTCCCTCCACTGCGAAAGCATAAGTTGTGCACATTGACTCAGTCAAACGTACGGCGTACGTTTGAGTTAAAGATATCTTCTCTTACCTCCAAATCGTAGAACTCTTGGTAAGCCTCGATAGTTTTAGCCTGAGAAGCTGCACCTAAGCTTTTCTAGCGTAATATCGAGCAGACGTCTGGAGCCAAAACGACTCCCCACCCATCGAGCTTTTAACAGCAGTCCACAGGGAATTACGAAGAAGCCGATATTCTTTGTTGTTGTTCTGTCGACCATTATACTCAAAGATGACAGTCAAGCTCAGTTTATCTTTAACTTCACTGATATGCCGAAAAAAACAGCTACTAAAGTATGGCATTCTACATTAAGGTAACCCAAGCGTAATTCTCGCCGGCCACGGCCACGGCTGCTCCAGACCTACAACTGTTGTTAGGTTAACGTGCCATAATTTGTGGAGCTCATTAGCCTTAATACAACGAACAGACTTGATTGCTCTTAAGAAAGGTTTTTTTTTCGTTTAGATTTTTATCGGATGATTGTCGTTGGTGGCCTTTTTAGATTGCGATCTATTAATAGACTAACTACAACATCCCAAAAGAGATATAGCAATCAAAAAGAAAATAAAACAACAAGTCAACCATACTGAATTCTTTGGTTATGAGTGCTAGTTTTAATTAGCACTCAGTGTCGTCTATGGGGGTCCAATGAGAACGTCAAAAAGCAATAGGTTTAGGCCCCGTCCACAGGTATCCGAATATATTTGAGAAGTGAGATTTTTTTTAACGTAGCGTATTCGAATCGATTCAGCCCGTCCACTCGAAAACCCGTCAAAAAGTTGGAAATACGATAACATCCCTTACGGAGCATGCGTCATGTTAGATCATCATCGTATTCGAAAACCTCCCTTTCCGTCCGTAGACGAGAAGCCAGCGTTTACAAAAATATCCGCTGTGGAGAGAGTTTTCGAAAAAGTTGCGTTTTCGTTGGCCGTTTTTCACCGGAGAAGTGTGGACGGTAGGCAAAACTGGAGGGAAAAAATAACCGTTCTCAAACAAAAACAGACACGTGTGAACGGGGCCTTAGGCACAGGCCACGCGTATCGGGTTATTTTTGAAAACGGAGAACCCGTACGAAACGAAGTTTTCGGGCGACAAAACTGCACGTTTTAGAAAACGATTACCATGGAATTTCTTGAAAACGTTGGATTATCGTTTTAGTGTGGATGAACGAAAAATAGGTTTTCGAATACTGTACATGGGCGTAGCCAGCCCATAGACTTGTAGGCCCGGGCCTACAATTTTTTTGTTTGATCACTCTATCGCTGGTAATAAATTATGCGTTGTTGGGGTGAGCTAAAAAGCTTTAAGAAGTCAAAGTGATGGTGAGGTCAGTGCATGCTAGTTATGCGTGCAATTTTCAGCATACGTGGAAATGAAAGTCAGCCAGGCCTACAAAATTAAATTCTCGAAAAGCTGGCTACACCCATACTGTGATTTCAGACATCATACTGAGCGCACGCCCCTTAACCCATTCGCTCCTGGAGATTTTGCCGAAAAACGCGTTTTGAAGCTAGTCGAGTGGTTTTCTGGTCACTGTCGTGCTATAAAGATCTAAAACTTACTACAAACCGGTTTACAGGTCGTACACTTCGCGACCTTCTGATCCAGATGCAAAATATCAGTTTGCGAAGTTCGGGCATGCGCAGAAAGGAAAATTTCGAGATTTTTGGGTTTTTCTTGACTTTTACCTTTCGCTTTCTCTCCTCCCTTCTTTTTTCGCTTTTCTTGCCTCATTTTTTTTTTCTCTTGCTGGGCATTTAGTAGGCTTCATTTTGGTGGGAATAGTTTTTAGGAAAGCTCTTAGGATCTTAGGATTAGGCGAAAGGTAGGGCGGTAGGCGGGCAATGGAACAAGATTTTCATGGAGATTTTCAGGTCCATGTCACGTGGTTTTTTGCTTCTTTCTCTGGTGTCCTTGACTGAATTTTGCTCATTCTGGTATGGTTTGAAAGATGTCTTCACTCTGCAAAAGTTAGCGAAGAAAGTTGTCCTTGACCGTTAAAACTGATGACGTCACAAAGGGTAGAAAGGACCTGGATCCGCACGGGCGGTTCAGGGGCGAATGGGTTAAAGGATACTACCTATCCATTGTTTTTGTGTTTCAAACGATTCGAATTCGAATACGATACGAATAAGTGTGGACGCGTGGACTCGTATTTTTTTTTTTTATTTCAAAACCGGAGAAAAATGTCCGTTGTTAAAAATATCCGATTAAGTATGTGGACGAGGCCTAAGATTAGCAAAACAACTTTGCGTCTCGAGTGCAACACACTTTTTGGAGAACTTCCTTTGCCGTTATTTCACCTCTACGACGTGAAGTTGCCAATAATTTCAAGCTTAATGGAGAACGTAAACATATGACGACGGATTTCTCTTTCTCTTTTGAACTTGGGTATTTTCTTAGGAATTCAACTCCAGGAGGGTTTGCCTACATTAATTTAACAAAGTGAGCGAGTTAAGATAATCAGTCTTGCTGAAGTTTCAAAGAACGCCGTTGTGTTTACACACTTTTACCTGTTTTAGTCCGTTTTAGAGTGAGACTTATATACAGGCTGTTGATGTAAAATGCAGAAGGAGTAATGCAGAAGGGAAAATGTAGAATGTAGATTACATTAATGTCAATTAAATTTCCTTTAGGGAGATTATAGTGGAAATCAACTCATGTGCATATCGCTTCTCTCTATTACCCTCTGATTTTTCGGGATAGAGGTAAGTACGGCATTGTGATCATGTCAAATGAACGAAATACATTCAAACATGTATTAATTTAAGCGGTCACCTCTATTAAGTGGTCGCGGTCACCCCCTTCGAAGTCTAAATGAGTTATTTTTTATTGTCTTCATCGTGACGAGAAGCTACAAGATGTATCATAACAGTGCAACAGATACATTATAATTCAAAGTCAAAAAGAGCTATGCAGTGATAAACTTTGAAAAGCTGTTTGACTAAACATTTTTCAAAGCCCCAACTGTGATCAAATTTTTTTGCACTCTTGTCCAAATCCGTGTCCTCGTCTTTCGTGATTCCCGCGTTTGTTAAATTTTCCTTCACTGATTTAGCGATTGATTTTGTATTACAGTCGATTTATTGGCCGGTCTCTCACGTTTAAATTTTGACTGAACTGCGTGACAGAGTTTTTAACTACTTCACTTTATTCTGACAGAATAGTGGTTTCCCTTGGCCACTCCTTATTCCTTCCCCCGGAGTTTGAGTCATCGATATTGAAAAATGTACAAATCTTTCCCCGCCTTTGCATGACATAGTAAAATTCACCATAGGTTTGATTCTTTCCCAGAGAGGATTGCAATCCAGGGTAATATCTTTCCTCGGGTTTTTACCCTACCTCACTCACTTTAGGTTAAGAAGCTGAAAACCTCGGTAGGAAAGTTGGTTGACCAGTGTTTCGGTGTTATTCCGATATCAAGAGGGAGTCTTCCTAAAACCGGTCCACTGCGTTTCGGGTCGGAGAATCAATTTCCTTTAAACCTTGCCCATGAATTTATCTTGGTCCAAAAGTAATTGAAACCGCATTAGTGTTTAATAATATTTCAAAATAAATTTTTCGGGAGGAAAATCACTTCAGCGCCCAGTGGCCAAATTTTTGCAGTGACAGAGTAAAAATTGCGCATATTGTCGAGTTCACCACTTCAAAGTTTTTCACTTTAAACGATTTTTTTCACTTCCTAGGATTAAATTGGTCCTTAAATGATGTAAAGCACACAAATTTGGTCCTTCAAAAACAACTCATATCCACTCAATATTTTTTGATTTACAGCCACTTTGCCGTAGGCGGGAAAGGGCTCAGAAATGCATATTTTCATCCTAGCTCTGTGCAAAATCCCCACATCTTCTAAACAACATACCTTTTCGGGCCAACAAAGGGAATGCCCAAAAAACATAAAAAACATAAAAATATGTTGTGATTTAAGCGATTTATCAGCACAGCCGATCGACGAAATATGCCTAACTTGAGTCTATTTTCTGTTATGACTGTTTACAATACACGATCGAAGGTCTTAATGCAAAGCCGCAATAACACAATACTTCTTTAAACGTATCAAGTATTTTAAACTTTTTATGACTTTTAACAAAATGGAACATTATTTAGGAAAGGAAACCCTTTAAGCCGAACGTATTAATACTACAGGTGTACCTGTTTACAGCGCTTCGACCCGATCGAGTCGGTATTACTACGTCTGGAATCTTTCCACAGCGAAAACATTTCTTGCTAGCCTGACTAAAATTGAAAGGCAGGAAATTATCTTATCAATAGCTTATTCTATTATATTTATTGCTGTTTTCGTTGACAAGCTACAAATCAAGAATCATGCATGCATAAGTGCCTAGTGCATTAACAATAGCAACTTTTAGTTTTCCATTCAGGTTAGCATTTATAAAATAATTGGTTGTCGCTATGAGCTTTCACTTTGTTTTGTTTTAATTAAGTTTATCGTTTATGTTTGCATTTTTTTTTTTTGAAATATAGTTCATATTTCTGGTAGACCGTGGCATTAAACCGACGAGTGCAACTGTGGGGCTGGAGATGGAGGCAGAGCGTGCTTGCTGGCAGGAGGCCCGCTAGACTGTTCACAGTCCTCTATTTTTCCGTAAAATCATCGGGATCAAGCACATTCTGTAACAGGTGGCCATCTTGGTTTCTAAGGTACCGGGTTTAGTAAACACAGCAAAGAAGATTGATACCTATAGGGAGTACCCCCCCGAGAAGTACGAAAAATTGTCAACGGGTTACTCCCCTCCTTTCCGTCCCCTAAATGTTTTCATTCATAGTGAAGTTAAAAAGAACCCTTGAAACGTTTCCGTTTGTACACTTTACTAGAAAATACTTTTATGCTCATGCAAATACAAAAAAAGAAAAAGAACTGCAGTTCAGATCAGTATCCATGTTAATGTTTACAAAAGTAGTAGAACTTGAAACTTTCCACAGTAAGTGGAAACCACAACGAGTCCTAATTGCATTCTAAAATTTACTTATCCGCAGTTTATTACTTTGAACACGCGAACAGTAGTGTAAAAAAAAAAAGTTAAACTATTGGAATGTGATCACACACTGAGAGTAAATGCCAAGAGAAATTTGAGATTTAACTCGGCGTTCTTTGAAACTGCTACAAGATGCTGATTCCCAAATGAAATTTTCCGAGGCTTTTAATCGTTATTGGCAAAAGAGAGTATTGCGTTCAACTTGGTGTCAGCATCTTTTATTTAATAAATACTGATATTTACAGTGCATTTATAATGGGATCCATTTCAATAGCTGTATTGACTCTTTATAGTTCATAGACGATTAACGCTGCAGAGTCCAATCCCGTACAGCCACTTGCATTAGTGTCTGGAAAGGAAAACGTATGGGTGACTTATGCTATCAAATATCACTTACATTGAAAAAGCTCTCAAAAGGTTCCCGTTTTTAGCCCCGTTCACCCTTAACCATCATAGGGTCGACCAGATCGTAAACTTATAATGAAATCCTTTCTAGTGGACAGGTGTAAATATTAATGTATGCCCTCAACAACGGGAACCTCAGTACAAGCTTAGACATTGAGCCTTGGTACGCCACACCCATTTAATATTTCATGATATACATTATACTATCAAATGAAACTGGCTTGCCCTTGTTCCACTTTTCTGCTGCAGTACAAAGGCACCATTTGCTCAGAAATGCATTGATTTGCTTGTCAAAATTGTACTGGTCACAAACAACACGAGTGATTTTTTTTTCTTACCTGACCTCAAGCATGAGTATATCAACTACGAAGCGTAATAGTGGCTGAGTTAGCATGAACCATGCCAATGCATCACACTGTCAAGATCTGTCAATTCTGCAGACTTCAAGTTTTAATTGTTTCCTTCCGATACCAAAAAAAAAAAAACATAAAAACAAAATCAGTTCCTTAGTCAGGCAAAGAAATGTAAATGAAATATTTTTAAGCTCAACAAGTAAATACCATACATGGCCCTAGCCTGAGCAAATACTTGACATTTCGGGACGACACCACTAGTTTCCCCGTGACTGAAATGACGTCTTAGAAACGATTACAGAAATTCCATACTGATGACAGATCTGGGTAGTGCCTCACGGTTCGACCAATCAGAATCACTACACAGATCTGGGTAGTGACACATTTCTGCAGTCGTTTCTCAGACGTCATTTCGCGCGGGGAAACCAGTCGTGGCGTTCCCAAATGTCGGCTGTTTTCTCAGGCTGACATGGCCCCGTGTTTACCCTTCTGCATTTCCAGTGAATAATGCAGAAGCAGGATACTTATAGCGAGACGCTATCCGTACTCTTTGCAAACCGCCTGCTGTAATGCATGGCATCAGTTTAAATCCACTCTTTGTAGTAGATAGCTGCGAAATCTCTTGCTCAAGTAGCACACTACCATCAAAACCCCTTTTCGCGTGCCTTTCACTTAAATGAATGTGTCATCCCCACAATCTGATAGCCTAGAACAGACCACCTTAGAAGAAGGCTCACCTGTGTCTTGTTCAATACTCCCTATTTTAAGCGATCAGAGAAAGTGTAAAATTTGTAAGTATTCGCAGTCTCCCTTTAATCAGTTTTCGTTCTCAATGTTATCTCTTTTCTTGCGCCTCAAAACTGGACCGAACTATACGCGAAAGGATGTGGAACAGAAGAGAATTTTGAATCCTTATTTTGAACAGCATTTTTGCCGAATGCTGCCGCGCCTGCCAATTATCTCTTTCTCGATATCTATGACAACGATGCTCCGATTCTCAAGTTCACTGTACAACGCCCCTACAAAAAATGAAAAAGGATAGATTAATGTTAGGAAATACGTATACTTTAATTCGTAATTTTAAAACTATTTGAGTTTCCTTAATTGGAAACTCCAATCTGAGACATTTTTGTGGTATGGAGACTTAAATCTAAATCAATGTCAGACTGATTTGAGCTTCCTTTATTTAAAAATTCCAATCAAAGCCGTTTTTGTGGAATGGAGACTTGAATCAAAGTTTTTTGTGCATTAAAAATGCTTAAATGCAAGATGACTCCAACATATGATCTTGAATTTCAAGTCTTTACCACTTGATAAATAGACTTAATAAACAAGATTTCACTTTATCAAGCTTAAATCTACATTGAGCTTTCAAACTGGGTAAAAACATGGAGGTGAAATCAAACTTACACTGCAGTTAAAAATCACTACTCCGGAATCTAATAAGCGGAAACTTCTATTCAAAGCCTTTTACGTCACAAGTATAGGTTCAATACAAATTTCCTCAAAGTTAGCAGTAATTGTAATTGCATGTTTTTCAGTACTTTTTCTACCTTCTCATTGCAAAGACTCAAAAACCAGCTATCTGATAAGGCTTAATTCCAAGCTTCTGAAGTTTGAAATTCTTGCCCTGTGTCTTAGAAGCTGACGGAAATCGATACTTTTACCAAGATCGTAAGAGTATGAGTTCAATCTTCTTGAACGGAGAAATCATGTTTGTCCAAGATGGATTATCGGGAGCAACATGAAATCGCAGTTAACAGTATGGACATAAATAACCCGTGATCTTTATCTTTATGATTTATTTAAAATGAAAATCACATTACTTCAGGTGCCCGGCAAATATTAAGTTATACTAAAAGTGGACAAACACGAGCAACTAAAACCCCCGAAAATATAACATCCGAAAAGCCTATTTCGACGTCAACTGTTACCTGACTGATATCACAAACTGCCAAAAATTAGTGTACCGTCCATTAACCTCCATCTGCGACCACCTCTCGTAAGTGACCAACTACCTGTATGTATCAAAACCACTAAAACTTTCCCAGGCAAAGCCCTGTAATTAGAACCTCTTGTAAACGACTACCTCTCTTTAGCGACCGCGACAGCTTTTTGGTACCCTAGGTTCCAGAGGCTATTTTTTGGTTATCTAATTCCTGATAGTTGGCGTCTATCCAGCGGATAAGTATTAGGGAAACTAATTGCACTATCCACTGGATAGTGATTTATCCGGTGTATAGCTCTATCCAGCCTTTGAACAACCGAGGCCAGGGCCCGGTTGCATAAAACGTCCGTAACAACTACGGGTACACGTAAGTGCACTCGTAACTTAAGTCACTTGCATGAAATCACTTAAGTAGTCCACTTAGGGAATTCACTTTTTTTTTACGGGAAAAATAGCACATAAATTTACGGGACCTATGTAGGTCCCGTATCGTCACTGTTTTTACTAAATTTAACGAGACCTTTACTGAGAAGTGAAAAAAAGTATTTTTCTTCACGTAATTCGTTCTAATGCGCTTTGTTAACCTCTGATGTACACTTTTGTGAAAAAAGAAGAAGAACTATCATTTTCAGTAGATATTGAAGAAAAATAACGTTTGCATGCAAATTTCATTTATTGAGAACCTTAAAAAAGTTGGAAACGACTTTTAACTTTCTTTAAACTCACCGATAGTTATCTTAAAAAAAAAGGTGAATCGTTAATAAAGTTCTATATCAAGGTTACGTGTGCCCTTAAGTGAGCCCGTAAGTTACCACGTAAAACAGAAACTTACGAGAGTGCTAAGTGTGTTCCATGCAACACCCGTAAGTGTACCCATAACGGATTCGTAAGTGACCTACTTAAGTGAGCACTTAAGTGCAGGTTTTATGCAACCGGGCCCAGGGCCCGGTTGCATAAAACGTCCGTAACAACTGCGGGTACACGTACGTGCACTCGTAACTTAAGTCAGTTGCATGAAATCACTTAAGTGGTCCACTTAGGGAATTCACTTAAGTGGTTGCACTTACGATTTTCGTAAGTGTTCACTAAAGCGTCGTTTATGCAACAGAAATTGCGGCTGTTGCATAAAACTTTTTTTACGGGAAAAATAGCACTTAAATTTACGGGACCTATGTAGGTCCCGTATCGTCACTGTTTTTACTAAATTTAATGAGATCTCTACTGAGAAGTGAAAAAAAGTATTTTTCTTCACGTAATTCGTTCTAATGCGCTTTATTAACCTCTGATGTACACTTTTGTGAAAAAAGAAGAAGAACTATCATTTTCAGTAGATATTGAAGAAAAATAACGTTTGCATGCAAATTTCATTTTTTGAGAGGCTTAAAAGTGTTGGAAACGACTTTTAACTTTCTTTACACTCACCGATGGTTAGCTTAAAAAAAAAAGAAGAGTGAATCGTTAATAAAGTACTATATCAAGGTTACGTGTGCCCTTAAGTGAGTCCGTAAGTTTCCACGTAAAACAGAAACTTACGAGAGTGCTAAGTGTGTTCCATGCAACACCCGTAAGTGTACCCATAACGGATTCGTAAGTGACCTACTTAAGTGAGCACTTAAGTGCAGGTTTTATGCAACCGAGCCCAGGAGCTTTATCAAACCGTGATCAATTTGCCAGCGAGCTCTAAATTGTAGTAGGATCAGAAACTTGTCAATGTACTACTTTAATCTTTATAGGATACTTACTTGCAGGTGGTTCTTTTGTGATGGTTGTGTGTGGTAACTCTAATGAAAAAAAAAAAAAACGACAACAACAACAACAAACAAACAAAACAAAACAAAAAAGAAATTAGTTTCTCTCCAGAAACGTGGGATAAGATGCATTTTTGGCCCCAGTTGTTCAAAAGTTGGAGCCATATCCATTGGATAAATCACTATCCAACGGATATCTGTTACGGAAACAAATTGCGCTATTCAGTGGATAGTGATTTATCAGGTTGATAGCTAGCGTTATCCACCTTTTTAACAACTGGGGCCAGTAAGTAAGAAATACTTCTGTTTCTCCAGAAACGCCTTGTATTCAGATCTTTAGGCGACCATGTGCGGTCTAAGTTTACTAGTCACCAACCAAAACATACTACAGAGAAAATGGAGTGTTTGTCCCACCCAGATGATAAGCAAATTGCCCAAATGTTAAAACCAAATAAGCGAACAAAAGAAAAAACAAAAAACACATCTGCTCGGTATCTGAATCCTAAGTGAAAGATGTTTCCTAGCTTGGCGTAGAGGTTTTGTCATTTTCAGTTCCACAACAGGCTAAGAAATAAGCAGTTTCACTTACCAGATACACCGAAGGCAACTTGAGTATATGATATTTTAAATCTAGAGTCCCATCCCATAATACTTTCGGAGACAAATAGTACTTTAATTCTCTCTTTAAACCAAAGATACGTTGCGTTGGCTGTTAAAGGAACGGAACATACACCCCATTTGGGACCATCATGGCCTGAAATGGATCCACCTTGAATTTCCAAATACCCACACGCGCAAGACCATACTTCATCGCACCGCCAATAACCTGACGAATCAATATCCATGTCTTCAATATCCATGTCCTCAATAGTTAATAAAATTCGTTTTCCTTTTCGTGCCCTGATTTCCCAGCTGCAGCTTCGCTTATTAGAATGATACCTGGGGTAGAAAGGACTGGTGATGACTCCTGAAGTCTCATTCAAGATTGTCATATTTGGACAGACTGTAAAAGAATATTAAACATATCTCTTGGAAAATATTTCTTTTAGCGCCTTAATATCTTGAGAAGGCAGATCTTCCACTTCCCCCCTCATCCCTGATTAATATTTTCAAGGGCACTTCTTTACCACCGTCTCAATATCCCAGAATCCATCTGAAAATGACTTACTGTAATAGTTTTGCTTGAAATAGTAAGATATTGTTGTCACGCTTGACTCATAAGGCGGCTTTTAAGCCCCCTACAAAATACAAAATACTGCGTGCTAACATAACTTCTTGTAGTATATGTGAATATTTAGGTCTACAGTCCCCACCCCCCATGTTTGTATTACCGAGCAAGCGCTTTGACTGTTATGATGATTCTTGTCCCCAGAGCCTGTTGTTTCTTGGTCACGTGGTTTTGAAACGAGGGGCCAAATTAAGCCGAGTGGCTCTGGGGACGAGATTGGAACACACACGTTTGCACGAGCAGCAATGGTTGTGTGTGTTGGTGGTTAAATCCGATTCAATCCTTGGTTAAATCCGCAAGGCACTACATTTTGGCGACGAGGACGTCATTTGAAGAAGTTCATTCGAGATGGCAAGTGTATATTTAAGCGATGCACAAGGATTAAAGCCGTTTGACTGTTCAGAAACTGCTGGTATTTCCGCAGGGAAAGATGGCTTCGAGCTTTTTGAATTGTTTGCGACGGGAAAAGGAGTCAAAAATGTTGATCAGAAGAAGGCTTTATTGCTGCTCACTGCCGGATTAAATGTGCAAGATATTTATTTAACGTCGACCGAAGAAGGAGGATCAGATATCTATCAGAAAGCAAAGGCGACCTTGAATAAATATTTCAAACCGCAAGCGAATGTTCCGTATGAAAGGCTTTGTTTTCGTGAAACAAGTCAACTGGCAAACGAAACCGTCGAACAGTTTGTTACTAGACTGAGACAAAAAACCCAAACCTGCGAATTCGGAGACGCTGCAACTGTGGATGAGCAAATTCGTGATCAAGTGATAAGCAAATGCTTGTCGCACGAACTCCGTCGGAAGTTACTTCAGAAGGGTCGAAACTTGACACTGCCACAATTAAGAGAAATTGGTCGTTCTATTGAGGAATCTGAAAAACAGGCCCGTTCATTTGAAGGAGGAAGTGGTGAGGTCCGTAGTGAAGTGAATAGTGTGAGCGGAAAGACGAATTACAAAGGGGATACGAGAGCAAGAAAAGTCAAATGTTTTTGTTGTGGATATATGGGACATAAAGCCAAGGATCGTCGTTGTCCAGCGAGAGGGAAACAGTGCAGGAAGTGTAATGGATCAGGACATGTAAAGGCTGTGTGTAAAACTAAAGAGAAGCAAACCAGTGGTCGAGGAGCTGGAGAGCCGCGTAAACCAGACGTCGGAAAGAAGGGAGGTGCAGCTCACCATGTAAGGCAGGTAGAAACTGAAGGTACTCAGGATGATGATTGCGAATATGCTTTTGGCATTTTAGGTGATTCTAATGTTTCAAGTGATGGGAAAATTCCTGTGAAGATAGGAGGTTTACCAGTAACAATGATTATTGATTCTGGTGCTAGTTGCAATGTCATAGGTCGTAAAGTATGGGAATATCTGAAAGCAAATAAGGTTGCATATGCGTCGACTAAGGCTTCAAAGAAGCTGTATGCATACGGTAGTAATCAGCCACTATAAGTTGCAGGCATGTTTACCGCAGAAGTGTCTGTTAGAGAGAGTGTGTTAAGTGGGGTTGAATTTGTTGTCATTCAAAATGAGGGACACGCCCTCCTTGGGCGGGAAGCTGCCATTTTTCTAGAGGTTTCTACGGATGGAGAAAAATAGGAGGCCAGTATTTTTGAAAAGTTCCCGGGATGTTGTGAAGGTATTGGCAAACTGAAAGATTTCCAGCTAATAGTGCCCATTGACCCAAAGGTACAGCCTGTGGCACAACCAATTAGGCGGGTCCCTTACCACTTGCGTGATAAACTGAGTACCAAACTGGATGAACTTGTGGAACTTGACATCATTGAAAAGGTGAGTGGACCAAGCTCGTGGGTCTCACCAGTGGTAGTGGTGCCCAAGCCCTCAGGTCATATTCGTTTGTGTGTGGATATGCGACAAGCCAAAATAGCAGTAAAATGAGAGCGTTTCCGAATACCCACCATTGACGAAGTTTTACAAGATCTGAACCAGAGCAAGTTCTTTAGCAAGTTGGATCTTACCTCTGCCCATCATCAGATAGAAATGTCGCCCGCATCAAGGGATATCACTACATTTGGCACACACAAGGGACTCTACCGGTACAAGCGACTCACGTTCGGTATAAGTTGTGCACCTGAGATGTACCAGAGGGTACTTCACCAAGTCCTGCAAGAGTGTGACGGAGCTCATAATATTCTTGATAATGTAATAGTACATGCACCCACTGAGGAGGAACATGACAAAAGATTTGAGAATGTGGTCCGAGTACTGAGCAGCAGGAGGTTGACACTACCCTTACCAAATCCAACTCCAAATCCAACTCCAAATCCAATTTGAAAACTGTTTTTAACCTGTTTTGTGAAATAGGTTTTAAATAGGGTGAAAAGTGTATTTTTAATGTATTTTTCGACTGCTTTTATAAGTGTTTTAACCTGTTTAAAACGCTATTAAAAAAAGAATTTTTAAAATATTTTAAAATTCGTTTAAAATATATAAAAAATTCCAGGGCTTTTGCAAGGCTCAAAACAGGTCTTAAACAGTTTTTAAATACCTTATAAATCGGAATAAAAACAGGATAAAAAACAGTTTCAGAAACATATTTCAATTTGCTATACTATTTTAAAACTATTTAATGGCAATTTTAAACGTATTTTCCAAAAAAAAAACTGGTTTAAAATAGGTACAAAAATATATTTTTAATATATTTTTCGACTGATTTTAAAGTTGTTTTAACCTGTTTAAAACGCTATTAAAATGTTATGCTTCAAAATATATTTTAATAGTTTTTTAATATGTTTTGAAATTTAGAAAAATATTCGTATTTGCAAATACAATAAAAATACTTTGAAAATAGTATTAAAATACCACATGACAGAAGAAGAAAAGCAATAGCACGCATATATTGTGAAAATACATCAAAAAAAGGATGCAAAAATGCAAAAACAGTATAAAATTGTAAGAAAATAGCCTTAGAGTTGTCTGAAAACAGTACAAAAATCGGTCGAAAAGGCATAAAAACAGTACAAAAACAGGATGGAAATACCATTTATTAAATTCATGAAATAAAATGAATACAAAACCGTGGAAAATTACTCTGAAAAAGCAAGATTTACCTCTGCGAAATTTCTCCACACAGTCCTAGGCTAGGATTTCACGAGAATTATCTCTTAGCCGATTACTTTACGTTGGTTTCCCTACGAATTCTCGGGAAATTCTTATGGAATTTTTCAGAAATGCTGAAGTAAATAGTTAGCCTTTTTGCAGACCCCCTGAGGCTATCAATCTTCGACTTCAAAAGGGTATTGCGTTACTGACGTTTCCGGTAAATATAATAATCTACATACATGTAGCTTACATTGTTTATTATATTCACGGCTTTACTCAAATCAGAAGCTTTCAGGCTACGCCTGAACATTAATTATTGGCTGATAAAGAACAACATAAGAATAACACCATCAAATTTACGCGAGCATGAAAGAGGTCGGTGACGTGACATCAAGTGACTGAGATCAATCGTACAAAAACAGTGAGCATGGAGCCCTGTAAAAACTAAAATTGCCGCACAGGCGGGAGTGTATAAAGGTTTACTATCCTTCATTTGTTTCTCATATGGCGTATACTTAAGCGTCTTAGTAACATGTTATGCATATAGAAGGAACATTGTATGCTATAATACTCACATGAGAGAGGCTCTTGGATTAATACACAAGACCGTGTGCTTCGAAGAGAACCTGAACCAGAGCCTTTCAAAGTACATAGCAGTCGCTGAGGAATCATACCCATTTTTGATTCGTGATAAAAGCAACATCTACGTGCTCAGACAATCCGCAGAGTTGAAATGTACTTTTGTAAGATCGTAACAAACAGTAAAATCAAGCGCACCCGCAATCACAGCAACCGCCGGTTCAATAATTTGAAATGAGCAAAGGACAAATGACGGTTTGTTTATCACGTGCATTTGTCACATCACCGGGGCGCGAAGTCGTGATTTCAGTCGCGCGTGACATCTGAGAAATAATATGCGATGCATGTGGGGAATAATCGATGAGAGAAAGATAACCATATATCGGAGTTTATTCAGATCTGAGCTTTGTGTCTTGATGGAATATATACGAGGTGAGATCTTAGCTTGGATAATTTATTTATTATGTAATTTCAAGGGCTTATTTTAGATAAACCTCTGTTGACCGCGTGCACGCGGCTTCGGCTGTTTGTGACAAAAATTTCTATATGAAATTACAATGCGATTTTAAGAAGTTTCTGTTAAAAAAACTTATGGAATGTCCCGTTAAAACTGCATTAATTGAATCACGGCTAAAATTTACGCGGAGATTTTCGCAGAGAGTTTGCAGGTAATGAACATTGAGGAACGGATTGATCTTTTATCAGCACACCGTCACAGTTACATGTTGTCAGTCAAAGCTAAAATCTATTCCTAATTTTCTTCTCTTTTTTATTTAATTTAGATTTAATTTTTCGCTCAGCTTCGAACTTTGTTGAGAGGAGAATACGGTCCACAATATGTGACAGCTTGTTTTGAGTCATTTATGAGTTCGTGACACTATGAAGGCTTAAAAATTAACTTTGTGCAAATGTTACTTTTATAGTCTGGATACTTAAAGTATCCCAAAATACATTACAATATTGCACCTCAGTAATAATAAGTTATAAGTACCCTACTGTAAAGTAGTTAAAAAGAAGGTCAGCATTTGATGTCTTTAAGCACACTTTAAATCGTTAATGCATAATCTGTTTTTATAGTCAGAGTGTCGTGTGCCCAAAATACAATTCAAATAGACCTCAAAACAGTGTTTAAGTACCCTATTTAAAAGTATTTAAAATGCGGTCAGTACTTAAGGTTTTAAAACATATTTCAAATAGTCTTTTTTAACTATGTTTGTAACTTTGTGAGTGGATGCGTCTCAAAATACATTTTAGATACAAGTCAAAACAGCGTTAAAGTACCCTATTTAAAAGGATTTAAAATACGGTCAGCATTTAGGCTCTTAAAACATATTTCAAATAGTCTTTTTTAACTATGTTTGTAACTTTGTGTGTGGATGCGTCTCAAAATACATTTTAGATACAACTCAAAACAGTGTTAACGTACCCTATTTTAAAGGATTTAAAATACGGTCAGCATTTAGGCTCTTAAAACATATTTCAAATAGTCTATTTGAACTAAGTTTGTAACTTTGTGTGTGGATGCGTCTCAAAATACATTTTAGATACAACTCAAAACAACGTTAAAGTACCCTATTTAAAAGGATTTAAAATACGGTCAGCATTTAGGCTCTTAAAACATAGTTCAAATAGTCTATTTGAACTAATAGTCTATTTGTGTGTGGATGCGTCTCAAAATCCATTTTAGATACAACTCAAAACAGTGTTAACGTACCCTATTTAAAAGTATTTAAAATACAGTCAGCATAAAAGCCCTTAAAACATATTTCAAATAGCCTATTTGAATTCTGTTTGTAACAGTGTTAGTGGTTCTATGCCCAAAATACATTTTAAATACCCTATTTTACTCATATTTATTAAACAAAATACATTGTAAATTGATGAGAGAGGTTTTCCTTTTGATGAAATACAATTTAACTACACTCAAGATATACTTAAAGAGGAGCGAAAATTTAAATTTTTTTGTCAAATAGAATTAAAATACAGAAAAATAGTGTTCAAATACTGAAAATACATTTTAAATACCTTAAAATCAGTTTCAAAATACATATGGCTTGGTAAGGGTAAACCGAGACAAGTGTCAGTTTAAAATGCCATATTTGGAGTTCAAGGGTCATGTTTTGTCGGCACGCGGAATTGGTCCAGCAGATGTTAAAGTAAAGGATGTTGTTGATGCCTGTGAACCGACGAATGTTGCGGAAGTACGAAGCTTCCTTGGTCTGGTCAATTTCACTGCAGGGTTTATTCAAGACCTAGCAACAGTATCTGCACCCCTCCGCCAGCTTACAAAAAGTGGAGAACCATTTGTGTGGGCGCCGGAGCAACAGCAATCATTTGATGAGTTAAAGAAGCGACTTTCCAGTGCAGAGACACTTGGATACTTTGATAAGAATGCACACGCTAAGGTGATCGCAGACGCAAGCCCTGTAGGCTTAGGAGCCGTGCTAGTTCAAGAGCAAGAAGAAGAACTGCAAGTTATTAGTTATGCAAGCCGCAGCCTGTCCTTAAGAACCGACAATGGTCCGCATTTTACAAGTGAACATTTTACGAAGTACTTGGAGGAAAACGGAATTGAACATAGACGAACCGCACTCTTATGGCCACAAGCCAATGGTGAAAAAGAAAGACAAAAACCGCAGTATCCTGAAGCGCCTGCGTAATTCGAAGAAGGGAGGAATGTAGTATATGAATATTTAGGTCTACCGTCCCCACCCCCATGTTTGTATTATCGAGCATGCGCTCTCACTGTAATATGATGATTGAATACACATATTTGCACGATGGTGTGTGTGTTGGTGGTTAATCCGATTCAATCCTTGGTTAAATCCGTAAGACACTACACATCTTGCTTCCTGCTATCGATTACGATCGAATACTACTACAACACTTTTTTCCACCACGAGTTTATTTTCTCCCGTATTTCTTGGTAAATTTAGGGCGGCAAGCCACGGTATTTTCGGTAATTTAATCCTTCGTTGTTAACTCTGAACTTTGAACTTCAAATTGGTGAAAGAGTCCTCTTTGGCTGACAAAATAGTCATCTCCACGTAGCAACTGATAATTCTCGAGCATCAGACTTTCGCACAAAAAAAGACAAACTTGAAACAAACTTGTTCTTAAATTTAGTTGAATGCAATATCCTGTTTAGTTTTACCCAATCGTGTTCCCTTTGGCATTTCGTTATTCCTCTTTTGTTCTTCCGCATTTTCAAGCAGTAATGCGTTAATATTTTCTGAGTCAATTTTTGATTGCCTGGTAAGTACCGAAGTTGCCTGAATAAGTGTGAGATCGATCTAGCTCCGTTTGTTTGTTTCTTTATGGCTGTTGTTTCCCTCTATGTAAGGTAATCCGAATACCGGAATCGGAGAAAAATGTGGGATCATTTTACGTTTCTGGGAAACTGCTCACCTACCCCTCCCCTAAGCCAACATTTTTCCCTAAGTTAGAAGTAAGTGTTAATGTCGGCTTAGGGAAGGGGTAGGTAGGCAGTTTCCCAGAAACGTAAAATGATCCAAAACGTGCTTGTGGAATGCGGAATCCTGGAATTTGGAATCTGTGATTCTACTCGAGAAACCAGACTCCTACCTATAATTGGAATCCGCAATCGAAATGCCGCTGACAACCGGAATCCAGAATCCACGGCATGGAATTCAGAATTCAAGACTTTCTTGGTTCACGTTTTATGGAGCGAGTTGTTTTTGGTGATGTTTTTTTGTAATCTTAACTCAATCATTGATGTCTTATGAATAATGTATACCACGTACCTGAACTATAAGAGATAGCCGTGTAAGTTGCATTAAACCCTGGGTATTGACTGTTCAGAGACGTGAATATGACTTGAACGGAATTCCCTACCGAGTGCACTGGATGAGGAAGAGACTGACCGCACAGCATGAACGGCTGATACCCATCATTTGTAGCAACATTTGTGACTGTAACACGGGCTCCTGGAGCTTCATAATAGCAGGGACTGTACTGATTTGGCTCCAATCGAAAATAGAAGAAGCTAAGTTTAATGATGTACCCGCTAGGAACTGTGATATTCCAGGTACATCTGCTGTATTGAGGGTAGTTACTCGGAAAGTTTGGAGTTGAAAAGACACCACTAAAGCCATTTAGATATTCGCCAGAGACACAAGCTGCAACAAGGGGAAATAAACTATGTGATTTGCATTTTTCAAGCCGTTTGTCAATTTTTTTGTGAATATTTAATTATCTTAGCGCAACGCGGCAAAAATAGATCAGGTGACTAATTATTTTAAAAACCTAGAAGTTCGTTACGCAACTTACATTTCAAAAGTGTCACCACAGATCGCACTTCGAAGCTTACTAGCCGCATATGGAACACAAATTGTAAGTATAATATTTTCCCGTCGCTTCAACCGAAATCGACATGTGTAATAACATTCTTTGTCATATTAATTTAATTTTTCAGTTGACTATACTACTACAAGTGCAAATAAATTCCATGTACGGTCATGTACGCGAAAATCAGTTAGTGGTGAAATCTTCAACATAAAGTAGCCCTTTAATCACAGGAGCGGATCACCATGATTTAGCCTTATAGTACAAAATCAAAGAGTAACCTGTCTGTGAACTGAAAGAAAGCCAAACCAAGAAAACTCAATCGAAAGGGTTGCAATAGACAAACTTAAATAATAGGAGATTTGCTGCCAAGCACTGTTAACATCATGCAAACGTAAATTGTTGGCATTCCACTGACATTTTAGTTATGTGTTGTTTTACTCCGTAAAGTATTTGAATGTTACAGTTGCTATACTATAAGCCTGGCAATAATATTTTATGTAACTTGCTTGAAAATTGATCGCCTGCACATAAACCTTTAACTTTGCGTTTAAAGCCGATTTCTAACAACTTACCGGTGGTTGTTGCACTATATTTCACTTTAATGTAAGTTGCCTTAAATCCATTGTACTGCCAGTTAGTATAACTTTGAGAAACAAACGTCACCCTCAGAACATCTTTTGCTGAATGGTATACTATCCCACTGTCTTCATCTGATCTACATCTTCGCCTGCCTGAGATGCCATCAGAGGATAAGCCATTTTGTATTTCCAGGTAGTTACACGTACAAGATAAACCACAGTTCCCAATATCTATGTCTTTCATGACCAACACAATGCGTTCTCCTTTACTTGCTGTAATTTTCCAGCTGCATTTCTCGTTAGAAGGAAAACGCCTTGGATAGTAAGGACTAGTAAGAACTCCTGATGTCTCATTCAGGGTTGCCATATTGGGACAGACTGCAAGCCATATAAATGGACTGAGCGTAAGTATCGAGGACAGTTAGAATTATACTAGACTACGAACAGTCTCTCTTTTTTCTGTAGCCCGTCGAGCAAAACGCGAGACATGCAAATGGCCACGCGCGTGACTGATGGCGCGAGACGGGAGAGGCACGAAAAGAGAGAGACTACCCGCAAGGCCAGAGAGAATGGTCTTTCACGGTCTAGTGATTTTTTGGCGTCAAAACTGAAGTGTTGACAGGCCAGGCACGTGACACGTGACTTAAGAGTTTGCTTGAACAACAGAGGTTTTTCTACTTTTTTTTTTTTTAAAGCGCAGCTTATACAGTGCATAGAGTTAGAGTCGATTCTAAGCTAATTGACTGAGCAAATCTTAATTTTGGCCGCTGGTCTCACATTAAGAGGTCATGAAGCTGGTCTATTTCTCTTATATTAATAATTCATTTATTTCCTGTGCTTTATGTTTTGAATGAAATCACCCGTGGCCTAGTTCTTTTTCGCAGGATGTTGAATTTTCACGGGACAGTTTTCTACATATCCTAATTGTAGCTTAACTAAAGCTAAGCTAACGATGCAAGTCACTCAAGATCATTCTTTGGGCGCCGATTAGTTTTTTTGTTGTTTCTTTCTTTCTTGAGAATCTTTGTTCTATAGCGCGATGTCCTGTAGTGCATCCGTTGGTAGTTACTATTGTTTTAGCTTTATAAAATAAACAGTCTAAGAGTCTTCCAGTCTATGCTACTTTCTGTTTTAACTTCTAAAGTAAGACTACCATTTTGGAACTAAAGCGTTCCTTGACAGTGAAGAGAGGCTGTGAGCATTTAAATTGCGCGATCACGACACGTACCCGGAGAGATGAGACCTTCTTATGCTTCTCTTTGCGCCGTATCTAATGTTTTTTTTTTCGGGAAACGTGACAAACTTTCCTGCAGTGCTTCAGCCGTCGTCAACTTGTCAATGGTTTCGATTGTTGACAGTTTGTTGTCAACGCTTCACAAATCAGCCAATCGTATTTTGCGTTGTGAGGCCAGCGCGTAATTCATTGGCTCTGGCTAAGCGGGCAGTCTCTCTTTTTTCTTCTCGGGCTGCCGCCCTCGTTTCGCGCGTCTCGCGGCTTCGCCGCTCCCGCGCGCGTGCATTGCTCTCACTAAATCTGAAGAAAAAGAGAGACTGCTCGCAGTCTAGAATTATACCACTTTCAAGGAAGAATCTAGTTAACGTGAGAAGGAATTAGATCAAAACCAAATGCGGGAAGGAAAGACTAAATAATTTAGGGATGCGCCAGAAGCGATTTTTGTTTGTTTCTGGAAAAACCTTTTTTTAATCATTGACATGATGTTGTGAACAAGTCACAGACAATTGACTGCCTTCTTACGACTCCGTTCGGTGACTCAAACTGACATTTTTTTGGTAGGTATTAGGTACCTTTGCGTACTTTAACATGAAGATTTGTTCTGTCGTTCAGGTTGTCTTTCTTTGTTATGAAAGCGCATGTGAACAACAAGTACATTAGGAAAATTCACAAACGACGCACCTTTAACTATGAGAAATATGTTTGTGGGTACTCGCAAAAATTATTATTAGCGGAGGTCGAGCGCGCGCGCGCCAGCGGAGCACCATGGGTAAGAAAATTTGGTAAACTATCCATCCAAGAAAATTTGGTGGTGAGGTCAGCGTACCCCGTCCGTTTGTACACTCTTCGGAGGTGATGGAAGGGAATCAGGTGTCAGCCCGTCGGGGGGGGGGAGAGTATGTTATAAATCGTGCGATATATTTGTGCAACCGGCGTTTTTCTTAGCGGGAAATCGGGTAAGAAATGTCGTGGCAAAGTCGTCGCGTTCAAAAACCTGTTTACTTTAGAAACTTTTTTTCAAGTATTTTAAGCATAAGGATTTGTGACCGTAGTGCTCAGTTTCTAGTAAACTGTTTCGAAAACCTTTTATGGTAACAAACAATAGCGGATTTAATTCAATCACATGTTTGCTTGTAAGTGAAGAGGGACGCGAAAGGGAAAGAAGCGGAAAGGCAGAGAGCAAGAATTAACAGGCGAAGAAGATTCATAAGGAAAATTTATGCAGCATCTGAGATTTGTTTTCTGATAGCTGAAGCTGACAGAGTTTTGTGTCATCTTGTGATGTTTTTACCTTTCTTTTTGCACTGCATCTACAAAATGAAATACAGCTGCTATCAACATTCTTTTGTTATTTTTGGCTGGCTTGGTTATCGAGTTGTGGCTGAGAAATGCGCCGCTCGACAAAAAGAAATCGGAAATCATAGTTTTCAAAAATAAGCTACTCTTAGTGATGTAATCTTACTTCACCTTGCTGGACTATGCGAAAAGTCTTAATTACTTGATGTGTTTCTGAGCTGCATCATCTCGACCGTTAAGCTTGAGTAATTATATTGCATTTGATGTTTTCACTGTGTTTTTCTGTTGTTGTTGTTTTGTTCTTTCTGGTTTCATGTTTATGCCGTCATTTTACGCACATTTGTAAGATTTGAGACATTTTATCTCAGTCACCTAGTAATTTATTAAAGAACTTAAAAAGTCTTTAGACATTTTCTGACCGCGACTAGAAAGTTCTGAGAAAAAAAAAATTTCGTTATCAGTATTGTTTGTAAAAAGAAAGCTTTGAGCGATGTTCCTGCCTGGAGTTCACCTTGAATAATAGCAAACACGGCGAAGGTGGCTTAAACCTTAAGGCTTAAATCTGCAAGGTTTTACTCGTGACTCAGGATATTCAGAGACACTTCGCTCTCAATACACGTCTTCGTAAATAAACAATTGCAGTCCTTTTAAATGTTTCGTTGAATAATATTTTTTGTCTTGATTGTTTGTCAAGATATCGATCTGATCTTTCTTATCGCTTTGCTTATTGTTATTTTCAGTCGTCCGTGAACATCTCATGCAGGAGCACTTAAAATTCCGCGTGTATCAAATGAATATGGCGTTTTAGAAGTAAAATGCAAACGAAAATGATTCTGAGACCTCTTCCTCATTATCAGCGTTCTTTCAAATACTCGACAGCTCGCATTGTACGTTTTGGCGCTTGGACGGGTGATTTTTGTAAATTGAATTAAAATAAATAAGTTTTTGCTCAAAGCCCATTATTACCCTGCTTACTACATAATGGCAGATTGACCTGACTGAACAGTCCCATCTAATGGTGAATTCTCTATATAAATTACTTTTTATGATGTCATTTTTATAATTTGTTGTGCAAGGGAAGCGCGTGCCTCGATCGTCCTAAATATTGAATGAGTGCAATTTTTCTTGTAAGATTATTCTGTAAAAAACTGCAGAATTATAACTAAAATAGGGAAAAAATGTGACATAAATTCTGTCCGAGGTCTGAAAACAAACAACGCCTGATAGTTTTGTTTACCTCAAAGATAGTGTAAAAAGGCTGGTTTACGCGTTACCAGACTTGTAATAGGTGAGCCACACACATAAAAAATCCGGCCTGATTTTTTATTTTGGCCTTTCATTTAGACAGCGAGCTAAATTTGATCTTTCTTTGTTCACTCTGAGCCTTTAAACTTCAAATTGGCGAAAGAAACCTCTTTGGTTGACAAAATTGTCATCTCCACATGCAACTGATGATTCTCGAGAGCATCAGAGTTGCGTACAAATAAGGACAAACTTGAAACACAGGTGTTCTTCAAGTATACTTGAATGCAATATCTTGTTCAGTTTTACCGACCCAGTCGTGTTCCCTTTGGCATTTCGTTATTCCTCTTTTGCTCTTTTACACTTTCAAGCAGTAATACGTCAATATTTTCTGAGTAATTGTTTGGTCGCCTAGTAAGTACCGAAATTGCCTGATAGTGTGAGATCTATCTAGCTCCATAAAAAGTGATTGTTTTTGTTTGTCTGTTTATGGCCGTTGTTTCCCGCCATGTAAGGTATGTAATCGGGATACCGGAATCGGAGAAACAATTGGCTTGTGGAAAGCGGACTCCTGAAATTTACAGTATGTGATTCTACTCCGAAATCCGAAATCCTACCTAAGATTGGAATCAGCAATCTAAATGCCAATGACATCCGGAATCCAGAATCCACAGCTTGGAATCCAGAATCCAAGACTTTCTTGGATCACCTTTTATGGGCGAGTTGTTGTTGGTAATGTTTTTGTAGTCTTACCTCGATCATTGATGTGTTATATATAATGTATACCACGTACCTGAACTATTCGTCATTGCCGTGTAAGTGGCATTAAACCCTGGGTATTGACTGCTCAGAGACGTGAATATGACTTGAACGGAATTCCCTACCGAGTACACTGGATGAGGAAGAGACTGACCGCACAGCATGAACGGTTGATACCCATCATCTGAAGCAACATTTGTGACTGTAACGCGGGCCTCTGGAGCATTATAGCAGCGAATGTACTTATTTGGCTCCAATCGAAAATAGAAGAAGCTAAGTTTAATGATGTACCCGCTGGGAACTGATATATTCCAGGTACATCTGCTGTATTGTGGGTAGTTACTTGGAAAATTTGGAGTTGAAAAGAATCCACTGAAGCCATTAAGATATTCGCCGGAGGTACAAGCTGCAACCAGAGGAAACAAACTGTGATTCAGCTTTATAGTACAAAATCAAAGAAGAGTAATCTGGGTGTGAACCAAAACAAAAAAAACTCAATCGAAAGCATTGCTACAGATAAACATAAAAAAAATAAGAGATTTGCTACCGATAAACCAATAAAAACGGTTTGCATTTCATCGACAGTTTAGTTTTATTTCGTGTGTTACTCTGTAAAGTATTTGAATGCAACAGTTGCCATGACCCTGTTATAAGGCAATAATATTTTATATTTCTTGCTTGAAAATTTACAACCTGGTCGCCTGCACGTGCACCTTCAACTTAATTTGTGAAGGTGTTCAGCACATGTGTTAATGCGTTGAAACCCGATTTCTAATAACTTACCGGTGGTTGTTGCATTATATTTCACTTTAATGTAAGTTGCCTTAAATCCACGGGTACCCCCAGTGAGAGCTATCGCCAGAAACAAACGTCACCCTCAGAACATCTTTTGCTGAATGGTATACTATCCCAGTGTCTTTATCTGGTCTACATCTTCGCCTGCCTGAGATGCCATCAGAGGATAAGCCATTTTGTATTTCCAGATAGTCAAACGTGCAAGATAAACTCCAGTCCCAAATAAGAATGCACCCGTACCAAACCAAACACTATTTTTAACATATTTTTGATATATTTTTAAAACTGTTTTAATTGTATTTGAGAACTTCATTTAAAACAGGTAATAAATACTATTTTTAATGGTGTTTTAACCTGTTTTTAAAGGTGTTTTAACCTGCTTTTAATGGTGTTTTAACCTGCTTTTAATGGTGTTTTAACCTGTTTTTAAAGGTGTTTTAACCTGCTTTTAAAGGTGTTTTAACCTGCTTTTAATGGTGTTTTAACCTGTTTTTAAAGGTGTTTTAAGCTGCTTTAAATGGTGTTTTAACCTGTTTTAAATGGTGTGTTAACCTGGCTTGAAATGTTGTCTAACCCTGTTTTCAATGGTGTTTTAGCCTGTTTATAATGATGTTTTAATCTGTTTGTAAAGGTGTTTTAACCTGTTTTTAAAGGTGTTTTAAGCTGCTTTAAATGGTGTTTTAACCTGTTTTAAGTGGTGTTTTAACCTGCCTTTAAATTTTGTCTAACCCTGTTTTCAGTGGTGTTTTAACCTGTTTATAATCATGTTTTAATCTGTTTTTAAAGGTGTTTTAACCTGTTTTTAAAGGTGTTTTAACCTGTTTTTAATGGTGTTTTAACCTATTTTTAATGGTGTTTTAACCTGTTTTTAAAGATGTTTTAACCTGCTTTAAATGGTGTTTGAACCTGTTTTGAATGGTGTTTTAAACTGCCTTTAAATGTTGTCTAACCCTGTTTAGCCTGTTTTTAATGATGTTTTAATCTGTTTTGAATGGTGTTTTAATCTGTTTTTGAAGGTGTTTTAACCTGCTTTTAATGGTGTTTTAACCTGTTTTTAATGGTGTTTTAATCTGTTTTTAAAGGTGTTTTAACGTGCTTTTAAAGGTGTTTTAACCTGTTTTTGATGGTGTTTTAACCTGTTCTTAATTACAAATAAAATAAAAATTTAACCATTTTCTTTGTAACAAAAATTGAAAATAAAAGCAAGTTTTCAAAAACACTCTTAAAAGCCAGCTGAAAAACCCTTTAAAAATGACATCACTTATATCTGGAGTTGTCTAAACCACGTACATGTATGTCTTGGGAATTTTCTTTGAAACTCACCATATTCACATACAGTTGTATGACTGTTTGTTAAAAATTAAAACACTACTAGAAAAGTGTATTCAAAAATTGTCTAATGAAATCACTAACTAAAGGTTTAATAAAGATTTCTAGAGAAAGATATAGTTTATTTTCTTTCCTACTATAATACAACTATTAGCCAAATTCATTTGAACAAAACAAAGGTCACAAGTTGTTGGTAGAGTAATAACTGCCTAGTAAAACACTAAAGGACCCAGGGTGCAAGGAAAGTCAGTTTTACAGCCTGCCATTCGGGCAAGCTGTAGCTAGCATGTACTATAGCCCACAAGTCATTTCAACTAGCCCCAAAACCCTTTTTGATTAGCAGGATTGATTACAATCCTTCTGTAATATGAATTCTCCCAAAAAAGAAGCACTTGCCTGTCAGGCAAGTTAAGAACAAAAATCACTAGCCCGATGGCAAAATCCACTAGCCCTGGCCTATTAGACACTCATTTCTTTGGACGCTGAGGATCATTCAATGAAACAACAGCTACAGATCTGGAAACAGATAGGCCAAATTAACAAAAACTAGAATAGACTTCACTGGTATAACTGAAAGAAATAAGAATGCCGGAAAGACATAATTATATTTGTTTGTTCTTCATGAAGCTTGATTTAATATTGCTTAGAGGTAATTTCTTCTCTAAGGCAAAGTTTCATAATAACAAGTATTATTATTCATTCAAAATATTTTCCTGACTCTGATTGGCTAAAAGCACTCGTTTAATTCACCATAACCAGTAACTGATGACCAAATTTGGAAGAATTTTGTCTTTAACGAGGAAATGACGTCAAAAATGCAGCGTTTTCGCAGGTTAAGGCACCGTTAACCAAGAAGACCTGGGGACGGGGTTGAGTTGTTTTGATGGTCAACTTGAAAAATGGCAGACATTTCACTCGTTTCAAGAGTAAGAACTAGCCGAAAACATAGCTAAAAACGAGGCAAGAACAGCAAGAAGACAACTCGAAGGACGACATCTGCTATTTGGAGAATATTTGTGGAGCTGGACAAACCTAAACGTGCACTATCGAAGATGAACTTAACATCGATGGATCGATGGAGGTTAGCATGTTTTAGCCATGTTTTTAAAGTAGGAATTATTTTGAATGAATAATAAAACTATTATTGAATTCGGCTTTCGTATCATATGATGAATTATGGAGATCGAGGAGGGTGTTATCCATCGAGGCAGATAACACCCTCCATGATCTCCATAATTCTTCATAAGATACTCCGCCTCATTCATTAATTGTTAACTGTACATGCAATTGGCAAAACTAAGCGAAGTATAATAAGATGCCTTCTAGCTGCCTTATCCAACAATCATTAAGTAACTTGCACTGTTGCTGGGACAGGCAATTTTCCTCCACCATTAATTCAGGAATGAAGGTTAGGGTACAAAATATATAATCTACACTATATTGATAGCATCTGAGTTCTTAATTGTACATCACAGGACACTAGCATCATTAAACATAACAATCTGTGAACATTGACATGATGTTTCAATTAAGTAATAGTATTATTTTTTTCAATTTGAAAAAAGCACATGTACACTGCAGGTCTTATTACAGCAAACAGTTGATAAGAAAGAAACCGTATTAGTATGATTAACCAAGATTAGTTGTGGCAGAATCTGTTGACTGAAAAAAGGTTTTTGTATTCCTTAAGTTATTATTACTAGAATTGTCCTAATAACTATAAGTCAATGGGTGTCTGTATAAAATTGTTTGAATTTAGAGAAAAAAAGTGAGGATTCACTATCATCCAGGTGTAGGTCCTAAGAAAACGTTTTTTTTAGGACTTGATAAGTTACTGTTCTTTAGTGCATAAGGAATATGAACAAGGCAAACAGAATTGATGCTAGATACACTGTAGTACAGGCTATACAAAGAAACTGGCAGGAACATCTGCATAGCTTAAATAAACAACAGTTCTTTGGGATTGTCAGAAAAGGACATTACTTGTCTATTTTCAAAGAGTTAACTACAAGAATGGTGCAACAAAATGTTTGGGCGGTATTGCTTTTCAACGGAAAAGTTGGAGACGTGACTATCTATTCAGTGATTTTGGTTACAAATAGTGTTATGGTGAGTCCTGAGACTCCTCTTGTGAAAAATATTGAGTCCCAGAAACATCGTGTCCCACATAAAAAAAAAAGTCTGTAATTGAAAATGCTTGGACCTTTGTGTAACCAGACAGACTCCAAAACTCTGTATTACTACAGTACAAAGAGCAAAACCAATCAGGGCAAATCTATGCCTTCTCAGAGCAAATCTATGCCTTTCTTTTCTTATTCATTTCAACATAAGAAGCCTTTCTGCTAACCATGATGGTTTGACAATGCTGCTATCAGATCTACAGCATTAATTTGATGTTATTGGCCTTTCCGAAACAAAGATAAAAATCAACTGTGATCTAGCTAGCTAGTTTAGACTTTTAGTTATTTTGGGTGTCCCACTACTGTATGTTCTGTTTATTTATTTATTTATAATTATTTTCTTGTAAATTCTTCTAGTTGTCTAGGTTAACCATCTACAGTAGTAGAAAATAAACTGTTGTAAACTGAAATTAAAACACAGTCCTTCTAAAGGCTAAAGGAAATATGCATCCTTCAACAACAGCGATAATAACTGCCACAGAATTCACAGACGGGATATTTCTACAAATACACATGTTCAGATTTTTTATAGACCTTTGCATCCATTGGAATTCAATGCCATGAATATTATTATTTTGCATCTTTGGGGTTTTTATGCATCAGAAACACAGGATGCAGAGGTTGACAAAGTCACTACATATTTTTTTGTATGGACAAGAGATTATTAGAAGATTTTGGTTTAAAATGTAATCAATGAAAATACTGGATGTCAATTATAGCTTGTGGTTACCGGTCGTTTCGACACAAAGTCGTTTCGATACAAGTAGCTTCGGTACAAATTGAAGTCGATTCGATACATACCTTAAGTCGGTTCGATCCACTCGAGGTCGTTTCGATTCAATCAGAACAACTTGCCAACTTTTGAAGATTTAGTCACTACCATTAACAGTTCGTTTATTTTTTGTCTTGAAGAATATGAAATATGATTTAAAATGCTAATTATGACATTTACGGTCGCTTCAACAGGAAAGGTTACATATAAACAACGATTACATCTTGTATACAAACAATGATTGTGAACGACCTTTAATTGAAGGGTTTCGTTTATCGTTTCTATCAGGACAGTCATTTAAATATTGATTGCGTCGTTTGGACCGACTTGTTGGTTGTTGGTGACCTCGAGTGGATCGAACCGACTTAAGGTATGTATCGAATCGACTTCAATTTGTACCGAAACTACTTGTATCGAAACGACTTTGTATCGAAACGACCGGTAACCCTCCAGAAGCTACACTGTATATAGCTGATTAAGTAAAGGTTGGTTATTGGGCATTTGGGCATACCAAACAATGCAATATGATTTCCCTGAGTCACCACCAAACAATAGCTTACTATTACTCAATTCCCGATGCCCAAAGCAACCTTTAATGAACCAGCTGTACATGTGAGTGTATGTATAAGGTCCTGATTGTTTACATGTAACAGACGAAATGTCAAAATATCATCTTCCTGAAACTTTTTAGGAATTCCCAAGCAGAAAAATAACCATTTTAGGCTTAACTGAGTCAACATAATAAGTTAAATGTCTATAATATATAATTTCATTATTGAATTTTACTTGCCAACTATACATACATTCATTCTCGCAAGACGTAACACAATAATATTTGATTCCACTAAAATCATCATGAAGCTTGCAAGGCCTGAGCCAGAGCATTCACTATTGGTTTTGTGGTTGGTATTGCTATGTGTGAGCGAAAGAGGACGGACACAAAGCTTAATCTTAACGTGACACATTTGGCGTGAGAGCAAGAATGTAATCTGCGATCAATTAACTGTAATGGAGCTGAAAAGAGTCATTTCGATACGAACTTAAGCAGTGAAACTGCAAAAATATTGCGATTACCTGATGTATAATTATTGCACGTGAGCAAGAAAAACAAATATCGCGAACTATTGGTTGTACATCTCGACTGAGTCAATTTGTATCTGAACGAGTTGCATCGCCTGGTGTATCGAAATTACTTTGTATCAAAACGACCGGTATGCAAATACCCTGGGTGCCAGAGACTTTTCTAGCGCGGTTTCCGGTTTCTGTCAAGTCTTTATAGTGACCCGCGCGAAAAGCCTCTGGACCAGAGCGCCATCCCTTTGATAGCGCCGAACCAATCGTTAGCACGGTTAAATCAGTTGGTCCAGATTTTGGACAAGACGGCTGATTGGCTCCGAACCACCTCCTGAGGGACTCTGAATCTAACAGACGCTACAATTGGTTGACAAGAATAGACCAGCACGTGAAAGAATATTTCCAACTGTGCTGTTAACATCACGTAAGCGTTCCTGCGAGAAGTGTAGTGATGGCGGTTTGTGAAAGTTTGGAAAGGGCATTGAAGGAAAGTATAAGCTATGTGCTAGAAAGGTTTGACGGTGTAGAGAAGTTAAGTGATGAGCAAACAAGTGGGGTATTGAATTTTATTCAACGCAAGGATGTTCTGGCTGTCTTGCCAACCGGTTCCGGTAAATCGTTGTTGTTTCAGCTTATTCCGGGTCTGTGTCTGCGTCTTAACCAAATGGGATACTGCAACTATCCGAAAAGTGCAATTGTGATTGTTGTTTGTCCGTTGAATGCCCTTATCGAATGCCATATGAAGGAGTTACGACAGCGGGGAATTTCGTGTACTTGTTTATCCGGAGATGATGCCGACCAAGATGGCGCACTCGCTGGGAAATACGCGTTCGTCTTTGCAAACCCTGAGGCGCTTATCCTGAACGAAAAATGGAGGAAGATGCTTCAGTCGCCCATCTATCAAAGCAACCTGTTTGGGATTGTTACCGATGAAGCCCATGTTATTCCTAAATGGTATGTTGACTAGTGTTGTTGTGGTTTGAATTTACTAAGCTTTTAATTATCACATTCAACTTTTGCAACAATACGATTTGAGCTTTACTAATTTCCTATTTCAAACGTTTACAACATGTTTTGAAACAAGTTGGATGGATTAGGAATAAATATAAACACAAAACATGTATTTTGCAGGGAAAATTTGCTTAAATTGACGTCTAAATTGGACTTGTTTTCATTGATTGTCTACAATGATTTTGTAGTAAGGGACTTGTGCATTGTGCAAATCCTGGTATGTAAATAAGATCTTTAAAGGAGGATTTCTATAATTTATCAATATAGGAGACCATTATTTTTTAACTTCTCCCTTTTTTTCTGTTTCGTCTCTTTTATTCATGTATGTGGAGGGTTTCCCTGTTTTATCATTGATTAGCCCTACTCAACACTCATAAAAAGAACATGTTTTCAGGTCTCGACAACATTAATCCTGAACTGTCTCTTTTTTAAATTTACCAGGGGCTATGATAGCAAAGAAAAGCAATAAGCCTTTCGTGCATGTTTTGGACGGTTGGGTGAGCTTCGTTCACTAGCTGCAGACAAAACTCCAGTAATGGCACTAACAGCAACAGCAACCAGAGAGACAAGGCAGCAAATCATTAATGGTCTGAATTTGAAGGACAACCTGCACCTGATTGTTGCAAGCCCAAATAGGTCGAACATTTATTTGTATGTTGCTAAAGTAAACAAAAACTTGTCTGAGACGTTCGGTTGGCTGGTTGAAAAGTTGATAGTTGAAAAACAGGCTTGCCCAAGAACTTTGGTTTATTGTAAGACTACCAAGGAATGTGGACAACTATTTAGTTTTTTTAAAATGGAGCTAAAAGAAAATGCTTATGTCAGCAGTGATCACAAGTCTGACAACATGTTGATTGGTATGTTTCACCACAACACCCTTGACAAACATAAAGGTAGAGTTACCACCTCACTCTACAAACCTTCTGGAACCTGCAGAGTGGTGTTTGCTACAAATGCTCTTGGTATGGGAATTAACTTCAAGGACATTGCTTATGTTATTCACTATGGGCCTCCTCGTAATATTGAAGATTTTGTCCAAGAAATTGGTCGTGCTGGCCGTGATGGCAGGAAGGCAGTTTCAGCATTATTTTACCAAGGGAAACATTTGCGGAAATGCGAGAAGGCAGTTAAAAGGTATGCCAAGGAGAGCACCTGTTTGCGAAACCTTTTAATGTCAGAATTTGAAGAACTTAACAACACTGTGGGAGATCATAGCTGTTGCTTGTCATGCCATTTGAAGTGTCTATGCAGTGACACAAAGTGCAACATTGACATACCGTTTACTCACCACAGTTATCAAGTGAGGGGTTCCTCCAAAGAGTCTTTAAAGAAAAGAAAGACTACCCTTCAACAAAGGTTACTGCTTGAAGAATTGTTGAGGGACAGGCAAAGGGAACTCTCTTCTAAGTGCTCAGTCTATTACCTGTCTCCGGAGTGTACAACTGGATTTAGCGATAATCTGATTAAGTCAGTACTGTCTCATTGTAAGTACATTTTTAATGTGGATTACATAATGGAGAATTTGCCTGTTTTCAAAAAAGAGCATGCTTGTGACATCCTCCATATGGTTAGAGATTCTTTTGAAGATTTTGAAATTAATGATGAGACACTCACAGACACTGACAATCAAGAACTTGTTTTTTCTGAGACATTTGACCTTGAATATGGTGGAATCTATAGCAACAGCGAAGGCAGTGACAGTGACTTTTTCACAGATTCTGAGTTGTAGTAATAACTTACTTCTGTCATTTATTGTCTTGATGTTGTTATCTAAAAGAAAGCTTTTTGACTTTGTTGAAGTGCAGTTAACTCACATTAGTGCAGATATTGTTCATTATTCATATCCTTGAGAGCATTTATGTCTTTTGCCAGGCACCTAGTCATTATCTGTTGTGTACAGACAGGGTGTCAACAAGGTGGGAGTTGACCTGATTTTACTATTGCGGTAAGCGACTTAAGGCAGTAAACCATTCAAGTAAACCATTCTGCAGTTTGAAAGGTACACTATTTATTTCAATAAAAATAGAGCAATGTGTCAATTTTGAAAACAAGTATGATATGCATTCATAATAGAAAAGAACTTCCAGAAGACTAAAAAACTTAATGGGGCTCAGGGATAATGACATAGCAAAAATTCGTTGTCTTAAATTTTGTATAATGCACCCAAAAAGTAGTGTTTTTCATTATTACTATGCAATGAATTACTGACTGGGAAATTCTGGGTTACCTTACATATGTAACTCCTGTGTCTTCACGCACATTAATTTTAAAATTTTCTGCCTCTTGCCTTAGTTCCTAGAAATTTAAACAGCTGTTTTTACAAGATTTTGACAGACTGACAAAAGCACAAAAGCGTCGCCCACAATGCTTTCAGTTTCTGTGAGTTGTTTTCATTAAGAAATATTGGATATACTTTTGATCATATTAGTAAACACCATCTATTCATGTACAGATTTCAGTTTCAGCTTTTGCTTCAAATCACCCCTGCTGCCACAGTCGGGTAGTGGTAGGAGTGATTTGTGCCAAATGTTTCTAGGGCATTGAGTAAGCTACAACTGAAGGAAAACCTTTTTTTAAAAAACAGCAAGGTATTTTGTATTCTAAGACAGCGCATCAGAAATGTATCAAACTGTCTTGAAATAAACATGCTTGAGAATAGATTGTTTTCTCCTTTGTTTTTCTTCTGAATCAAGGGGTCCATTAATTTTGTAATATGCCACTTGCACTAAGAAGTCACGTGACCAATGCTTCCTTTCAACGATGAGTTTGAATCTTGCTGATCCCAAAAATTGACAGAGCACAGAAAAATTATCTTACACCCGAAATTTGAGAGGAAACACATTTAAGGGGGATATTTTATGGCAATTTAGTAGTTATGCTCAGATGTCCTGTAAACGTTGCCACATCATCTTTTCAACATTTTCCTTTAAGTTTAAGTGCAAAATTGATGTTCAGAAAGAGGTAATTCATAATTTTGAAAATCACATTTTGGTCACGTGACCAGCTACGAACTTACCCATTTTAAGAAAATGGTGCAGGTTTGAAAAACCAAATCACTATTATTTTGTGTAAGATATGACCCACTAATCGTTTTTCAACAACGAAATCATATAAGTATTTTTTTCATAAAAACGATGTCAGATGACCTCTTAGTGCAAATGGCCTATTCAAACAGTTCATTCCAACTTTTGAAGCCATTCACTGTTGAAGACGGGACATGTCTTTCTTGTGACTGTTCAACCACTTATTAAGCTGATTGAAGTCAAGCCCACTTAAGATGTTCCTTTGAAAATCAGGAAATTTTTCGTAGTTACGATCAGAAGATGGGTTGAAAGAGAAAAGCCCCCCTCTTTCATGGATTTCTTTCACAAGGGCTGCAAAATCTTGGTCATCATTTGCTGTGATGTGGTGCCCAGAAGGTTCCTTGACACCTAACTCTACATCAATCTTGTGCAGCATTTCTTCTAATATTGACATCGCTTCACCACATCGTTTAGCTGATTTTTCTGTCACATTGACACCAAGACACCTTAGCATCTCTTTCAAGAGATTATTTAAGTGTTCTAACCTCAAGTCCAAAGAGATATTTCGGCCTTTACCACCATGGTTGTTCACAGTTCGGTTCCAAACTAACAAATGTGACATTCTCTCTGATAACATGCATGAAGTGTAGAAAAACAATTGCAAAGCAGCAAAAGCATACTTTGTATGTTTGTATGTTCTGAATATCAAGAGCATGAACTTCCAGCATCTTAAGATGCGATCACCATCCCCCTCCTTGATTGCATCGTCAAAATTGTAAAGCAGCATACCAAAATTGAGACGAGCACAGGCATAATTGTATCGCGCATCAACAGGTTTGTGTTCAGCGAGAGGTTGCATAGAGTCACTTGACTCCTCTGGAGATGCCAATTCGATGCTAAAAGAGTGAATGTTATTTTCATGTGAATCCCTTGCTTTGGCATATCTGTACTCTTTGTTACAGACCCTGCAGTAAAACCTTTTTGGTCTGTTCAATTCAATGAGTTCATTTTGAAGAGTTGCATGAAACTGTTCTTGCTCATCAATAACAGCTTTCTTCAGTATATCTTTAACCTGCTTGTGAAGCCAGATTCTTCGTGTGCTTTGGCTACCATCCAAAATTGAGGGAGGTATGAAATTTCCAGCAGGTTCCTCAAGGTTAGTCATCCCAAAGTGCTTCATGGTAGCAGTTGTGATGAATGCATCTGTTTCAAGCTTCACATAGGTCTTACAATGGTTGAAATTGTCAAGGACATTTGATGTTTTAGCATTCACTTGGTTGATTACATTCATGTTGCTGCACATGGTACCAACATCATTTGCAGAAGAGGGGTTGAAAAATACATCATACAGTACCTAGGGGGTAGGAAAAGAATAGTATTATTTCTTGACGTCAATACTTTTTCCAATAATAAACAAATATGATTTCATTTCTGTACAAGTTTCATTATCATATTAAGTATTTGTTAGTGCAAAGTGGACAAGAATGACAAGAACAAGGGAGCGTATTAAAAAAAATGAAATGCCCATATGCAAATTAAATTATGCTCAACTGACTCTATGTGGAAAGGTTAACAACGCCATTCTCATGATCCACTAAGAAAGAAGCCCCAATTTGTTTTCATGGATTGTTTGCATCATCTAAGGTTAATTTATTCTTCTAGATGATTCTGTTTTATTTCTTATCTCCCTATAATATTTAAGTCAACAACAAACCCACCTGGTAAAGAACTCTTCCTGCATGCCAATCTTCTACCTTTGGGATAAGCCCCTCCAATCTCTCAAACTCTGTGTCACCATCAGCTCGACCTTGTCTAGCATTCCGCGCACGTTCTTCAGTCAACTGGTCACCACCAAAGAAAACCTTCTGGAGCACTTCAATTTCCACGTTACCGGAGCCATCAGTTGTTTTCATGACTGGAAGATACCTTTGATGTAGCTCTGTTAATATGTCTATCATGTCATCATTTGTGTTTTCATTCTTAAAGAGCAATCCTAGTGGTGCCTTAAAAGAAGGTAGGACAGATAATAAATGTAGGCAGTTAAATAGATATATTTTTTTAAGGCTGTCTTTAGCTCACAAAACTTAAGCTTGAAAAAAAAGTTGAGATGAAGTATGGCATAGTTGGATTGATATAATTGCCTACTTTGGAAGTCATTGATGTCATTCTATAATCACTGTGAAACTAAGTTTTAAATAAAGGAATAATGGGATGTTTGACTGAAAAAATGATGAGATACAGTGCAAATTGCAAATACTGAACACTAACTTCCACGGAGTACAAATATTGAGACATTGGTATCAAACAAAAAGGTTAACTAAACTTAAATTAATTTTGTAAAGTACAAAAGCCAGTGGCAAGGAGACACCATCGCTAACAGTAGTGAAATATAATAGAGGTCTTTACGCAGTGTCACTGCTTCCCAATAAAATAATAATAATAATAATAAGGAACAAAAATTCAATGAAGCATCTGTCTTAAGGGAATTTCGACCGCAAAAGTTTGCATAACTGGTTAAAAATGGCAAATTACCTGTTCAGATTTCTGTTTCGTTACATTAGAGTATTTGTGAGGAATATGCCTGATTACAACATCTTTGAAAGACTTCAGTGCAGGAATCCTGTCACAAATTACCCGTGCAAACAGGGGAATGAAGTCATGAAGTAGCCCTTCATTATCTTGATATGATGGCAAGATTTCCCAGTTCTCCACTTGATCAACTAATTTGATTGATCCCTTTTCAGACAATCCAGCACCACTCACTCTGTCCTTCACGGCATTCAGGTGAAACCAGTGAATGCTTTTGTTAGGTTTGTCACTAGCCTGATGTCTGACTTTAATCATAAGATCGACATTATCTCCAATGATTTGATAACCCAGTGGTCTCTCTGAGTCAGACTGCTGCATTAGCATTGACAGTGTCTCCATACTTGTGTTGCTAACAAGCTCTGTCTGTGTAGTTTTCTTGATCAGGGTTTCGACTTCCGAATAAATGTTTTCATCAAATATAAAATGTTTTTGTTGCCCAAGCTTGTCTTCAACTGCCTTTTTAAGGTTCCTGTCATTTGTGGGCTCAACTGTGGGAACTGCTTCTTCAACACACTCCTTTATCGTTGCCAGTGTGGCAGTAAACCTTTTGTGGTACTCTTGCTGAACCTTCCAGTTTAGGACTTTCTCATCAAACCTTTTTCCCATTTGTTCTATTTTCTCGATTACCGATGTATGGCTAACTGTCACACCCCACTTGACACCACGGTTGTATACCTAAAAGAAAAAATATCAGTTTTAAATTTTAAGTGAACATTTTCCATCAAGAAAATCCATTAGAAAACAATCTGTGGTGGAATGTCTTACCAAGAGATTGACTTCAACTAATAGTGCACTCATTTTTTTACATGTACATGTATGTTTATCAGCTTTATTTGATCAAGACAATGAAAGTTCTCTTAACAAATTATTTAAGTAAAAATCTGATTCAAGTTCTAAACGGGGAAAAATAAATATATGTACTGGTATAGACTGTAGGAGTCAGACTTCGTATATGTCACCAATTCACATCTAGATCATTAATTTTGAACTCACTTGCTTTTTGGCTCCACTGTGCCATAATACTGTGGAAAATCTGTATGCCTGAGCACTCATTTGTGGGCATCTCTTCTTCAGAAGGATGGAGGCTGCCATACTTATTGCTGGTGTAGCTGTGTTACTCTCATCATTGGTTTCATTTTCTCCATTCTGATTTCTTGCTTTACTAATAACAGGCTTTCCAGCAGCAGAAGACAGTATGGTGTAAAGTACAGGAGCTCGCTCAGAAAGTTCAGTGACATGTGCACTCTCCGTGAACTGCTTCAATCCTTCAGGTGTGGTATCGCGCAATATGGAAGGCTTCCTCACAGAACATAAATCTTTGCATTCTTCAATAACAGAGCCACAAACTTTTTCCAGTAATGCATCTCTAACAACTTTCTTTGAATAGAGAGCATTAACAGCGTAGCCATACTCCCCCAAAACAAGTTGCTTCATTGCTTTCCTGTCCACATCATCTTTAGGAAGACGGCGTTTGCTACCACTTGGGTAGTTTATGATGACCTAAATTGACAAAAGAGGGCTTATAAATAATTTTTCTGCAACTGTTTGAATCTACAAGTATACCTGTGTGACTTTCTTAGATATTAAAAGATAGTAGCTTTTACTTTTAATTTCTTGTATATAATTTTTATTTTGATAGAATTATTTCGCAAATAAATTACGGATCACAGCCACATTACAAGGAAAAAAAAACCTTTAAGAAATTTTTCACCGTCTTGACATCAGAACAACACGATGAAAGTTGAAAGCTAACGTACGCGTGTTTAAATTCAGATATAACTCTGTGTGTGCATTAATTTTAGAAAGCGTAAAGACCATCAGAGACAGCTCTCGAAAAGGGATACTAAGAGGAAAAGGCTAATTTAAAATTGCAAATAATCTCTCTAGGAAAGCCTTTCATATGCATCATCGAATGGCCTGTTTCCCTAGCGGTCCGCATCTTGAATGATGGTGATCGATAAAAAGACAAAATTACCTCTATATCTGCAGGATGAAGAGTAAGCTCCATAATGTCATCTGCAACGCTATTTAGTGTTGCATTGTTGGCAGGGTTGGGAGGAATGTCGAGAGCTCTTCTAATATTTTTACCAGAAGATCCGGGCACAACACTTGTTACAGAACTTGACGGACCGCGCGACTTTTTCACGCCAAAACCAGGCGAACTTGAGCAACGCTTGGATCTCGCCTCCTCTCCTTCCTCCTTCCACAGTAACAAATTTTCAATATATCGAGACTTGAAGGACGACAACTCTTTCAGCGTAACCTCAAAGCGTTCAATGCGTCGAAAGCACTTCTTGCAAAGAACACGCGGCCCAACAGACAGGTTTTCTTCAACACCGAATAACGAAGAAATTCTCGAACAAATACTTAACTTTTCGGCAGTATCCGATGTCAGGCTGTAATAACCACCATTAGCAACACTTGCCCCACAAAGGCGACAAGAGAGGGCAGATTTTGGATTCAAAACTTTCTTTACGGGAGTTGTATTGACTCCCGCGAACGCCATAGCGAATTGACACCTCTTGAGCTTCTGTAATTGGAAACCCATTTCTGACATTTCTTCACGTGCAGATCCACATGATCACAGTTGGAGACGTCCAATCTGATTGGCGTAAATGTAATCCGATAAAAAAGCTCAAAGGTCAACGGGGACGGTAAAAAGCATCGCTCCGTGCCAGAGGTTTTTATCGCGGCTTCGCCGCTCGTGGCTTCGGCCTACGGCCGAAGCTGTGTCGGCCTTCGGCCGACAAGTCCCGCCGCACGCGAGAAAAACCTCTGGTACCCAGGGTAGTATGCAAACACCGCATGTAAACAAATCCAAAATGGCTCTTGGTAATAAAGTAATTGACAGCGCTCTTCGAAAGGCCAGATATCCAACTGTCCTTTTCATAACACGTATGCCTAGACGTTCCAATAAAAATAACAGATTATTCTAAAATAAGAAACAATCGTACTCACATTTATTCGCATCGCGAAGACTCAAACACCGGTACAGTACGTGTATCCACCAGTTGAACTTAGATCCGTTCCTTTAACAGTAAAAGCCAGTCGCTGACAACTCGGAGACATTTTGATTCGTGATTAAAACAAAATCTGCGCGTCTGGACAGTCCACAGAGTTGACAAGTACTCGTTTTGCGCAGTAAAGAGCAACGCAACGCACGTTGCAACCATCAACAGCCGTCCGCCATAATTTTAAAATACATAGATGCTTTGTTCCTTAGCACGTGGTTTTACCACGTGACTCTATTCCGCGGGAAGTCCCCGGGCGCGTGCTATTAAAGTCGAGCAAATTTTATTCATCCAGCATGATTTATAAACGTAGGATAACGATGTGGGGAAATTTCTTGAGCGTTTGGTTCTTCATGCAACACGGGAGGTGAGCGTTTATTTATATAATTTTGTTGAGGGCTTATTTTATCTTTGTTCACCGTAACTGCGGTTCTGTCTCAAAATCGATTAGATTTTTTTATAATACGGTATTTAGTTACACTGCATGGTAATGTTGCGTTATGGTTGATGCGAATTTTGGAAGTTTCAAAACTTAGTAACTGATCAATGATTGATTTAAAATCTGGCTGTGTAGAGATATACACAGAGAGATTCGATGAATAATGATTGGGGATCGATAGATCTTTACACTGTCACACACTTTGACACAACGCGCGTTATCAAACCGGTCGATGTGCTCGAAATGCATGCATATTTCGATACTTTATTTGACTGATGAAGTTTAAGGCTGATTGTTCGTTTTTGTTGGAAGATACATTACCTCCCAACTGTATGGCAGCTCAATGTCTTGGTTTGTTAGCGGATTTAGGCTTAATAATTTTGTGGCGTTTATACTTACTGGTTACTTATTAAGTACGCGCATGATTAGAAATCGGATGTGTCCAGAATTGAGAATTCCCATCATTTTTTTTTTGGATTGACGACGAAACACTTCTGTCGAGATGGCTTATCTATATGAATAGTGCCTTTGTAGAATGGGCTGTGTCTAGACGACGAGTTCTTATTTCTTTTGGCAGACTGTGTCTGCATGTCTATTGCATTTTGTTTTTCAAGTCCTTGACTGCGGGTATCAATTTCTAAAAATACCCCGAAAACAGCATTTAAAATCTGTTTGAAAATAAATTTGGTTGACTTTTTTTCCTTTGAAGTATATTTCTTACCATAAGACAGCCGGTTTTTTTCAAAACACCCTATAAACAGCCTGTTTAAGTTAGGTTTGGAAACAGGTTTCCATTTAAATGCCTTTTAAATAAGGATAGTTTGTGAAAATACAATAAAAACAGCTAGTTTTAATCCTGTTTGGAGAGATTTCAAGATGTTCGTCATTTCAAATCACAATTTAAATTGAACTGCCTCTTTAACCTTCTTCAAACATGTTTTAACTATGCTATTTATGAGCTGTTTAAGGTCGAAGACGAGGAAGTATATTCAAAATAGTCTTTAAACATCCTAATTAAAACCTGATTTTGAACTTTACTCGTAAAAACTACTTTTTAAATCTTTGATTTTAGGTTCTTCTTTCCAAAATGCACTTTAAATACGGTGTTTAAAAAGATTTTAGCAACTCGCCAGTAATCTCTTTCCGAAAATATAGTTTAAATACTGTATTTAAAATGTAGTTTTGATAGCAAATATATTTCAAATACAAGGAAAACCGGGGAAAATGTTATAAATATTATTCAAATAGATGTCAAATACAATTCAAACTTTTAACGCTATTTTGGTTTTAGTCGTGAAATATAATAAAAATACCTCAAATTGTGGTAAAAATAGTTCTTAAATAGTTTAAATAGCTTTAAACTACTTCACAAACAGTTTTAAAATACACTTGATTTGGTGCGGGTGTCTTCAATGACCAACACAATGCGTTCTCCTTTACTTGCTGTAATCTTCCAGCTGCATTTCTCGTTAGAAGGGTAACGCCTTGGATAGTAAGGACTAGTAAGAACCCCTGATGTCTCATTCAAGGTTGCCATATTGGGACAGACTGCAAGCAATATAAATGGACTGAGCGTAAGTATCGAGGACAGTTAGAATTATACCACTTTCAAGGAAGAATCTAGTTAACGTGAGGAGGAATTAGATCAAAACCAAATGCGGGAAGGAAAGACTAAATAATTTAGGGATGCGCCAGGAGCGTTTTTTGTTTGTTTCTGGAAAACCTTTTTTAAATCATCGAGATGATGTTGTGAACAAGTCACAGACAATGGAATGCCTTCTTTCGAGTCCGTTCGGTGACTCAAACTGACATTTTAGTAGGTATTAGGTGCCTTTGCGTACTTTAACATGAAGATTTGTTCTGTCGTTCAGGTTGTCTTTCTTTGCTATGAAAGCGCATGTGAACAACAGCTACAATAGGAAAATTCACAACTGTAACGACGCAACTTTAACTATGAGAAATATGTTTGTGGATTAGTGGAGCTCGCGCGCGCGCGCCAGCGGAGCACCATGGGTAAGAAAATTTGGTAAACTATCCATCCGAGAAAATTTGGTGGTGAGGTCAGCGTCACACCGCGGTCAAACGTCTGAGCATGCGCGACGAATTGCGTGGGGATCATTTCGGTCGATTCAGAAAAGCTACACGTGCATGGAGAACATTTGCGGAGCTGAACAACCCTAAACGTCCACTATCGAAGGTGAGCTTAACATCGATGGAGGTAAGCATGTTTTAGCTTTGTTTTTAACTAGGAATAATTTTGAATGAATAATAAAACAATTAATGAATTCGGCTTTCGTATCATATAAAGAATTATCGAGATCTCAGAGGGTATTATCCGCCTCGGTAGAAAGGACTGGTGATGACTCCTGAAATTTCATTCAAGGTCGTCATATTTGGACAGACTGTAACACAATATCACACATATATCTCTTGGAGTATATTTTGAAAAAAATATTCCAAACATTTTTCAGTTTTTCTTTTTAACGCCTTAATGTCTTGGTAAAGCAGCCAGGTCTTCCCCTTCCCCTCTTAATATTTTTAAGAGCACTTCTTTACAGTCGTCTCAATATCCCAGAATCTATCTGAAAACGGCTTAGTGTATCAGTTTTAATGAAATACTAAGATAGATATAGTTGTCATGCTTGACTCATAAGGGGGCTTAAATACAAAATAATTCTTACAGACAAAACATCTATGCTTCCTGCCGATTGCGAATAGTACTACAATACTTTTACAGCACGAGTTTATGTTATCCCGTGTTTCTTGATTATTTTAAGGCTTTATGTAATTTGATCTTTCTTTGTTCACTCTGAGCCTTTAAACTTCAAATTGGCGAAAGAAACCTCTTTGGTTGACAAAATTGTCATCTCCACATAGCAACTGATGATTCTCGAGAGCATCAGACTTGCGTACAAATAAGGACAAACTTGAAACACAGGTGTTCTTCAAGTATACTTGAATGCAATGTTCAGTTTTACCGACCCAGTCGTGTTCCCTTTGGCATTTCGTTATTCCTCTTTTGCTCTTTTACACTTTCAAGCAGTAATACGTCAATATTTTCTGAGTCAATTGCTTGGTCGCCTGGTAAGTACCGAAATTGCCTGATAGTGTGAGATCAATCTAGCTCCATAAAAAGTGATTGCTTTTTGTTTGTCTGTTTATGGCCGTTGTTTCCCGCCATGTAAGGTATCTAATCGGGATACCGGAATCGGGGAAACAATTGGCTTGTGGAATGCGGAATTCTGAGATTTGGAATATGTTATTCCACTCGAGGAGTCCGAAATCCTACTTATGATTGGAATCAGCAATCTAAATGCCACTGACATCCGGAATTTAGAATCCACAGCGTGGAATCCAGAATCCAAGACTTTCTTGGATTACCTTTTACGGGGCTAGTTGTTGTTGGTAATGTTTTTGTAATCTTACCTCGATCATTGATGTCATATAGCGGAGCTCTCACGCGCGAAGCGCCCGCCAGCGGAGCACCATAGGAAAGTAAATCTACCCATTCCAGAAAATTTGGTAATCACGTGACCGTACACCGAACGAACGAACGACCTTCCGTACGCACCACAGGCATTCCAATGTTCAATCTCACACTTTCTAGCTAGTTTGGGAGCACAGGAAAACTGATATTGCACACATATTGCACATCAATGTGGTGATCAATTGACAGCTGTCAAAACAGGGTATCCACTGACCAGTATCACCTGATCGTATCGCAGGCTCAGGTGTCCACCCATCGAGGTCGAGAATTTTGTGAAGTTAACCGTTGACCAGTTACTAGTTTTCAAATGATCGCAGGCTCAAGTTTAGTTTGTTTTAAAAGACTCAAATGAAATATGTCGTGTATTTCTGCTGCACAATTAAAAGTTTGATTTCAAACTGACCTCGGACGCGAAAATTCAGCCAGCTATTACAGGCAGGGAAGACAGTTGCTTTTGACTTTCCTTACCACGCTCTACGTCCAATTTTTATTCTCTGATTGGTCAAAATTTGACAGGTGAGTTCATGTGGAAAATTTATGCAGCATCTTGAATCTTGTTTACTTTGACAGCTGAAGCTGACAGAGTTTTGTGTCAACTTGTGATGTTTTAAACTGTCTTTTTCTACTGGATGTGCAAAATGAAATTCAGCTGCTATCAAGAGTCTACTGTCATGGCTAGTTTGTTTATTGGGTTTTTGTTTGAGAAAAACGTCGCTTGTCAAAGTTGGAATTCCGATTTCGGATGGCATCGTTCGTTTTTCACCTTGCTTGATGGGTAAGAGGGTTAAAAAGTCTGAAGCGATTCTGCCCTTAATTGATAGCTTCCAGGAGCTGCATCTCGAATGGTAAACCTGATAATTATTGTATTTGATATTTGTTTTTAATATCTTATTTAATGAAGTCAAGCGTAGTTTATGCAGCTATTTATTTTATCCACGTTTGTAAGATTTGAGACAATGATCTGACCGAGTAGCAGGTTTGACATAAGCTTACAGAACGTAAAAAAGTCTTTAGACATTTTCTCACCACAAATAGAAAGAAAACGCTCCAAAGGATATTTATTTAAAACCCTGGCTGTAAAATAAAGCTTTGAGCGATTTTCTCGGCTCGAGTTCATCTTTGAAGAAAGAAAACACCGGGAAACCAAATTAAGCTTTAAGCTTGAAAACTCAAGATTTTTAGAGACACTTTAATACTTGTCTTCGTGAATGAAAATTGTTCTCTCTGTACATGTTTCACCGAATTATATTTCTTTTATGGATTGTCAGTAGTCTCTCTTGCAATTTTAATCGCTGTGCCATTTGTTTTCAGTCGTTCATGAACATCGCTTGCAGGAGTACTCAAAACGCCGCGCGTACAAACGCTTTTGAAGATTGCTCATCGTTGTAAAACCACTAAATAAAAAATAAACTTCTTATTATGTTGAAGCGTAACTCTATTAATGTTCATTCAAACCCTCCACAGCTCGCAACCGGCTGGTCGTATAGGTAGTTTTGGAAATTTTTTTAGCGGTTTCGCTAAAAGCCCACGCGTGCTTCGATCGTCCTGAATATTGAATGAGTGCAATTTGTATTTCAAAATTGTGAAATACTGCTGTCTGAGGTCTGTATGATAAAAACAGCGCCTCATAGTACTGGTTCACCTTAGATCTGACGTATAAAAACTATGATAGGTTGGTTTACACGCCCCTTTCCCCCCCGCAGCAGATTTTGCAAAGCAAACTTGTCGATTTGTTTACCAAGAATTTGTTTTCCAGGCCAACTCTACTGTGATTAGGAATCTAATGTGATTACATCAAGAGCCATTATAGCTCTTAATAAATGTGATCGAAGATGATTGCTACTTTTTGGGTGTACATATAATGCTATCAAGCTCGATGTAAGATTTGGTTCACTCTCGGACTGTTTGCAAATTATTTTCCTCTAAATTAAATCACTTAGGCTTTCCCTCAAAAGTCATATGAATGTGCTCTAAGGTTTATTGATTTGTGGAATATAAGTTTATTGTTTGATTCAATAAACAAATTTATTAATGAGAGCTTTGCTTTTAACCCTAGCTAAATGTATATATTAAATAATGTATACCACGTACCTGAACTATAAGTGATAGCCGTGTAAGTTGCATTAAACCCTGGGTATTGACTGCGCAGAGACGTGAATATGACTTGAACGGAATTCCCTACCGAGTACACTGGATGAGGAAGAGACTGACCGCACAGAATGAACGGCTGATACCTATCATCTGAAGCAACATTTGTGACTGTAACACGGGCTCCTGGAGCATCATAATAGCAGGGACTGTACTGATTTGGCTCCAATCGAAAATAGAAGAAGCTAAGTTTAATGATGTACCCGCTGGGAACTGTGATTTTCCAAGTACATCTGCTGTACTGAGGGAAGTTACTAGGAAAATTTGGAGTTGAAAAGAATCCACTAAGTCCATCAAGATATTCGCCGGAGGAACAAGCTGCAACCAGAGAAAGCAAACTGTGATTTAGCTTTATAGTACAAAATGAAAGAGTAATCTGGCTGTGAACCAAAAAAAAAGCTCGATCGAAAGCATTGCTTTAGATAAACACAACAAAAATAAGAGATTTGCTACCGAACTCTTTTAAAAATATCATACCAATAAAAATGGTTGGCATTTCATCGACATTTTAGTTTTTAGTAGTATAGTAAAATGCCATATCTGGCGCACTTCTCAAGTTTTAAAAAATCCATTAAATTGAATAATAAAATCCCTGAATATGCAAAAGACTTCAGAAAAGAATGGCTTTATATTCAAGGGATTAATAAAAAGTGTGGTGATTTTTCAAAAATGTTAGACGAGACTACTTCTTTTGAAAAAGTTTTCTGGTCTTCATTAGCAAAAGCACTTATTAAACACTTTAAAAATGTTTTGGAGGCTCAAAAAAAGGGGAAACTTCAAAACATTAGTAAATTAAAGTTTAAATTAAGTGCTGTTGATAAAATAGTTCAGCTAAGAGTTGACCTATATTATTTTATGGGAAACATTTTTTATGCTGACTTTTTTACAGATGATGAATTTCAAGATTTTTTTGAGAATTTTATCATCTTCACTAACAATGTAAACATTAAATATGAAGAAAATTTTGAAGATGATCTTTATGATATAAATGATTATATTAGGGATCATGTAGAAATTGATAGTATTAGTGATATTGATAATATTAGTGAAAATGAAAATGAAAATGAAAATGAAAATGAAAATGAAAGTGAAAGTGATAGTGATTATGAAGATTATGATAGTGATAGTGATGAAAATTATGATAGTGATTATAGTAATGATGGTTATTTTAAGACGTTAAGTATATTACTTGATAGTGTTAGTGATTTCTAAACTTATAACATTTTTGTTACAAGTTTTAAAAATGATTTACAAAAGTTTGAAGAAGAATTAATATAACCAACTAATAAAAATGGAACCAAGATCAAGAGAAACTACTCCTACAAAAGAGGATTTGGAATTTATAGTTGATGATGGTTATAGACATGATGAGGATCCAGATTATGTTCCAAACGAAAAATTTATTCTTAAAGGACCAGAGTTTAAGAGATTAACCAGAAATGCTAAAAAGCTTGGTGCAGAAACACTTGATTATTCAACCCGAAAAAATAACAAATATATGGCTACACTTCCAGGTGGAAAAAAAGTTCACTTTGGATCACCAAAATATCCAGACTACACTATTCACAAAGATAAAGAGCGAAGAGATAAATATCTTTCACGTGCTACAAAGATTAAAAACAAACAAGGGGAGTTAACTTATACTAATCCAGAATCATCAAATTATTGGAGTGTGAATCTTCTCTGGCCTAAAAAATAAAATTGAATTATGATTTAAAGATTAACTAAATATTAATAAAATGCAGTTGTCAAGTTATGAAAATATTACCCAAGAGAATATTATCTTTAATGAAGCCAAAGAGTACAAAGTCAAAGATAGCAAGATTAAATACAAACGTATTCCAATTGAAGTCAAATACCCAAATGGAAAGAAAGGACCACTTGTAGTTGAATCTCCAGTTCTTTTTAGTTTTGGTGTTAATGAAAAGAAAAATCAAGAAACAGGTAAGTTAGTTGGTTATAGTATTCCAGTATGTCTTTGGGCTAAAGATAGTGAACCTAATAATAAAGAAAAAGCATTTTTTGATGTTATTAATAATGTAACAACTCTATCTCAACAACATTTAGAGAATGAATATGAACCAGATCTAGCATCATCTCTATCTTCTCCATTTTACTATAAACAGGAAGAATATATGGATAAGATCACCAGTTCTTTATGCAAAACTTATTTACTCTGAGAAATCAAAGAAAATTCTTTCACAATTTAAAACAAAAGGAAAGAAGGATTTAAATCCTTTCAAATATATTAATCAATATTGCAATGTTAAAATGGCACTATAATAATTGAAGGAATATTTATTAGTAAGACTGTTACATCTTTACAAATAAAAGTACATGAGTGCTATATCAAACCATTAAAACCTAGGGAATCTTTACTAACAATTGAAGAGGAAGAGAGTGAGGGTGAAGAGATACCTGATCAAGTAGTTGAAGACTTAATTTTATCTGATAAAGAAGAAGATGAGTAAATAATAGGATTTTATTTTTAATACAAATTTTGTATTAAAAATCAACCAAATCCTTTAAACTTACCCATGAGTTAAATTTATCAGGATATCCATTCCATTTTACTAATGCCATTTTTTTCTTATTATCCCTCCTAATAATTTTTTCTATTCTAAATGTTTGTTGTTTTGCTTTCTGTAATTCTTGATCGTAAAAAGAACCTTTAATCTCTTCTCCCATCAAATCAACAACGCTATATGTAATAGGTTTTGTTGGTAAAACTTTATCAATTACAAATATCTCCTCTGTCCAGTTTGGTGTGTAGCCTTTATCAAATACCTTTCTCTTATACTTAGAAATTCTAACACGATCACCAACCACAAATTTTGATTTACCAGGTTTTAAGTAAATCAAATCACCATATAAATTAGTCCAAACTTTACTTTTATTTTTCTTTTTACTTGCTTCAACAGGAGTCATTTTTATACTAGAATGTCTCGCATTATTGTAATCATTAACTAGTTTATCTAACTTATCCCAGTAAACAGTGTTGTTATTCACAGTAAACATTTTCCACATTCTGTTTTTCATTGTTTTATTCCATCTCTCAACAACACTAGATTTTTCTTCGTTTTCATTGTGATACAACCTAATTCCATCTCTTTTCAGAAAATCTTTGAAATGTTTACTGATAAACTCAGAACCTCTATCAGTCCATAACATTTGTGGTTTACGTTTACTTTTGAATATATCATCAAATGCTTTACTAACAGTTTCAGTTTTTTTATCTTTCAAACCTCTAATCCATCCATACTTGCTAAACACATCTATTACCATCAGAAGATATTTTATCCCTTTATTCCACTTACTAAACTTTTGCATTTCAACCAAATCAGCAGCCCAGATATCATCAATCCCGTTTGAGATTACTGATCTCTTCTGAAAGGTTTTTGTGATTGGTTTGTGAAGTTCGTCGGCTAATTGTTGAGACCAATCACTTCTCAACGCCGGCTCGCGTTTAAACCAAGACCAAGTTTTTGTTTAGTATTAATTATTGTTCTAGCTAAAGTATGCCCCCATTGTCGCTCTTTCCAAGGAATTGCATCCAAAGATTTTACCATCTTTCTGTCAGCTTTATTTTTACACTTTCGGTCTTCACCACAAACACTAGCTATAATCAACATATCATGTTGCATAGCTACAGCATCAGTTGGTCCAGTTGGTTGATCGTAAATTTCTAATATTTCACCAGTTTCTGGATTGTATCGAACTTGGTTTTCGAGATCGTTATAAGGACCTGTATATTTATGCCCTGGTAATGTCCATCCACCTTTTGGTTTTGGTAATTTACCAATATGCTTGTGAATATCTATTCCTCTTCCATCCAGCTCTGGTCTATCAGTTTTATATTTATTTTTTGGTCTTACTTTTGTTGATAACTGATCCATTGCTGATCCACCAGAATCTTGAATAAATGGAGTGAGTTTATTAACCCCATAATTTACAGCTTTCTTCTGAAGATTTTTATTTCTCATTAACTCGCTTGCTCCATATCGCCCCATTTCAACTGCTTTTTTACCCATCCAAGGTAAACCATAATGAACAAATCCATCAACTGCAGTACCAACTACTGTATCAAAAAGACCTGAACCATGTTTATTTTTAACTTCCGCTAAAGATTTGTATATTTTGTTGGTTCCTAAACCACCACTAAAAAAATCTTTTACATGTGCATATCCAATTTGTTTACCATTTTTCTTGACAATCATTATTGGATTACCTTCTTTGAGATAAAATTTTTTATCACCAGAACGAAAGACAGTTGTTTCACCCGTCCAGAAATTGGAAGTAAATATACCATCTTCTGAATTAACAACACCTTTAGCAGTATCACCAGACCAATAATCTTTAAATGTTTGCTTTGTTTGAGGAAATAAGGTTTCTGAAATTTTTTGACCAACATTTATTCCTGTTTTGATTGGGCCAACAGCATCAGAAACACCTTTGCCCGCCATCACTGACGGGCTAATTAGTTTTTTGACTTCTTTTTTGTCTTTCTCTTTTTTCCACTTCCACTTTGAGAAGCTGATCCAGTTTTCACATATCTAACTTTTTTATTTCCACAAACTGCGCATCTGCAAAAGAATTGAGTTCTACCTCTTTTATCAGTTTGGTAACCACTTGGCTCTGTGCAAGGAGTTACTCTTTTATCTACAATACAATATGATTCTTTCATTTAATATAATGTTTAGATAAAATATGTCTACTAGATCTAATTTTGTTAAAAGTGAACTTCAAAAGATATACAATAATCTAAACATGAGTTATGAAAATACTGTGCATTATAGAATGGAAAATGATTCTAAATTTATAAAAATATTTGAGTTGTTAATGGAAATAAGTGAGAAATCAAATACTTTAAGTAATATTATAAAAGGTAATTATCTATTCATATAACAAATGGAAGCCAAGTTCTTTTCTGAGATAGAAAAAAAGATGGATGTTAAAACACTAAAAGATTTTGAGAAAGATGTACGAACACAAATAAATAATGAGTTTGAGTCTGTTAGAAAGAAAAATGATGATCTTTCTAGAATACTAATGGCTGGTGAATGTGAGATGTGGAAAAAGATCAGAGATGAGGACTATTCTTGGTTGAAAATAAATAGTGATAAAAAGAAGAAACTTTATCGTATTATTGATATTTATTGTAGTTTTGATGATATAGTAGATAGTGTTAAAGATTTAAATAAAAAAGTTGAGAAAGTTAAACAACTAAAGGATGCACCAGCGGATAGTGAATAAAAAAATAATATTTATTAAATATTATTTTTATCCTCCAAAGTATGCTTTTATAAAATCACTGTTATCATCATCAAAATGTGGGTTATGTATTACATTTAGAATACTATTACCCCTTTGTCTTTCAAACAGATAGTATAAACACCAATAACCACAGAGAACAGTATTGCGATTTTGTATTTCATCCATTGAGTAAACTATTCGTTTTCCAGAAGTACGAAAATACTTTAATGCTTCATTTGGCATTATTAGTCCAAATGGATCAAAGTACTCAACTACATTGTCTATATTTCTATAACAAACCCAATGTGTTCCAGGACCTGTTATATCATCTAGATTAATTATTCCACATTCTTTTTTTATCTTATTAGGTAGTCCATCGCGACTATAAATTCCTCTAAAATGTTTAATACCAAGTCTTTTTATCCAATCCAAAAGGTCAAAGTTGGATAGAGGTTTCATTACAAAATGTCTCCTAGTATGGGTATTGAGCTGAATGGGCTGTTTTTTCCTAGAAGAAGACCCTTGCCCTTGGACTTTTTTTTTTTTAACTCCCATTCCAATTGGGTTTTCCCATGTTCCAATAAAGGGTGGTGGACAGTGATAAGGATAACCTTCACCATGTGTGGGTGGTGGAGGAGGTGGAACGTAAACATTTGATGTATTAGATGATCTATGTTTATCAACCTGAAGTCCCCCACCAAACATCTTAGATACTAAACTAATTGCCATTGGAATACCAATAGAAGCAAGAGTTCCAAGAAATCCTCCTTCTATCTGTTTACGAGTTGGTTTGATAACTAATCGCCCACCTGTTTGATAAGCTTTGTTAATTTGATTTATTTGTGATTTGGTAAATTCTCTTACAAGAGGTGGTAACATTGGGAAAAATTGTGGAGGAATTGTAATTCCTTTTCCAAATATTTTATTTAATCCAATTTCTCCAAGTGCAGTAGTAGCACCAGTTGCTAATGCAGGAACAACTTTTGAAACTCCTTTTATTGCGTAAGGTAGTACTTTTGCTCCAAGAGATGCGAGTGATGAAAATAAGTTTCCACCATGTTTTACAGAACGTCTAATCTGTGTTTTACTTATCTTTATATCTGATCCTGTGCCATTTGCAATAGATTTTTTTATTTTAGAAATTTGTCTTTTTGTCAACATTAACTCATCAGAACCTCGAAGATGTGAGTGTTTTAATCGAAGAGTTAGTGGTGATTTATTTAATATTGCAGAAGCCAGTTTTGACTTTTGCCCATCTGTAAGTGTTACACCATATTCAATATAAGATGTCATTTTTTATTATAATATTTAGATAACAAGTGGTTTAGGAAGTTCAATTACATCCCATATACTTTTCTTCTTAGGTTTAGGTTCTTTATATTTTTTTAGTGTATTTTTAACAAAGGTATCAAAAAAAATTTTATTTAATTTTTTTTCTTTTTCAGCATTTTTTTTTTTAAAGTCTCAAGTTGGTATTGCAGTTTTAATTTCTTTAATTTTTTTGCTTTATTATAATTTTCTTTTTTTAAAGTTTCAAGCCGGTCTTTGGATCTTTGTTTCATCAAAGAATTATTTAATCTAGTAACATAAGGTAAAGTTTTTTAAACTGAGTTTTACTGAATTTTAAATCAACTTCTTTATTAAGTTTTTTTGCAGCCTCTACTTTTTTGATTTGGGTATTTGTAAGAAAAACTTTAAAAGGTTTTTTATTAGATTTTAAGTCGAAAGTTACAATATTGTTTTTTCCAAATTCTTTTATTTGTGATGGAGATAAGTTTATATCATATTCAAAGTATTTATTTTCTAAAGTTACTGGTTGATATATATCAAAAGGATTTAACATTTTATTTTATTCTTATATTAAATCATATGTGGTTTAGATAAGGGATCCATTAGTTAACTTATGCTCGAAGCAATAGTTTTCCTCCTTGCTGTTCGATTTCTGCCACTCGTTCGTGAAGTATTAAAGCGTATAAATTATAATCAGCGTTTGGATTAGCAGATAACTCGTAATGAAATGCTAGTTTAGTTACTCCATCTTTTATATCTAATTTTTGTTTTGTCAGGTCAAAGTAAACAAAAGGGAACAAAGTCTCAAAATTTGTTCTATTAAGTAGTGTTCCACCTTGAAAGTCGTTATTTGCGTAAACATAACCCATTACTTCTCTGAAAACTCTTGCTGAATCTGTAGCTGGTTTAAAGTGAATATTAGGGTACTCATTTCCATTTCCAACCTCGAGATAACAACGAGATATATTAGCATTATTTGGTAAATTAAAAGTATTGTATAAAAATGGATTTGCTGTTTGTGAATCAATATTAGCTGTGTTAATTCCAAAAACAAAGACATGGCGAGGTTTTGAGATTGCATTCGTAATTCTAAAATGACCTGTTTGCTGTTGAGAGTTATTTGATCGCTCAACTACTTCATTAAGATACACCCATTTGTAAGGCTTGAGATAATTTTCCATGTATAGTTTTTGACCTTCTGAGTTGAAAGTCATTCTTGGAACAAATAGTTGAAATCTTGTTAGTATAACTCTACAATTATTACCTCCAGTTCTCCAAATAAGATTAGCATCTGATTCTAGTTCTATATTAAGCTCAATTTTTGTATTTGGAAGAAGTTTGTCCTCTAAAGCTTCAAAGAAAGAATATCTGTTGAGGGGGATTTCACATCGTACTGTTGCTGAGTCGCCTAATAGTGTTTTTCTTATAGAAAAACCTTTGTTATAATTAGCATTATCTCCATCTAAAAAATTTCTTGCTTCCCAACCATTACCAGCATCATTAGCTCCATGTTGAACTTGTCTTTCTGAGTACTTTTTTCTATTTGCATTTCTTGATGTATCAAGATAGTAAAATTCATTTGTGGCAACACTCTCAACATAAGATGGATTATACTCAAGCAAATTTTTAATATTAACTATATGATTAGCGTAATTACAACTATAAACATCTCTACCATTTGCTAGAATAGATAACTTTTCTATGAGAGAACTACTTCCATTTACTATTCCATTATTATCTCCATCTGCATCTATATTAGCTCCAGCAGCCAGCTCATTAACTTTAAAATCTACTGAAAATCGCGCGTTATACCAATCAAAAGGAGTAGCTTCTCCTGTGTTATCAGCAAAAAATCTATGACCTGTTTTAGTTTGATGAGCAGCATTTGCAGGTGTTGCTAAAGCCTGTTCAAGGTCAAAAACAACATCTTCATATCTTTCTAAATATTTTGGATTTCTAAATGACTTCATTTTATTTTAATAATTATATAATTTTTCTCTTACGCCCTCCTCCACTAAGAATGGCATTTACTCTTTTATTTATCTCTTGTTGAGTCATTGTTTTGTTTGGTACTGTTTCAACATTTTTATTAAAAGTAACTTTTTTGGGGGAGGGTGTAGCATTTTCTTTTAATAACAATTGCACTATTTTATCACCAGCCTTTTTACCAACATGTTCACCAGTTTTTGTTGCAGCTGCTGTCACTGCTTTTTTAGCTCCTTTTTTAACAGCTGATTTGACTGTTTTTCCAAATATTTTTTTACCAACTGATTTAAACACATCCATCATTCCTTCTCCATAAATATGTTGTCTTGTATATCTACCCAATTCAGGGTCAAGTCTCATTTTAAACTCTGATTGCCTCATCATTTTTATTTTAATAGTTATATTACATTGAATGGAGTATCAAAGTCATAAACCAATCAATACCGTTAAAATTTACTGGTCTTCCAAGTGAGTCTGTCACATAGATTCTCATTTCATCAATGTGAAATGAAGAGACATCACAATATAATGGCCTTTTAGGTTCAAATGAAAATGGATAGGACCTTGTAAGATTGTCTGTTGGTATCACAGCAATAGTATTTGTATTTATTCCGTTTACAATACTATTAGTTATTGCGGTTGTGTTTATATTTAGCACATCAATCGAGTTTGTTATATTTGGTAGTTTTGTTCCATACTCTGTTTTTGTAATAATTTTCTTTTCAAATCCAATTAGGTCTCCAAAATTTGTTCCTCTTAGATCAAGTTGATAATCACCATCAAGTGATACTAACACTCGATAGGTAGATAGTATAAAAGTTAGATTGATTGAATAAGTTTTTTTCCCACTTGAATCTGTTGAGTGATGAGTCTTTTGAGACATATATTGATGAATGTAATCATTAATATCTGAGTAGGAATACATTCCATCTGTAAAAGTAATTGTTTGCCAAGTCCTTCCATCATGAGTGTATTTGATTTTATTGTTTCCATAATCACTTCTAATATTATACCAAGAGTAAGTCATTGACAAACGATCAAGAGCAAGTTGATGTTTCTTTTCAGGGTCAAGTTTTAGAGATGGATTAAACTTAATAGTAAAATCACCAGGTCTGTTTGTTCCTCTTTTTTCCCTATTTATTGAGGAAATGTGGATAGCTCGTTCTTCCATTTATTTAAATAGATATATAACTTTTTAGTAGATCGTTAAGTTGTTTTTTTGAGATTACTTTCATTTGGTTGAGAAGATGTGCTATTTGAGAAAACTCAGGTATTACACCATTATTCCCAGCAAGAATTGAACCACCGAGTAATTCAAGTCTGTCTAGAAGTTGATGTGGGTTGTTAAAGTAAATCATTCCAGAGCCAGATTTTGTTTTATAATACTTAAGATTACTTAAATTTGTTGCATATATGCTTAATATGTTAAAATTTTTTATGTAATCTAATGTTTCTTCTCGTGGTTTTTTACTTTTTGGTTGAGCTAAAACATAACCGTTTGCATCTCGTATAAAATCTGCAGTATTTTTTATTCTTGCACTCAAATCTTTTAAATCTTCGTTAACATCATCAATTACTTTATTAATGGTAGAAACATCTTCTTTAAAAAACTCAGAAGGGAGTTTGTGATATTCGTTAATTCTTAGTATATCTTGTGAATCTTTACTATTTAAATATCTATCGAGGTCTTCAGCTTTAAATTTTGCTATTTTTGGTCCCTCATCTGATGTAGAGGGTAAAACTACATCATCTTCTTTAGACTCTTCAATTGATTCAAAACCAGGTAATTGAGTCAAATCCCATTTTTTTACCTCATCCATTTTATCAAATCCTTCAGTTATAACAAGTCTGTTTTGATTAAGACCTTGTGTAAGAGCAAGTTGATTAGCTTTAAGTTGTGCTATAGTTGCGTTTTGCTGCTCATCAATACTTTTTTTAATGCTATCTTGAGATTTAATAAGTGGTTTAAATGTTTCTTTAAAACCCTCCCTCATATCTTGTTTTTGCCATTTTGTTGTTTTTATAACATCTCTCACCTGTTTAGTCATAGCCTGCGCGCAGACGAAATTAAACTCTGGTTAACTCCGTCTGCGAAACAGCGCCGAAATCCTTGTTCTGGACTTCCAGCTGTGTACCCAGATTTGAGTACGCGCCACGATTGGCCAGTTAAAAAAGGCCTTTGTTTTGTTTGTCGTGATCGCCAATCAGGTTGAAGGGGAATTCGAAACGCACTTCCGGTAATTCGTTGAGTCCGTTGGGGGTCCAGAACAAGGATCTCCGCGCTGCTTCGCAGACGGTACTAATCAGAGTTTAGTTATCGGCTGCACGCAGGCTAGTTTAGTCAAAGCATCAGCTTCAATTTTATTTCTTGCAAGTTTTTTGTATTCTTCAATATTCATTTATATATTCTTTAGATAAATGGAAATACCAAACTATGATAGTGGTGACAACCCAGATAAAAAATATAAACAGTTATTTCCTTACATGCCATCAGATACATTTCGGATGTTAATATGTGGAAACAGTGGAAGTGGTAAGACTAATCTGCTGTATGATATGTTAATTAAACCACTACTGTATTATGATGAAATTTATCTTTACGCGCGTAATCTAGAACAGGATAAGTATCAAAAGCTAATTCAAAAAATGAGGGAGTTGAGTAGTAAACTAGGATATGAAATACTTCATGTAAGTAATGATGAAATAATCCCAGTGACAGAAATGGATTATGAAGACAATCAAAAACTTGTAATATTCGATGACTATGTTTGTGATAAAAACCAGAGACAACTGATTGATTATTTTATTGAAGGACGACATAAGAATTGTTCGGTGGTGTACCTCAGTCAATCGTTTTATAAAACGCCAAAGGACATTCGGTTGAATTGTTCTCATTACTGTTTATACGAATTTCCATCATCAAGGGAAGCCAACAGAATATCATCTGAGTTAGGAGTAAGTAAAGAAGATTACCACGCAGTAACTAAAAAACCGTATTCATTTCTATACGTTGATAAACCAAGAAAACATATTGCAAAAAACTTTACTGGTAATCTAACCTAATAATTAAAATGGGAATATTTAACGAACAATCTCTTGATCATCCCTTTGCTAAGGGAATACAAGGTGCTCCAGGAGTTGGATTTAATCTCACTTCAAGTGGGGATTATGATATGGTAAATAAAAAACTAAAAAATGTAGGTGCACCAAGTGATAATACTGATGCTGCTACAAAAAAGTGTGTTGATGATAATTCCAGTGGATCACCCTCAACATCACAACTAACAGTTGATTCAAATATTAACATGAATAATTATCGAATTACAAATCTTATTACACCACAGGATTCTAAAGATCCAGCAACAAAATATTACGTAGACAACACATTTCTTGATAGAGATGGATCTTAGCCAATGAAAGGAAATCTAAATATGGACAACAATCGAATATTTAATCTACCAGCTCCAAATGGTAGTAATCAACCAACACCATTAGCTTTCACAGATTTGAAGTATCTTCACGTTAATGGAACAAATAAAATGACTAATAATCTAAACATGGATAATAAAAAAATAATTAACCTTAGAACACCAACAGACTCCACAGATGGTGCAACCAAAAAGTATGTAGATGACTCAATACCTAATACTAGTTCTTTTATAAAAAAGGATGGAAGTGTATCAATGACTAATAACCTAAATCTTGGAAACAAAAAAATAGTTGGTCTCGCTACTCCAACATCAAATACAGATGCTGCAACCAAAAAGTATGTGGATGATAATTCTGGAAGTCCAGATTTAAGTGATTACTTGGAAAAAGATGGTACAGTCACTATGACTGGTAATCTTAATCTTGGTAATAATAAAATAGTTAACCTCAGTGACCCCACCACAGATCAAGAAGCTGCTAATCGTGGATGGGTTCGTAAACAAATAGAAAGGTTTGATCATCATTCTGGAGATGGAACAAGTAGTGTATTTACCATAACAGATCCAGCTGCACCCACGACTTTGTATCTACAATATATCTCAGGCTCATCATTTGATGATTTTGTTTTTACAACATCAGCACCTGGTCAACCTCTGGTAGGGTGGGCACCAACTGCTAACACATACATTAACAAAATAGAATTTCAGTTTGGTTCGCGAAATATAAACGTTGACTTTCTGTGGTTTATTCCCAGAGATGTCTCTCATTCCAATTCTAATTTTTGGGTAAGTGGAAATCGCACTAGCACTTGGTCATTAAATATACACAAGTCTTGGAATTATAATATGTCAGGAGTAAAACTAAGAACCCATAACAATTCAAATCACACAGCTATCACTTGTCGGTTATTTACTGATCTACCAAAAGCAATAACCAAACCACTTAAGAGAATAGAAATCAACACACCTAAAATTGTAATAAGTGGGGTTGTAAAAGCTGATGTCAACCTTGGTGGTAATAAAATAGAGAATCTGGGTCTACCAACCCAAGACAATGAAGCAGTAAACAAAGGTTATGTTGACAATCTAGTTCATCTTACTGCAGTTCAACCAAGCCATTATAAAGATGAATTTAGTTACCTCATGTCAAGTGGGGCTCAATGGACTGATGAATCGGAGGAAATAGGGTCTAGTTTTGTTATAACAAAAATAGGAGATTTAGCACCAAACAAAGGAAACTTTCACGACTATAATCACAAAGTAATTTACATGACTATAATAAAGAAATTCTTGCATGGATTTATACAAAAATATATTTATAAGATGGGAATTAATTTTTACAGACTAACTGCAAATACCGAATACACGTTGTGTTTGGAAATACTCAACACTGATTATAATCTTTGGAATAATACACAAATAAGTGTTGACAAAGGAACTTCAAAAGGATTATCAATTGGAAATGTTAGTGTAAAAAAACTATCCCATAAGTATACTAAAACAAAAACTATGTACTACCACAGAATAATAGTTAATTTCCGGAAGTTGTCATCTGGGAATAAGTTCTTTCTTCACATTTTGGTTGATATTCTTCAGGGTGGATATAACATGGCTTCATATCCGAGACTGTTTTCAGGAGTTTACATCATTGCTTATGGAATTGAGGGTACATTTAGCAATATCGACCCAGATAAAGTTTACGACTATCACACCGCATTTGATATTAAACCAACAGAAGTAGTGTACAACGTTGATATTAATGCAAATCAAAAAGAAATTAAAAATATTAAACTTAACCGAAACAATGATAATAGTGCTGCAACAGTTGCATTAGTAAAAGAACTAGCTCCTTTTACTAAAAATGCTTTGTATAGATTATACTTTAGTGAGTTTTATGACTTTGCTAATGCAGATAGTTATGGAATAAATATAGGCTCATCTGGAATTATTATTAATTCTTTAAAACCTAATATTACACTACCACCAAATAAAGACCTAAGTGAAATAGCAGAAAAAGGATTACATATTAATGGTTATGATGTTACTTTTTCTCCTTCACATTCTTCGAAATCTACTTTCTGTTTTGTTTTTACTCATTGGAGAAATAGAAGTTTTACCCTAACTAAATATTTATCAACAAACAATAATATTTTAGTAAAATTAGATTATAATAAATCAAACAATAAAGTAATTTTAACTGTCAATAAAACAACTCAAAATTTTACCATGCTAAGTAGTTTTAACGGAAAAATAATTGTTGTATGGTTGGCAGAAGATTTAAGTGCAAATGTCACAAAAGTTTCAATAAGTAACTACAGCGGAACATTAACTATACCAGCTGTTCAATACAATGCTAATCAACGTTGGAAGTTTACAACTGAAGATGGAGTGTTATTAAGATTAATGTATTCTCCAAAATTTTACGACATTGACTCAGAGCAATATCATAAAGTAATGCTTCAAGAAAAGTTAAGTGGAAGTTATATAATGTAAATATAAATGAAAAGAAATAGTAGTAAAAAAAAGAGTATTTTTGAATTTAATCATATTGATAAATCTTTATCAGAAGAGCAAAGAGAAACTATAAAAGACCTTTATAAACATTATCATAAGAAACATTGGTGTTATAAAAAATCTTATAAAAGTTACAAATTTTTAGATAATATTTTTTTCTATTTCTAGTTTATCTCTTATTGCTGTTGGCACTATCACAGGAGGGTTGACACTCAATCCTATTATTCTTGGAGTAATCAACGGTGTAGGAATAATTGTGGCTGGAATTACAAAAAAGAAGGATTTTAAAAAGAAGATAGAAACAACAAAACTGGCTTATACTACTTATGAGAAAGTATTAGTAGAACTACGATCAGCACTCAGAGGAGATGAGTGGAATAAGCAAGAATTTATAGATCGTATTAAAATATTAGATGAAATGATAATTGATCAATGTCCATCGAGTGTGGATAACTTTGCGGAAAAGTATAAAAATAAATTTAATATATAAATTAAAATACTAAGTTAGTATTTTAATCTAAGTATCTAAAGGTATATTTTTGATTACCTTTCTTTGAAGTAGCTGTTTTATTTTTATTTTTACAAATTGCTGTAATATTTGTAGCAAATATATTTAATTCATTAGAAGCTTCTTTGATGGATATAAATCTTCTTTCTTTTCCAGTACTAATACAAGTAGAAATTATTGCCTTATCGTTACTTTTTCCAACATTTTGCTTATGAGTAAGTAATTGCAAATTTTTAATTCTATTATCACTCTTCACAGGAAAAATATGATCCACTTCAAAACCACGTGGAATTGGTCCTTTAAAAACTTCGTAAACAAATCTGTGTTGAAGATATGAAAGAGGTTTTTCGAGATTTTTATTGTAAATTGTAAAAAGTAAATAACCACAATTATTTTTTATCATTTTAATAATTCTTTCATTTTTTACATTTATTACTTCTCCATTTTTTCTTGCAGCGTAATTAGTAAAAACTGGGTGCTTATAATATTTTTTCCATCAATTAATACTCTTTGTTTTAATTTTGTAACTCTAAATTTATAATAACCATATTTTCTGATTGATGGAAGAACTTTGGAAAAAGCCCATTCTCTAAAAAATTTTGCAGTGGGTAATCTTGATCTAAAAACTAATTCGTAGAAACCTGGTTCATCGATAAAATAAGTCATAGAGCAACCGTGCGAATCACACGGTTGGTTCAAAAGAATTTTTCTTTTATGATTTTCACTTACATGACTCTTTATAGCTTTTTCTGTATTTTTGTAGCCCAAAATAGTTGCTACTTCTTTAGCTTTAAACCATACCCTTAATTTTTGATCAATATAAGATTTAAACTTGATTCCAAGATTTCTATTTATAAAAACTTTTTCTTAAGTGTTTTCCATTTAATTTTTATTTTTATTTCTTTAAACAACAATTAATTTGATATTAAATTAAGGATATAACTTTTCCTTTCTTAAAAGTTCTTCAAGACCTTCAACATCCTCACCCCAAAAAAAATCATTAAATTTTTTTTTTTGTTCCTCATTCATTGTAAGACCATAACCTTCAGCAAAATAAGCATCTTCATCTGCTTCTTTTTTATGCAAATAAAACTGTTCTGGAGCTCTAGTTTTTTCAAGTGCTTCAACCAATTCTTTTACTTTTTTTCCTATTATAGGATCTTCAACTTCAACATATATCTTCATAGGAATATATTCATCAGTATCTAGTTGAATATATTTTCTTAGATTGTGAAAACGACAAGCATTTTCATTTTCTTTCATCTTCCGAATAGCTTTAGATTCTAACATTTTATAAAATTCTTCTTGTGTTTTTGGTTCCTCAGTTTTTACAGGTTCCTTTGAAAAATCTACTTCTTTAGCATTATTAGCTAAGAATTCTCTTTCTTCCAATGATAAATTATCTAAATCTATAATACCAAGTATTTTTCCCAAAGATCTTTCCATTTCAATCAAGTCATTTAAAACTGATGGATGAAGTTTGTATAACACCTCACAAATATTTTCTAAATTTAACAATGATCTAGGATTGATTTCAATAAGCATTCTAATTACTTACTTTTCTAATTTTTAAATTTCAATTTAAATATAATGTAAATATTAATAAAATGATAAACACAATAGTTCATTATGTTAATTATTATTACCCCATGTAAAAACATCTTCCCTATTCTGAAAATCTTATAAAGTCATCACTAATTTACAGATTCTTATACGAAACTACTTTTAAAAAAAATATATTTATAGAAAAAATAATTTATAAATTAGAAAATAGATCTATTAAATCTAGTAATCCTGTACTAAATAATCATTTAATGTTTTACGCGGATTTTAAATCTTTTTACAAACATTACAAACTTGGAAGAGGATGTGTATATGCATTTGATTCTCCAATAAATAGTGAAGTACTTGGTTACCTAACAGGAATAATTTACTGGATTTTTCATAAAGGAATAAGTTAAATATTTTATATTAAAAATTTAATATAAAATTATTTTCCAACTAAACTTAGTAAATGAATTGAGTCATAACCATCATTTAAATATTTTCTAGCTATTTCTTTTACTTTTATCCATTTCTTCTAAATTAAGATTATATCTATTATCATCTACTTTTGGTTCTTTAAATCCTTATAACAATTCCACCACTTTTCATAAATCTCTAAAGTTTGGGGACTAATCTTAAGTACAATAAGTTTATACTTTTCACATCCCCTCTCCTCCAAATTTTTTTCGGTTAAATAATTAATATTTATCATTCTCTTTCTGAAGTATTGTTTGTTTAGTATTTCCATGATATGATTATCTATTTTTTTAAGTTTATCGTAAAGTTCACATTTTTCTTCATCATTTAGGTTTATTTTTTTAGAAATTTCATTTACCTTTTTCTCATAGTGGTATTTCCTATGATAAATACTCTTTTTTCTATAATGCAACCTATCCAAATCTTTTACATCAAATAATCCTAATACATGACCGTTTGCTGTACCACATTCATCACAAATTTTGTAGCCAGAATCTATTGTAAAAAATTCAGTATTTTTACAATTTGAACATTGTGCTTTTTTACTAAATTTCTGATTAGGTTTTTTATAATTATGAAGTATAGCTAAATATTTTTTTATTTCTTCTTCTGTATAAGACATTTATTATTTAATACTTTATTTACTTTTAAATAATTTTTTTTATCTAAAAGCCAAAGTATGCACTTTATCCTCTAAAACAATGCGCTTATCATCTTCATTACTTAACGCTACTTTATTTACTTCCTTTGAATATATATCATGTTTTTCACTTCTTATTATTTCTCATTTCTTTCTCACCTGAAAATAAACATTTAACATAATCATCAAAATCTATTTTCTTTTTTATAATATTTTTCTTTATTCCTTTACACTTTCTTACTTCCCTATCCTCTTCAATTTTAAAACTATAAAGTTTGGGACGCAATCCAACAAAATGTGTTATCTGTTTTCCTGCAACTTCATCTTTAAACATTCCAATCACTTTTTTATTAGCTCCTGTTAGTATTCCAGATTTATGATTTGAAGGATAATCTGAAGTGTCAAACTTGGTTAAAATATCAGGACTTATATCTTTATAAAAATCTTTTGTTTTAATTTGATACATCAATGAATCCGTATCTGTAAACAATGACTCAGCCTTGTTTCCATATTTCTCTCGTATGTAAGTGTAATGAAAATTAAACATTAGTGTTTTTGATAAATCTAAAATTGCTTGACCAACATATACTGGTTTATTAAAATACACTTCAGTATTTAGCATATGAATAGCAATAAGATTGCGATCAAATATTGTACATCTATCAAAGTTTGGGCGATTTGCTAGTTTGGCAGCTCTCTCACGATTATTCACAAGTTCTATATTTTGCCTTTTCCTTATATTTTCTATTGTTTTTCCAAAAACTGAGTTATTCATTAATTTGAAAAAGTCTTTTTCAAAATTGTTTGAAGCACTCTTTCTTAGTTCTGTATTTTTTCGGATATATGGTTCCATCCAAGAACTTTGATAAAATGATATTCCTCTATGAACAGCAGTTATTCTCATTCCCAACTCAAGATACTGTCTAAGATTTCGGTAATGCACAACATAATTTTTTCGGGGTTTAAAATGACAAATTAATTTTTCAACACCATTAACAATCATCCGCTCAGGTGCAAGAGGATAGTCATTATGTGTTTCCCATAGGTGAGGTGGATACTCTAAATCAACTTCAAATATATAACCTTTACTCCCAAGATTTGACATACTATGATTTGCTTTCTCAAGAATATCCATTACCTTTTCTTTTGTTATATTTTCCATCCATTTAAATCCATGTGTTGGAAGATTTTGAGTCATCGCCCATCCATAAAGATTGTTTGCGTCGAGATATTGAATAAATGAAGACTCCACATCAGGATTATAATCTTCCATGTATTTATTATTTGCTTCTGCATATCGCTTTGATATATGTGTTATTCCACCACGAATACCACGCTCAATCATCATTAACGTATCATAATCATTTAATAATTGTAAATGCTGACCTGTTTCTTTTAGACATGCATCCCAAGCTAGACCTGGAGATGTGTAATAGTGAACTGGATCAAGTTTGTAATGATTGAGACAAGTTTTCCTAAAGTTTTCAAATACATCTGACAGAAGTAGGACATCAGATTTCAGATAAAGATCGTGATAATCTCTTATTGTGTTACATCCAAAAGTATTCCATACTTTAATTGAATGTTTGTAATCATCATCACTAGTATCTTCGTCATTTAGTTTTGAATAGAATTCCTCTTTGGGTGGTAAACATGTTTCTGATAATACATCAAGTGATGAAACATAATCATAAGGATAAACTCCCTTACGAGTTAGTAAATCTACATTTTTCTTGAATACATGTTTTGTATTATGAAAATCATCTGCTGATAAATTTGAAACAAGATTGGCAAGTGATGTTTGAAGAAACTTGAATGAATCTAAAAATCGTATTTCAAAATTTACATCTATCATTTTATCAAATTTATAAGAATAATACTCATCAACTTTAATACTTTTTGAAAATGAAATATATTTTTCTTCCGTAGATGGAATACAATTTATTTTTCCTTCTAATCTAGCAAGTTGTTTTATAAACAAATGTGCGTCATATCCTTGAAGATTGTGAAATATAACTGGTAATAATTTTGGTTTACGACACATAAGATTACATTTGTTATGCGCTGCTCCACGATACTGACCTGTAAAATGACAATGATCTCTAACTTTATCCTCTTTTAATTCACCACCACAAATATGACAGTTAACTTCAGCATCAAATGATTTTTGTTCTACATTAGTTAGTATAAGAGGTTTTGCTCTTTGATAAAAATCATTATAAATTCCTTTAGTTACTTCTGTAAGTTTTTCCACAAATACTTTTGATATATCTTCATCTTCGGAGGTTTTTGTATAAATGATTGGTTTAATTTTTTTATCAACTATTCCTTTAATATAAAAACAAAATCCTGATGGTTCATGTTTTTGATAGTTGTAATTATAAGAGTCTTTTGGATTAGGACTGCAACTATTCATTGGTTTAGTAAAGCATTCAAAATCTGCATAAACTACAAAAGGAACAGGAAGTTTTTTGTGATAATTTTTAAAGTATAACATTGTGTTTGGTTCTGGCATTTTTACATCGCTGTTGCATTATTTGAACAATATCTAATATGTTTTTCTAATAATTCTTCTTTAGTGTAATGAGTAAAACATCTCCTACAAATAAATATTTTACCATTACTACTTACAGTTTTTTGAGACCTTATTAACCTATGAAAATTTTTAATAAGAGTATAATGTGAGACACCATCTTCTTCATACAAAAATAAATCAATAGTATTTTTACAATCTCTATTTGCCTCTCTCAAAGGATAAATAATCATTTTACCATCTTCAGAAAAAACATTTATTCCTGGAATATCTGGATTAAGTTTCTCAAATTGAGTAATATTATTTAATTTTATTGGAAAAGTAATTCCTTTAGTGTTAAGTGAAAACTCATACTTTTTTAAATCGTTTATTCTTTCTTCATCTCTATCTCTTGGATGAAGATACCTGAGTATACACCAAAGAAAGCATTTATCATCTTTATTTTTAATGTTAACAATTGCTTTTTTATTTTTTATCCAAGAAGGAAGATCAATATAAGATGATCCTTTGGTTGGATTAAACTTAATAGTATTAACTTCAAGCTTTAAAACTTCTTTAAAATACCACCCGCTTCCATTTTGGGTAAACTTTTCTATATCATCTAAAATTTTTGTCATACATTTTGTTACTATTTCTTCTTCATTTGATGATTCATAATTTTTATAAGTTTTCGAACTAAAATATGCTTTAAACTCTTCTAATTCTTGAATTCCTTTTTCTGTTTTAACTTTAATTCTTTCCATTAAACAAACCATAACCATTTTTAATTTAATATTTCTATGCTCCTTCACTAAATTTAATAAACTAGCATAAACTCTATTATAATATTCAATTGGAGTAATACCAGGATTCCCTCTAAAACATACTTAACAGCAAAATTATTAAGAGCTGATTTTTCTATTTGAATTCCTTGCTCATGTTCATACATAGCACGCTCAAGAGATCTACGTAAGTAATCTGGAGTATCTTTGGGAATCTCTTTATTTTTTATACATTCCTCAAAATACTCTTCAAATGTTTTTATCTTTTTTTTCTTTTTATGTTCTTTTTTTATATCAACTCCTTTTCTAACTTTTTCTCTAGCTTTTGTTATTTTTTTATATAGTTTAATTAATCTTTTTCTTTCATTTAATTCTTTATAATCTTTCTTAAGTCCTTCTCTTTCTTCTTTTATTATTTGCCTTATTTCATCCAAAGATAATTTCTGAAATTGTTTATCTGTTACAAAGGGTTGTGAACCCTGAAAACCATCAAGTGATTGGTTAGACATGACGTCTTCTAATAAGTGATTATATTAGAAAACGTAAACTTTTAAATTGGTAATCTATTAATCATAATATTAATCATCACTATCACTTTCACTTTCACTTTCACTAATACTATCAAAATCACTTAATTCACTTAAACTATCAATTTCTCTTTCTTCCCCAATATAATCATTTATATCATAAAGATCATCTTCAAAATTTTCTTCATATTTAATGTTTACATTGTTAGTGAAGATGATAAAATTCTCAAAAAAATCTTGAAATTCATCATCTGTAAAAAAGTCAGCATAAAAAATGTTTCCCATAAAATAATATAGGTCAACTCTTAGCTGAACTATTTTATCAACAGCACTTAATTTAAACTTTAATTTACTAATGTTTTGAAGTTTCCCCTTTTTTTGAGCCTCCAAAACATTTTTAAAGTGTTTAATAAGTGCTTTTGCTAATGAAGACCAGAAAACTTTTTCAAAAGAAGTAGTCTCGTCTAACATTTTTGAAAAATCACCACACTTTTTATTAATCCCTTGAATATAAAGCCATTCTTTTCTGAAGTCTTTTGCATATTCAGGGATTTTATTATTCAATTTAATGGATTTTTTAAAACTTGAGAAGTGCGCCAGATATGCCATTTTACTATACTACTGTTTTTTTCGTGTGTTACTCATTAAAGTATTTGAATGCAACAGTTGCCATGACCTGTTATAAGGCAATAATATTTTTTATTCCTTGCTTGAAAAGTTGAAAATTGACAACCTGGTCGCCTGCACGTGCACCTTCAACTTAATTTGTGAAGGTGTTCAGCACATGTGTTAATGCGTTAAAAGCCGATTTTTAATAACTTACCGGTGGTTGTTGCATTATATTTCACTTTAATGTAAGTTGCCTTAAATCCACGGTACACCCAGTAAGTCCTAGCACCAGAAACAAACGTCACCCTCAGAACATCTTTTGCTGAATGGTATACTATCCCACGGTCATTATAGTTTCTACATCTTCGCCTGCCTGAGATGCCATCAGAGGATGAGCCATTTTGTATTTCCAGGTAGTCACACGTGCAAGATGAACCACATTTCCGAATATCTATGTCTCTAATGACCAGCACAATGCGTTCTCCTTTACTTGCTATAATTTTCCAGCTGCATTTCACGTTCGAAGGGTAACGCCTTGGATAGTAAGGACTGGTAAGAACCCCTGATGTCTCATTCAAGGTTGTCATTTTGGGACAGACTGCAAGGAATCGTAAGTATTGAGGACAATTAAAATTATACCACTTTAAAGAAAGAATCTAGTTAACGTGGAAAGGAATAAGAACAAAACTAAATGCGGGACGGAAGGACTAAATAATTTTGGGATGCGCCCGAAGCTACTTTATTTATCTGGAAAATCTAAGGGCTGGTCGGGCTGGCCATTAATCGAGATTAAAATGTCAGCAAGTCAACTAAGAATTGACTTCATTCTTACGATGTTTTCAAAAATTGTCCGTTTCGTGACTTTGAGAAAATTTTGGCCATAGGCGTCTGCGCTTACTCTGGTTGGAAGAAAGGCCTTGTCCGAGGACGGTGACGTGAAAAAGTTCAGGTTGTCTTTTTTCGTTGAGAAAGTCGATGTGAACAACAGCTACTTTAGAGAAATAATCTGCAACAGTTAAGGAGTTTTTCTTAACTAGCCAGTGAAACGGTTTCCTTTAACTCAAAAAAACTGTGAGATCCATGTAGAACTTCGATTAAGGAAGAATTCAAGCAAAGCACAGGAGATACTTATGAACATCAATGATTTCTGCGGGGAAAGTTTCCCGCAAATTTAGAAAACTGGAAGGAACTTATAAAAAGTGAAAATAAAGATGGTTTTCCCCTTTGTCTGTACTTCCTGCCATATGATAAGAACGACTAGTGCCAAAGCAAGTCGTTTCGTACATCGACTTCTTTACTAGTTATCTTTACATGATTTGGCTTTCAAAAGGGGCACTCAAAACCAAAAAAAAATAAACAAAAAAGCTCTTATTCATCCTCAAAACATATGGGAGCCTTAAGGATTCGTTTATTAGGCATTTATTTGTGCCTCTCTTTCGTGGCTTGGTAAATATTGAACAATAGCCACTGACACTGAGCTGAATAATTGTTATTTAAAAGTATACAACGTTGAACTGTTTTCTCAGGCCCGGTTCAAACGTCGAATTTCACATGTGCCGAACTTAAGGCCGGGAGAGTTGAATGCATGAGAAGTGCGACCTTTGAATCAATTAAATTCAATTGCTTCAATTAAATGCGACGTTTGAATCAAATGTCGTATTTAACTATTTTAGTCGACTAAAATAGGAATTAAGTTCGGCACATGTGAAATGAACTGAACGTTTAAACTGGGCCTTAGCCAAGACAGTTCAATTATAATTATACTGCATGCAGATTGGGTACGCCTTTTCTACTCCGCCTGGTTACCATACTGTTACACATAATAATGTTCGTTGTAACACAATGAGACTTTTAAAATAACGTACCTAATATTGTTAAAGGTGCAAGCAGCATGGAAGACGGTAAAGGTGTTTCAGTTGTGCTTTTATCTAATGCCAGAGTAGTGCTCGCTACGACAGATGAAAAATAGCCTCCTTGTAAGCTGCTTGGAGAAATAGCTGACGATGACAACAGGAAGGAAGACACTGAGGGCAATACGGATGTACCTTGCTCCAAAGACCAGCTCGAACTCATTGCGACAGGTGAAGATTCACTTTTGGGTGGACGGCTTGAACGAACAACTGATTTTGACACAACAGTCAACGATGACACCAGCTTAGACGACACCAACGGCAATTCGGGTGTGCCTAGTTCTTTTGCCATACCAGAGCTCAGTGCCACAAATGACGAACTACTTATGGCCAATTTATTTGAAAGACAGAAGACAGTGAAGGTACTGCGGCTGTATTTTGGCCTGCCACATTCGAATTCCCTGCAACATCGAGGACACTACTCGCCTTCGTGCTTGAATGGTCTGAGGATAACACTGCAGCAGATGTCATCAACACCCAGGTGCATGTAGCTGTTATCAAAGACAATAACCATAATTTCTGATACTGTTTCCATTAAAAAAACAGTAAAAATTATATATTTAAAAGCGGTTTGTCACGCTATTTGCTATCTTTTAAATACTAATAGCTGAACTCGCATCAATATAATGGTCTAGCTTTGTTATTTCATAGACTATGTTTAAGCATTGAAACCGTTTCCTTTCGTCTGTTACAAAGGATGGCAAGGATGACCCCAAGGGTGAACACGGATTAAGACAATGTTGGCCCAACTTTCTGAAGTTTTTTTTTTATCGCTATGACTGCAAAAATCACCCAAAAAATTGTGATGGGTAATGCTGCCTGATGATATTTGCTTGATATCTTCGTTATATCTCTAACTCAGGAGAATATTTGTGACTTAACCCTTTCACTGCCAGAGTGCTTGATGGAGTTTTGTAAGGTGAATGTAACTTTCGAGTCTGCCGACAAAATCCTGTGTTCTGCATGCATGGCCACTCAAATGAAAGCTCTCTGTCTGTACTTTCACAGAATGCTATTTCTTTTTCAACTTTCTCAAAAGGAAATTTGGAAATTTGGTCAAAATTTGCTTTTGGCTAAATTTGGCAGTAAGCAAATAATTGACCAAAAACAGCAACATCCTTGAGACATGGCCCCTTTTAGTACAAGATATAAACCCGTCATTCAGTAATGAGTAAAACTGACGAAGAAACAAACAAAACAAAACAAAACAACGACTTTGAGTATTTCACCTACTCTACATAAATTGCAATTGCTCATAACTTACTTAACAGTGGGAACAAACCACGATCCCATTGCATTTTCATACCTGAGTAGAGAACAATTCAGTGATACAAGAGACTAATTAAAACTTGAAAACTTCTTGATGATATAGTTCCAATATTAAGCTCTCTTTGACATAAATTGTTCTCACCATAATATTATAGTAAACATTCCAATGGACATCCATGTTATGGTCAATCGACAGCTGTCAAAAAGAGCAGCCGCACACAAGTGGCACCTGACAGTATTGCGGACTCAAGTGTACAACTCATTGAGGTGACGTGTTTTTTAAGTTATCCGCTGGCCAGTTGTTGGTTTTAATTGATCGCAGGCTCATGTCCAAAATGAAAGGCTATGTAATAAATAACTTATTAACCTGGTCCGTCGCTATCGCACGGTCAATACATCTGACTTGGTCTGAGATTTCCCTGTAATGACCTAACTCTCTGTTAATAAGTAGTATTTATTCTACCCCTCAGCCTTGGAACCAAGTATGAAGTTTAATGATTGGGAACTGGCCTATAAGGAGTGTCAACAAGGTAATCGTTGATGTTTTAAAGATGTAAATACAGTTAAAACCCGCGTATAAGAATTTAGTGATTTAATAACGTAGAGGCTGAAATTTGGCATTTAAATACCCAAAAATATAAGAATTGAACATGTGAAGCCTGGCAAAGAAAAATAGGTTCTTATACAAAACAATCACTCCAATTTTGATGGTCAAAATTGTCGATTTTAATTGTGTGAGAAACTTTTGACAAAAGGTTATTATGTATATGTTTTCTTTGATTTAAATTTGCTTGGATTCTCACTAGAAGTATGTTTTCCATAAAGCTGCCATGCATTACAGACGTTTTAAAATCTTAATATCTAATTTAAAAGATATAGAAATGTATTGATATTCTTCTTGGACTTTGAATGTTTGCCATTATGTATTAGTAGTAAAATATTTCTACCAATGGTTACACTATGACAACCTCTGAAAAATAAGAACCTTTTAAGAAAGGTATACCTTTTTTCGGGCTTCAGGTATAGGAAGTGGTTGGGATTTCATTGGTTGAAGTATATGAAAGGGAGGGAAATAAGACATTTAGGTCTGTGAAAGGACCAAAAAAGGCTCACAAACGCATTTTATGGATGTGAAATTATGAGACGAGAAAACCTCCTGGTTTGTATAGGTAATAGCATGATTTGTAGTGATATTTGGCATAAATACCACCAGTCATATTTCGAAATTCTTAAACGTAATTTCACGAGCCGTTAGGCGAGTGAAATTTGAGACAACTTTGAAATATCACGAGTGGTATTTATGCCAAATATCACGTACAAATCATGCTATTATTTGATTACACTACTACCCGCAAAAGGTTGCAATTTTCACATGTAGGTATGTCAAATTAAGCTGAAATACCACTGCTCTAAGCCAATCAAATTGCAGAAAATTCCCATGTAGTAGTATAAAGTGATTTATTTATATTAAAAAGACGGTGAATTTACAGCAGCTAAAAGGGAATCAGTGTTTTAAACTAGTTATGTGAGAGGGGTACCATTTGTCAGTAGAAGGAAGACAGAATGAGTACATTTTCTGTAAAAAAATAATGGCCACTTTATAAAAAGGGTAAGTGGTTGGACCTCGTAGCGGAACTTCCCCGTATGACATTTCCTTGAGTACCCCCTCCCTCCCCCACCCGGGCTACTCTAATGCGAACAATACATGGTTCAGCAATTTACTACGCATGTTGATAACGTCAAGGAAGAAATAATATGTGCGAAATAAGTATGCGCCACACAAATGTCGCCACGATTACATACTACCACGCATTCGTCGGAGCTCTCCAAGCGTTGTTTTGTAAATAGATGCCTTTTTAACTTTATTTAGTTTAATGCTCGAAAGGAAACATGTATTTTTTTTTATTGCATGGTAAACTTGCACGTGTGCATGCGATTGTTTGCTTTAATCTATCAATAAAGATCTTCAAGAATGTCTGCTCGGCCTAACAAGTGCTAACTCATTCCAAAGACCCAGATTTTGAATACGTTTTTCATACATATTTTGAATGATAAAGTGACTGTTTGCACTCACTGAAACAGCAAGAAACTAATAAATTCGATCGTGGCGTGCCCAACTGTTGGCCATTTAAATCTATGACATAAACTCAATATAGGACCTTCGCAGTGTTATAGTTGGAAGTCTTGGAACTAGTGTTGTTTACCGTACGTTCATCGTATCAAGCTTAATCATTCTATTACCAGTTAGTAAGCAACTCCGATCCAGCCCTAAAAGTTTAAAAGATTTTAAACTGTTAAAGACTTTAAACTATTTCTTATCTAAGCTATTGACTGCTCTCTTTGAAGGCGTAAATGCGAAAGATAGAGCTCACTTCTTGTTTGCGCTTAGTGGCTTCGCATTTGTTGACCTTTAACTTGACGCTGAAGTGCTTCCCTCCACTGCGAAAGCGTAAGTTATGCACATTGACTTACGTTTGAGTTAAAGATATCTTGTCTTACCTCCAAATCGAAGAACTCTTGGTAAGCCTCGATAGTTTTAGCCTGAGAAGCTGCACCTAAGCTTTTCTAGCGTAATATCGAGCAGACGTCTGTAGCCAAAACGACCCCCCACCCATCGAACTTTAAACAGCAGTCCACAGGGAATTACGAAGAAGCCGATATTCTTTGTTGTTGTTCTGTCGACCATTATACTCAAAGATGACAGTCAGGCTCAGTTTTTCTTTAACTTCACTGATATGCCGAAAAAAACAGCTACTAAAGTATGGCATTCTACTCTAAGGTAACCCAAGCTTAATTCTCGCCGGCCACGGCCATGTCTGCTCCAGACCTACAACTGTTGTTAGGTTAACGTGCCATAGTTTCTGGAACTCATTAGCCTTAATACAATTTTTTTTGACTGAACTGCGTGACACAGTTTTTAACTACTTAACTTTATTCTGATAGAATAGTGGTTTCCCTTGGCCACTCCTTATTCCTTCCCCCGGAGTTTGAGTCCCCGGGGGTGGGACTCCCCATATGAAAGGGGCGGGGATGCCTGTCGGAAATTTTGAATTAAACCCCTAAAGGAGACCGATCTGGGCGGGGCCCAAGATTTTTTTGACCCCTAAAAGAGACCATGTTAAAACACAGACAATATATATTTTTTTATACTTTTTCGCGTGCAACCCTAAACGAGTCCTTCACGGCTAAATATGATGGCGTTTTGCCCAGAACACCCTAAGTGAGACCAAAATCCGAAATTTATACCCCTAAGTGAGACGACGAACATCCCCACCCCTTTCATATGGGGACCCCCCTCCCCCCCTCCCCGGGTTTGAGTCATCGATATTGGACAATATACAAATCTTTCCCCGCCATTGCATGGCATAGTAAAATTCACCACAAGTTCGATTGTTTCCCAGAGAGGATTGCAATCCAGGATAATATCTTTCCTCGGGTTTTTACCCTACCTCACTCACTTTAGGTTAAGAAGCTGAAAAGCTCGGTTGGAATCTTGGTTGACCAATGTTTTCGTGTTATTCCGATATCAAGAGGGAGTCTTCCTAAAACCGGTCCACTGCGTTTCGGGTCGGAGAATCAATTTCCTTTAAACCTCGCCCATGAATTTATCTTAGTCCAAAAGTAATTGAAACCGCATAAGTTTTGAAAATATTTCAAAATAAAATTTTTCGGGAGGAAAATCACTTCAACGCCCAGTGGCCAAATTTTTTCGGTGACAAAGAGTAAAAAAAGATTTATCAGCACAGCCGATCGACGAAATATGCCTATTTTCTGTTATGACTGTTTACAATAAACGATGGAAAGTCTTAATGCAAAGCCGCAATAACACAATAATTCATTAAACGTATCAAGTATTTTAAACTTTTTATGACTTTTAACATAATAGAACATTATTTAGGAAACGAAACCCTTTAAGAGCGACTCCGCGTAAATATCAACTGCACGTGGAAATAGTCAAAAAATGACCTCCCCTCAAACTCAGCCAGAATAAAGCCCTATTTGCCCTAGTTACAAAATCGTTGGTTTAAGTACGATCGAGTGAATAATATTTTTTTAACGAATTTTTTTCTTCTCGAGGCCTAAAATGGGCAAAAATCATGCGAAATTAGAGTCATATTCAGTGGCTCGTATATTTTAAAATAAAGTTGGCTACCAAAATATAAGGACACTTCGTATTTTTGCTATCTTTCCTCTATAATTTTATCGGATTAGTTTGCGATTTGGTCAACAAGAGATTTTTTAAGAAATTTTTAAACTTGTTGACTCAAAATCACTTAATCATCCGTCAAAATTTAGCTTTTTTTCACGAGCTAAAAAGGCGGATTGGTACACGGCTTTGAACACCAAGGCTAATTTAGCCTGAAAGAGCATTCTTTTTTCTTCAAATTAGCGAAATAAAATTTTTGGGTAAATGAAATCACGAGCGCTGACAAAGCGATCGAAGCAAATGTAAATGTTACACCAAAAACGAGCGAAAAAACGTGACCTCTGACCCAGGCACAACCAAATGCGAATAACGGTAGAAGCCAAACCTTTAATTATTCGGTAACCTCTCGAAACAATATTGGTCCGAAATATGTATAGTTTTTTAAAACATAAAGCTGAGTTAAAGTATTAAGTGTCAAAAAGTCTACAAAGCGGTAAAATACAACAAAAGTCACAAGTAATCTGTTCCGTTTTCTGAATTTTGTGCAGCGATTTAACGAATAAACAATTCTTAATCCAACGATTAATAACCCACCTGAGACTGTGTTAGTTTAAGAGTCCATAGAAAGTCTCAGAAGATTCCTCGGGAAGACCCCCAGAAGGAAATGAGTGAAGAATTTGAACTTATTGTTACGGACTTGTATAGCGTTACAGCGTGACATCGGGTCACGTGGAACTTGATGTTTGCAATCATGTGACTTAAGCGTTTTCGTTTTATTTATTCTGAAATAAATCTCTCTCTGTGTGGTTGATATTTATCGATGTGGAACCTTAAGATCCTTTGAATTCTTCGAAACCAGCGACTAACGCCCTGTAAAGCGTTACCTTCTCTTACATGGTCACTCCGAACCGGATTATTCTGTTGGTGATAGTTCTTGTCGTGTTAATCCTTGGACCGGACAATTCTTGTTTACGAGCACGTGGTGTGGATTTTTCATTCGTCGACGAGTTGACTATTTTAAAAGTGCATGTGATGCCACCCAAAGTGAAAGCCATTTCAAGGAAAAAAGCTGCGCGTGAAGGGCACAGAACAACCGTCAAACGTATTGCTTACGCCGTCAGTGAACAACTGGATGCCTCGTACAGCGACGTTAACTTGGACGGGAACAAACAAGCGCTTGCCCTAATCGTGTCAAAGCTTCACCAGCAAAGGCAATCCCTGCACGTCAAATTGGAAACCCTAAAAGTTGTGGACGAAGAAATCTTGTCAATCGTGGAAGAAGAGGAAATCGGAGACGAAATTCGGGAAGCAGACCTCGTAAATGAATTAATTCAGCTCACCATTGCTAGAATTGATAATTTTCTAGAAACTTTGAAGACCCCCGCGAAGACCGTGGACGCACCAAAGGACGAAACACCGGTAAGCGCTTCTAAAGTTGTTACTAGTGACTTCTTGCCGTCAAATGACTCTGTTGAATCTCCGGTAAACCTTCCTGTATCTGCTGGAAATGTTGAAACTTCGAATAATCTTGTTAAATCTCCTAATCCAACACCAAGTTTAAGCTTACCTACTCAAGGAACAATCCCTCGAGTTAAATTACCTAAACTGGACTTGAGGAAATTTGATGGAGAAGTTAGTACATGGCCCACCTTCTGGGATGCCTTCGAGTCCTCTATTCATAAGAATCCTACATTGGCTCCTATTGACAAGTTCAATTATTTGAACTCTCTCCTTATGAAACCAGTTCTTGATGCCATTTCTGGCCTGTCTCTCTCTGCTTCAAATTATGAAGAAGCAATTGCGATCCTTAAGAAGAGATTTGGAAACAAGCAACAAATTATCAATCGCCACATGGATATTCTTCTTAATGTTAGCCCTGTGACTAATGAAGACACAAGAAAGCTACGGGAACTATATGACACTTTAGAGTCTCATGTCAGAAGCCTTAAGTCACTGGGAATCCCTTCAAACTCCTATGGAAGTTTACTCTCATCAATTATTATGAACAAGCTGCCTCAAGAGCTACGATTGATTATTAGTAGAGAAATAAAGGATCAAGATTGGCAGCTAGATAATATTATGCATGCATTGGAGGACGAGTTAAAAGCCAGAGAGCGTGCAGTCCCTCATGATGAGTGTCAGTTATCAGGTGGAATTCAAGGATTCTCAAAGGCTCAGACGCGTTCAACTACATCTGCTTTATTTGCAGGACATTCAGGACCCACTTGTACATATTGTAAACAGAGCCATCCCTCTAACGCCTGCAAAATAGTGACCAACTCTGCAGCTCGAAAAGATCTTCTCATTAAGCAAGGAAGATGTTTTGTTTGCCTCAGGAAAGATCATCTCAGCAGAAATTGTAAATCAAAGAACCAATGCTTCAAGTGTAAGGGTCGACACCATATCAGAATTTGCCCATCTGATGGCACTCATGAAGGTAGTCCCCACAATAGTACCAATCTTTCAAGAACACCGAGTCAAGAACAGCCTCAGAATCAGCGCGGGAACAATGATGAAGGTACCCCTAGAGCTGCACCCAGACAGGAACAGAACCAGAAACAACTAAAGACCTCAAAGCAGAACCTCACAGCCCTGTATGTCAGTGCCGCTACTCCAGTCCTGCTTCAAACAGCCAAAGCATTGACATACAAGCCTGACAATTCAGCAGTCACAGTGAAAGCTCGTTTTATCCTAGATAGTGGAAGTCAACGAACCTATGTGAGCACAAGGCTAAGAGAGCGTCTAAAGTTACTGACTGAGAACACTGAAAGGATATCGATCAAAACCTTTGGTTCGACAAATGAGAACAGTCAGTGTGTGGATGTTGTCCGACTCTGTGTCGCCACTGAGCAAGGACAAGATGTAGAACTGTCAGCCTTTGTCGTCCCCACAATATGCGATCCTCTTCAAAGTCAATCTGTTGTACAAGCTAGCCTCACCTATGCTCATTTAAAGGGACTTAAGCTTGCTGACTACCATACGGGTGAAGACAATATTGACATTGATATTCTTGTTGGGTCCGATCAGTATTGGAGTCTAGTGTCTGGCAGGGTGGTACGAGGAGAGCATGGCCCCACTGCAATTGAAACAAAACTTGGATGGGTTTTGTCAGGTCCAATCCCAGAAGGAACACAAGTTAATAGGCAGCAAAGTAATCTTGTCGCAACACATGTACTGAAGAGTGCAGTAAACCCTGTTGATGTCACAAATGAGACCTTGATGGAACTCTAAAGACATTCCGGGAACTAGAATCGCTTGGCATTAAACCAAGGACACTGTATGAAGAATTCCAAGAGCAGATATCCTTTACGAATGAGAGGTATGAAGTCCATCTTCCCTGGAAAACGCCGCATCCGCTCCTTCCAGACAACTACCAGTTGAGCAGGAAACGTCTAGAGAACCTTCTTGAACGTCTTCGCTACGAGCCTGAAGTCCTTAGAGAATATGACTCTGTCATAAAGGAACAGCTACATAGAGGCATAGTTGAAGTTGTAGAAAAGCCTAGCGAAGGAGAAGTTGGTAAGGTCCACTACATACCCCATCATGCAGTCATAAGAAGGGACAAGTTAACAACCAAGCTTAGAGTCGTATATGATGCTTCTGCAAAATCCGATGGTGTAGCCTTGAACGATTGTCTGTATGCAGGACCACCCCTTGCTGAGAACATATTTAATGAACTTTTGAGATTTCGTGTTAACCAAGTCGCTTTGACCGGCGATATCGAAAAGGCATTTCTGATGGTGGGTATGGCGGAGGAAGATAGAGATGTGTTAAGATTCCTGTGGGTGGATGACATTGACAACCCCTCTCCAGAGATTGTGGTTCTAAGGTTTACACGTGTTGCATTCGGAGTCTCGTCTAGTCCTTTCCTGTTAAACGCCACAATCAAGCATCACATTGAAAGGTACAAAGAAGCAGATCCTGAATTCGTAGAGAAATTTCTTCGTTCCATTTATGTGGATGACCTAAGTTCTGGAGCCCCTGAGACTAATGAAGGCTATGAACTTTATCTAAAGTCCAAACTCAGGCTTGCGGAAGGAGGATTCAACCTAAGGAAGTTTGTATCAAATTCCCCTGAACTAATGAACAGAATTCAAGGTAATGAATCCAGCAACTCTAGATCTGATGCTGGTACACCCAGTAAGGCTGCTGAGCCCAAGAGTATACAGCCCCCTCGAGCCTATCCAGAAAGGAATGTTGTTTCTGAAGACAAAACTTACGTCAAGAGCATGCTTGGCACAATAGAAGAGAAAAACAGCTCAGACTCAAAGGTCCTTGGAGTACGCTGGAACCCCATGAAGGATGCATTGATATTTGATTTGACCGAGATAGCGAACTTTGCAAGAGACCTTGAACCCACCAAGAGAAACGTTGTTAGTGTTGCCGCGAAGTTTTATGACCCTTTTGGATTTCTTTCACCAGTTGTTATAGAGTTTAAGTTGTTCTTCCAAGAACTTTGCCGAATGAAAATTGGTTGGGATGATCCCTTGAATGATGAATTGTTGGAGATGTGGGGCAAGCTGTTGGATGGGTTAGAAGGTGTAACAGCACTTTCACTATCAAGATGCTACTTCCAAGGAGTTCAAGAGAGAGTTGTCAGTTGTAGCCTTCATGGATTTGGTGATGCATCCAGTAAGGCCTATGCAGCAGTGATCTACCTGCACGTGACTACCACCACAGGAAGCTATGTCAAGTTTGTTGCATCCAAGTCCAGAGTTGCCCCTGCGAAAGAATTATCCATTCCAAGATTAGAGCTTCTTGCCGCTCTAGTATTAGCTAGGCTGATTGAGCATGTTAAGGAGGCCTTGCAATTGGAATTGGCAATTACAGATATAAATTGCTGGACTGATTCCAAAGTAACATTATTTTGGATCAAAGGCGAAGAAAAGGAGTGGAAGCAATTTGTCCAAAATCGTGTCAATGAGATCAGGAGCCTTGTAACAGCGAGTAGTTGGCGACACTGTAACGGAAAGGATAACCCAGCCGATATTCCCTCGAGAGGATTGAATCCTGTAGAACTCTCAAAGTGTACCTTGTGGATGAAGGGCCCCAAGTGGTTAACCAATTTTAACGAAAACAGTGAGAGCGTGTTCGACAGCACACATATACCTGAAGAATATTTTGCAGAAATCAGAGCTGAGGAAAGAGCAAAGTGCCAAAAGGAAACCTCATCCGTAATGCTTGCAGCAGTTGAACCCTGCGGTATAGCACAGATCATGAGAGCAGAAGACTATAGCAACCTGCAGAGACTTATAAGAGTTACTGTCCTTGTTCTAAAGTTTGTAAGAATCATGAAGTTATTACTGGAAAGGGACACCCTTTCCCAAGACGAGTCGACGGATCAAGATACTGCAGTCGCAGAAACCCTTTGGATTAAGGAAATACAGAAGTCCTTAAGCAAGAATCCCAAGTTTGATATTTGGAAGAAGCAGTTTGGCATCTTCACCGATCATCAGGGCATTATGAGGTGTACTGGACGCTTAGCCAAGGCGGAGTTACCAACTTCAGTCAAGCACCCCATTTTGTTGGAGAAAGACCACCACATCACATCCTTAATTGTCGAAGACAGCCATAAACGAGTTATGCATGGTGGTGTGAAGTCCACTCTGACAGAACTAAGAGCAAGATTTTGGATCGTACAGGGCAGACAGTTCGTTAGAAAGCTACTGTACAAGTGTGTGATTTGCAGGAAACTTGAAGGAAGGCCATATCAAGCTCCACCGCCCCCGCCCCTCCCAGAATTTAGAGTAAAGGAATGCTCACCATTTACTTATACTGGAGTTGATTTTGCGGGACCTCTCTATGTCAAAAATCATTCTGGCCCTCAGCAGAAAGTATGGATCTGCCTCTACACTTGTTGTGTTACCAGAGCTATTCATTTGGATCTCGTACCCAGCCTCACAGCCTCCGCATTCATGAGGAGTCTCAGAAGATTTTCTGCCCGTCGCGGCACTCCACTGTTGATGGTGTCTGATAATGGGAAAACCTTCAAGTCAGCAGCGCGAGAAATCACGAAACTGATGAACGACCCGGGAGTAAAACAGTACTTTGCCAATGCACGGATGAAGTGGACGTTCAACCTTGAAAAGGCCCCTTGGTGGGGTGGCATATTTGAAAGACTTGTCAGATCTGTTAAGAGATGTCTGAAGAAGACTATCGGCGGTGCAACCCTTACCTATGAAGAATTGCTTACAGTAGTCGTGGAAGTGGAAATGATACTGAACTGTAGACCTCTGTCCTACGTGTCTGGTGAGGATACTGAAGAACCCCTTACCCCGTCGCATCTCTTATGTGGGCGACGCCTAATGAGCCTTCCAGACAGCAACAACAGCGACACTCCAGATTATGACATTGATGTTCAGCCACAGGATCTAAGCAGAAGAATGCAGCACCTGAGCAACGTTCTGAACCACTTTTGGAAAGGATGGAGAAACGAGTACCTGATCGAGCTGCGAAATGCCCATCGTTACCTTAATCAGAATGACACTATCAGAACTGTATCTGTTGGAGATGTAGTTGTTGTGCATGAAGAAGATCAGCCCAGAGGAAAATGGCGTGTTGGAAAGATGTTAGATCTCATCGTTGGATCTGATGGTTGTACCAGGGGAGCTTTGGTCCAAGTCCGAAGCAAGGGAGGAAAATGCACGAAACTCAGGCGCCCTGTGCAGCGGCTTTACCCTTTAGAAATCCAGTGCGAAGTTCCTGTCCAACAAGCAACCGAAGTAATCTCAAGCCAGAATCCTGATCCAGTTAGCACTGAAGTGAGAACTGAGCAACCAGTGTCTACACGAAGCTGTCCAAGACGAGCAGCTGCAGTTGAGGCTGACCGAAGAAGGAAGACCTGGCTGGAGGATCTGACTTAATGAACTTTGAACTTTGCTACGAATTATCGTTGAGTTTAGGTGTCTCAATAGTATGTAAGGTTTGTTGACCAGATAGAATTAGGTAG